CAAATTCTACTAATTTATACTACCTCCGTCCCACTCTTTTTGTCCAGTTTTGACTTTTGGAACTGTTCATCTAAGCACTTTGACTCATCAAATTCTCTCAATGTGTAAGTCTAAAAATAGTCATGTGTGATCTTGTTTGATTTGTCTTAACATATAGATTATTAATATATAATTTTTATAATTTTTTAATATACAAATTACAAGATAAAATGGATTTAAGAAGTGCATTGGATGGTGTGGAAAAATGAAAGTGGACAAAAAGAGTGGGACGGAGGGAGTACTTTTCATACTATAAGTGACGGTGTACATACGCCAATTTGCCAACTTACTACAAATATTTTTAAATAAAAAAATTAGACTAAATATATAAATTAATTTTAGTCCATTTAATTTATAATAAAATTTTGCGGGAGTTGAAAAAATCAATTTTATTTTTTAGAAACTAAAGTTATTTTTTTTGGAGAATAAGATTTAAAAATGGGTGTGAAAGAATTATATGATGCACTTATACATATATGTTGTAAATATTAATTTTATTTTTTTAATTAATTAATTTTAAAAATAATTAATGCACTCAATTAATAATGTATAGATAAAGAGAATGAAGAAGGGGATGACAGGATGTGGTGTTACCTTCCATGCCAAAATGGGCTAAATTTGGTACCAAATTGATTTTAAGACTGTCATACCATCCACCCTAAAAAATGTATAGTGAGTGTAAATAGTAGTAACGGTAACTCACGGAAAACTCCCATCAGGCAAAACCATAATTTTTTGAGTAAGATTAACTAATTACTCGTAAAAAAAATAGGCATTCAACCAGTACAAGAGAAACAATTGACAACTCCATTTTTTTAATCACTGCAACAACCCAGGAAAATCCAACAAATACAGAGTCTGTATCTATGCAAAACTTAAACTCATTACAGAGAAAGCACAGTATAATTCAATTCATTTCATTCTCACTTAAACACACACACACACAACTTTATTCATTACAGATCTAAACTTAAGACATGAGCAACAGTTCGGGCTACTCGGTAGCTTAATGTATTCATGACAGCATGAACAATCTATGCAACTGATAGTTATCACTCTTCATTCGCCCTGGATACCCCTCGACCGCGGCCCCAAAACACGTGGAGAAGAGGTAAATCATCGCAATACCATGCAACGTCATGGACGAGACTTTGAGCCATGTTCCAAGTCAACCAAATACCAGCTCAGATAATCTCATTGAGGATTAGTACCAATGAAGATTGACCTCGTGTGGGGACGCGACTGTCAAAGAAATAGTCGACCAAAAACTCAAGCTTGTGGTTATAAGTCTTGGAAAGGTTTTATATTCTAACACGCGCCTCATATGGCTGCAATATTTGTTCTTTATCGAGCCTTGCACACTAACAATAATTGTATAAAACCGGATGACGATAGGGTTCAAAACCAACTCAACCAAACACTCATACTTTATCAGAGACCTCGCCGACTACTCATGTTCCTTGTGAGAGTCACAAATCTACGAAGAATCAATCTGGCGCCAAAGACAGCCTGCATAAGCCTTCTCATCTTCCTTTTCTTCCTCAGCATATGCATTACTAGCATTCTGCAATATTGCTTCCTCTTCATCTTCATTTGGCATTTCCTCCATCAATGCCTCTCCACAATGTTCGGACGACTCAATCCCACACTTCTCTGCTTCACTAAGCTGGGCAAGTGCCTCTCTCATTGCTTGTGGGGTAGCTGGTCTATCGGTGGGTTTATATATTGGGGGAGGCACGACAAAGGGCAGCACTATATCATCCAACTGTTTGGTCTCTATAGCATCGCTTGTTGGGGGGACAACGAAAACTACCCCTACTTCATAGTTGCAAATGTGAAGTTTCGAACCCAGCGAGGGATTGCTTCTCAATTTGTTATTTACTTCCGCAAAAAGTGGACGCCCCCATGCAGCTGAGCTGAAGTTGTGTGAGCCACAGTAAACCCATCCAAAAGAAGAAGAGGCATTGGACTTGGACTGAAACCGCCTTCGTGCTACCTGTTCACACCATGCATTTGGCATTTTCATTTGACAGTTTATAATAATCTGATATACAAAAAAGTATGTATCTCATTGTAACAACGAACGACAACAACCTAGTATAATCCCAACTCCGTTGGGGTCTGGGAGGTCAAATATGTATGTTGTCTTACCCTTGTAAAAACAAAGATACTATTTCCATTAGATCATAAATGCATTGTTGCATTTATTGCCCAAAACTTCACAGAAAGTAAGAAGCACGGGAAATTTCAAGTTCCATTTTTATTCTCTATTATGTTACTGTTTGTAAAAACCATTATGTTTTTGAGTTGTTTTAGGTCCCTATAATTTTTGATTGCCCCTTTGAATTACATTGTTTTCTTTTGTCTATTTGTCAAGCTTTGTGGCTCATCACCTTAATTCGTTATTTCTGATTTGTTCCAACTTTCTATAACTCAACCACAATTATTGATTGGAAGAGTTACGGCTAGAAGAACATCATAATTTCAACTTTCAATTTTTGTCTCTCTAGTTTTCTGGGTAGAACAAAATTATCTTTAATAAAAATGACACAGAAAAGCCAGATTGATGGTTTGTGAGCCACACTATTTTGCAGAAAATAACATCGACAGAGAGTGACTGGAAAGAGGTGAAGTAAAATATAAGGACGAAAAACAAAAAAAAAATATCAATGCCCTAACATAAAAATATTTAGAATAATTCTAAAAAAAAGGTGACCTAAAACAAAAATATCTATAGTTGTAACTTGTAAGAATTAAACACATAATCAAGCCATAACAATACAAAATATTTTAGTTAAAGTCAGATTGTGATGAAAACTTTTACCTTGACATGCATAGGGAACCCATCTCTGTAACTAGGACAAGGAACAGCATCATGTAGTATACCCACACCTTTTAACCTTTGCCATGTTTTCTATAGAGAAAAAAGCTAGGGTATGAGCAAGTGTTTGTTTTGGAATTGAAATTTCAAAAAAGTCAGGGGATGCAATATTAACTTGGTCATCATTGATCATTTACATTGTTGAGAGTCATACACAGATTTATGGGTTTGGTTGATTTCTGTCTATTAATTTAATTTTATCTGTATTAGTGTTTAGTGTGGAGTATTGGGAGAACATTAGAAGGGAGAATATTAGAAAAATTTGCATACGGCAATGGTACCAAATTGTGCAAAAACTAAGTTGAGAGCAATACTTCCTCCATCCCTAAAAAAAGCTTATGTTTTCCTTTTAAAAAGTTCCTAAATAAAGTTGTTTTCCCTTACCTGGTGAAACCAAAAGTCTCATTTATTGTAGTACCCTCGTTTTTTAACATCCCAACCATCATCAAATATTTTAAATAAGATATCACAAGGGAAAACTTGGAAGTTGAAAGCAAGACATTTGATACACTAAAAACTGCACACGCCAGTTGCCAAACTAGGAAGTTTAAAAGGGACAGAGGGAGTAAATCTTACCTCTGAGAAGCATAAGATACGCCTTGATGCTAAGATTCCATTCTTGGAACTTTTCACTCTTTCAGCACTAGGGAAAATAACTTTGATAGATGGATTCCTTATTTCTTGACTTGCAGTCCAGCAACCCCACTGTAAGAACCCATATTATACAGCTCAAATCAAATTAAAGGCATTCAAGAATACTAATCATACTTCCTCCATCCCCCAAGAAGAGCCACTTCTTTTTAGGGACGGTGGGGAAAAAGCCATTTGGTATACCTTTTTTGCTTATCCGTTGTATGTATGTGTGTGCGCTTAATTACTTTTTTAATTAATTTGGTTTTAAATAAATCAGCAGATACAGCCAATTGAGCAAAATCAACCATTACTTTAGCAAATTCAACTAACTTAACCACTTCAGGCCGTACAAAGGGGTCTAAGTCACAAGCATTTATCACACCTCAATTTGAGAAAAATTGCATTATGTAATATAAATCAGATTTTAGTTACTAGTATATAATCTTACATCTGGATCAGATTCCTCAGATTCATAATACCGTGATGACCGTTTTCCAGCTGCTGCAGAAAAAGCTGCCAGAAATTGTGCATTGATAGATCCAACAGATGAACAACCTTTAAAAAATGGATGTCAATTGTCAAGTAACACTGAATGCTGCCGAGTAAAATTCAATACCTAAAAAAACACTATCGGGAGATTACTGTACAAGAAATAGGGGCTCACCAAATACAAAATCAGTTTCCAAGTGTTCAGGCCATGTGTGCTGACCTAAGACCTAATAAAGAAACAGAAATTTACTACAACATGCACTTTTAACCTCTTCAGCGTCATGTATGCTTACGTCATGAATGTCAAGTCAGAATACATTACTGAAGTTTAAACTAAATTATATTGAAACCAAACGTTACAGCAAAAGGAGAAGTTTTAGTTTATAAAACAATTACTTCATGGAGCCGCCAAAGGCCAAAATACCTCCGAAGAGCTCTAACCAGCAAGCATACTCCAGAAACGTATTCAGTCCTTGTAATCTTTGAGATAGATGAAAAAGAAGGCCCCTACGCAATGCAACATAAAAGACTTGTGGTTAACAGAATCACATCAAATGAATAAATTCTGATGAAGGTATTGGTGGTGTCATTATTGACAATGCTTAAGTTTTGGGCAATTAATGGAGTAAATCAGAATGGAACATCAAACTTCCTTTGCTTCTAACTTCTTATGAAGTGTTGGGTAGTAAATGCATCAATACATAAAGGTCTAATCAAAGAAGCCTCTGTTTTATACTTGGCTCAAGCTGCACAAGCCCCAACAGAGTTGGGATTATAATGTATCTTGTTGTTGAATGGGAGAGCCATGGGCCCGAAGGAGATCCCGATGGAATTTTGGAAGATTGCGGGGAAAGATGGGTTGGCGTGGATTCCGAAGTTGTTTGATGTTATTTTCAGGACGAGTAAGATGCCAGGCCTACAAAAGAAGCCCTTTGGTATCCTGGGATGATCTTTGTATCCCAAAAAAAGAAGGGTGGGTTGGGCTTGAAAAACTAGGTGAAAAGGTATAGAGCTAATGCCATGAAGTTACTATGGGATATTCCTAAAAATGAAATAATGTGGGTGAATTTGGAGTGTAACATCAATAGAGACTCCTGCTATTACTGGAAGAAGCTGCTGCAAAACAGGAGTTACTTTAGAGATATGCCAATAAATGAAGACTATGTTCCAAAAGAAGGATATAGGTGGCTGTTAGGAGAGAAAGAGGACATTGATTGAACTAAACTGGTTTGGAGCAGTTTCCTGCCTTTGGGCCTTAATTTGTGGTTTCAGTCTGCATGCTTTTGTGCCTTAGTTTGTAGTTTCAACTAGTTGCTTGTTCTGCATGAGTGCTTTCTTTGTTCGTGTGACTTTCCTTTGTCTTAGTGCTCTTGTGTCTTGAGTCAAAGGCGTATACACAGTTACACACCCTCCCCACCCCCTGAGTCTATCGCATTTTTACTAAGTTTGTTGTTGTTGTTGAATAGTGGCACTCTTAGAGGCAGATTCAACATTGGGCATTAAAAGTTTATTTAATTTGTTGTCTATATAATAAAAATTCTGTGATAATTTATATGTACGAATTACTTTTCTTGTCCAACAAGCTTATTGCCAAAAGTTTGGAGATCACAACATACCTGAAAGACATAGAGATGTAGTTGCACCTTTTTGTTACTTCCTTCTAAAGCAGAAGCAAGAGTCTCATCTGGATTTATATATGCGGAAAATGCAAATAGCCCAACATCTGAAAGTGGAGCAACCCACTTTGCAACATCTCTCGGAAGAAACCCAATCTGAACACAATCTGTATCACAATTGTACCAAAGGTAAGGTAAAATTTTCGGCATAATAATAGAAATTGGGATGATTTTTCCATATGCCTTTGAAATAATATAGTTGCATTTGTTGACTGTAATGTAATATATATAAATTACAGAATCTAGAGCCAGGCTGCAACTTCTAAAAGTGGAACTGAAGTATAATTTCTTTGGGTAAGACCCTTCACTGAACTTTAAAAACTACAATCTTAGAAAAGTACGCAAATATAAATGAAACTTACCAAATGACCCTCTAATCCTTTTCATAGTTCAATCTTTTATTAAAAGAAAAGGTATATGAGCGAACTTGGAAGATTACTAACTAAAATACAAACATTGAATTCTGGGAAAACAAATATTTTGAGACGACATTTTAATATAGCTAAAACACCAAATATATTGGGATTGATGGAGAGTGCTAAAAAAATATCAAGTCGAATGCCAAAGAACTTTAATATAAGCATAGGAGCAGGAAGATGGAATACATTTTACCTACCAGAAGACAAAATTTCTTCCGGGTTTGAAACAAGAATGCTAATGGCATTTGCATCAGCAGGTATCTTTGAGTCTCTTCTTAAAACAACCTCTGTTAGGCCATACATGTTCCTTTTGCATTTCTGAAGGATGGTAGCAAGTTTCTTCAGTCGAGTCCCATTTGAATCAGCAGAAGTGTGGAATATATAGCTCAGACCAGCCACAGATGCTTCAACAGAACCAAGTGATTTCACACAATGAGACACAGGCATGTGCTGACCACCCTAGAATGAAAAACAAAGAGAAATTACATCCGCATGGCATGGCCTCAAGTCTACCTATAAAATCTTGTACTAAAGCTAGTATATGAGATTCGAGGAATCAGAAGTATCTTTGTGACAAAATAATTGTTTAAAACTCCCTCGGCAGATACCAATGACCATAACATTCTTCAGAACTATAAATAAACAGCTTAATTTATCGAGTATATGAATGGATAGACGAATAAATGTATAGAGAAGGAAGAAAATAGAGTTTCAGCAAATGGAAGATACTATGATGGCTCAAAAACTGAAGGATAGGAAAATAAACAGTTAATGAATGCACACTTTCATAAAGAAAGGGGAAAAACACTCACGACTAATAGATATTGTGGTTCAGAAACTAAAGGAATCCAATGTGAATAAACCCCAGGTATGGAAGTAAGCAGGAGTGCCATAGCTCCCTTGAAGTCATATTTTGCTAACTCAAGAACCCAATGTGATTGGCTAGGTACATCAACAAGTAGAGATGCTATAAATCCAGCCAACTGGCTTGAGAAATCATATCTTGAATCGTGATCACCATCTTCGGGTTGTTGGGGAAAAAATGATAAATAGTCCGGGCTATTTAAGTGCGGAAAATCCTGCCACCAGACTGCATTGGTCACTCTGTGCCACTGTAGAATTTGAGAAGATAAGAAAACATCAGATTGCCATCATCCAAGTAAAAGTGAAATGGAAATTTGAATAACTACACTTAAGAAATGCTAGGGTCTGTTGTCATCATGCATATGTCTGAAATTGAAACATTCTTCTTGTTTATAACCAAATATGTATAAGAACTAAACTGGGCCCAGTAATAAGGTGAGAACCAAATTGAGTAATAGCATGCAGTCGAGGAAGCAATGCACTGATAAATATCAAGAGAGGCTCTCAATATGGCAACACATGAGAATTAAACAGTCAGGACACACCTGTCCAGGTACCAAATTTGCTGAAGTGATCACAACTCGAAGGCTGTCCTCTCTTTGCACGAGAAACAACTTAGGATGATGGCAACCAATACCGAATTTCTTGCGGCCTTTCCCGAAATATATAACCTCAGGAAATTGAGGGTACCTGTTGTAATAGGTTGACTATGATAAAGGCATTAGTTCTTCTTACCACTAATATTCTGAAAGCAGAAATTAGAATAAAAAAACCTTTTGACAAAACTTAAAAACAGATGAAAGAACTTACACAACCATCAAGTTAGGAAAATCTGGGTAAGGGATTGATGTCCTTTTATCTGCGCTCGAACTCCAACACCTTTCTGAACTGTGACAAGCAATTGTGACATGAAGATGTGGTGGAATTCCACAGTAGGAAAGAAACCTATACACATATAGTGAATTCCCTTTAGTATATGTAAAATCAGAGAATATAGAATTATAGACACCATGGAGGAGCCGAGATTTCAAAAATATGAAATTATCAATAAAGAGTAAATTAAGTCCTTGTTTTAGTGTTTTACTTACCACGGTACGTCACTTGTGAATGAACCAATAAACAGCCTGACAATACTTTCAACAGGATGAAGAAGCTCTGGCAATGAAACAACTCTTTCTGATGAGCTTTGGTCAATACACTGAAGCTGGTTCAAACAGAACATCTTTCCTGGAGGTGGAACAAGACCAACTCCTACCCTTTCCTCCCCAACACCTAAACCACAAGAAGCAGTCTCCTTCTGCATATGCTCCGAAGAGGAAACGCCGCGTCTACCATTAGAAATCATGCCAGTCTGAAAACTAGCTTCTGGAGCCTCACACGGTGAGATATCTTTTTTGCTCACAGTTCCATCACCCACACTATGAGCTTCAAAATCTCTACGATCAAGGATAACACGTTTTCGAATACATTTTACAGGGTCATCACTGGACTTTATTCCCCTCAACAAATTCAACAAAGCATTTGCTTTTGCAACGACTTCACCATTTTCAGCAACCATCTCAGAATACTCAACATTTGTGACCCTAAATCCCATCGGAATCCCCGTTGCACAACCTCCTCCTTTAGAGCAACTGAGCGAAATCTCATCGCCCGCACAAATTTCAACAACTTCACCTTTTCCAACCCTAACCCCATTTAAAAAAACTCCATTCAAAGATGCCCTAGCCCTAGAACCACAACTTCCACCAAAGCCCATAAACACTCCATCCGACAAACAAATCTTTTTCTTCCACAAATCAAAGAAAAATTGGCACTGGATTTTGCTTATGCGACAATCGCTGAACAAAAAATCACAGTCCTTTGGGCTGCGTCCCATCGTGTAAACCTTATACGGCTCGAGATTCATACAGTTACACGAGCAACCACTAGATTTCGATATCAAAGGAACACCAAAAGGCGTTATATACATAGAAACAGCACAAGGAAGGCATTTCGAGGGTTTTTTGCAAGGAAAAAGAGATGAATCAAGCCGGCGGCGTTTCAGATGATTCGAAGCTCTATGAACAGAATCCGAATACAAATTCATGTCTAATTCCATAACAATTCGAAGATGAAAACAATAAAATGAATCAAAGAATCGTTTAATTTTCGTATGAATTCAAACTCCGATTGAGTAAAACCAAAACAGCAAATAAAAATAAATACGGAGTATGAAATTGAAGAACCTGGGGAAGAGAAGAGAGCTGTTCGTGTGTCTGGGTACGGTTATTCAATTAGTGGTAATTAGAATTTTCCCTCGCATTTCAGTTTTTTATACATAAAATATGGGCTTCCAGTTGTAGGCCCATTACGCCTCGAAAATCCATTGTAAAAATGCTTGGATTAGGCCACAGTACTTTTGAAAAGAAAATGGAAATGTCATATGAGTATAAAACTCTTAATAAAGAAATAATTACTCCCTCCGTCCATGTATGATCTTCCCATTACGCGTTACGAGGCTTGACCGACTTTATTTTCAAATCAATTTAATTGATTATAGGAGTAAAATTTTAAAATAAAATTTATATAGTAATAAACTACATAAAAATTCTACAAAACTAGAGGTGACAAGACAATATTATTTTATGAAATGACTAGTAAAATTAAGCAAACAAAGTGAGTAAAGTTTGACCCTGTGAATAGTGTCTGGGAAGATCTATGGTGGACAGAGGGAGTATTTTAAATTCGTTTTTCAATCATGGTCCCTTTACAAATAAAAGATGATGCCCCTTATTTAGGAAAATTACTCTCTCCAAAAATGAAACAAATAAATAGAATTTAAATAAGGATAAATTATCTAGAATATTTCGAACTTTACGCGGTCTTATAAAAATAACTCCATGTATCACTGTTATGCATAATAATCCCAATTTTATCGAAATTTCTGAGTGCTGGGTTGCCGTTGAGTTGTTAGCGGCGGGTTAATGGAATCGGTCTGTTTTACTCAACAAAATGAATATTGAGATTATTTTTTATAAATTTTGTTTTTTTTTTAATTTTCATTTAAATTTTTAAAATTATTTTCTACCTCCATAATTTCTTTTTCTTTTTATAAAGGTTAGTCTTGCTTTAGAAACATTTTAAAAAATTTAACCGCTATCAAACATAACCGCTATCAAACATAACCGCTATTAAAAAATTTAACCGCTATTAATTACAGAGTAATTAATTAACAAATACTAGGTATTTTTTCAACATAACAATTGTACTTGTTATACGGAGTATATAACAAATTAACAATTATACTTGTTAAAGTACCAAGTTTGTTACTAGGTATAATTTAGTAATTTACCCACTCCATTGGAGAGCAACAAAAAAAATATTCCCTTCGGTCCTGAAAATATGGGATGTTTCTTTTTTCATTCGTCCCAAAAAAACACTTCATATTTTTATTAAAAAGTCATTTTTACCCTTTATTTTTTCATATCTTACTGATCACATCATACCTTTTTCGGTACTTTAACGGTTCGGTAATCTCGGTTTTTCCAAAAAAATTCCGGATCGATTTGATACTTGATCACCTTAGGTTACAAATGGCTTACCCTCTCAATTTTATTGTTTTTCTTTCGCAAAAAGTGGGTGCCCCATGCAGCTTGAAACTGTGTTTTTCTTCCATTAATCCGATGTTAGAAACTTAACGACAATCCAAAACTCACAAATTTGAATAAAGTTGGGATTATTGTGCATCACAATAAAAGGTGAGATTATTTTTGAAGTATTGTGTAAAGTTGAGATTATTTTGGATATTTTTTCCATAAAACAAACCATAATGATGAATTGAATAAATGAGTTTTTTATTTTTTTTTAACATTATTGATTACAGTATTTCTATTCCTAGTTAGACATCCCATTTCTCCCATTTTGTCTTCAATACAAACTTTCATCCCACATTTATATAAAAAAGTTATTTGGATGGATGAGGCATTTGACCTTTTATATGTGATGGAACACTACCAAAAATAATTTAAAAGAAAATTTTTATTAGAGTACATCCCACATCGGAAAATCTAAGAGTAAAATAATCGGTATATAAGCTCTAGAGTTGAACTAACTAATCGATTGGATTCAATCTTTTAATGTGGTTTAACCCAAGTGTCTTAAAAATACGCATGCTTTAAAATTAATGTTGCATTTAAAAATATGAAGCCTTAAAATTTTAAGGACTCTGTATGGTTGACCACTTTGCACACCCTTTGGGCCACCTATGTGTATAATTTTTGGTCTACAAAAAGCTTAATTAAAAAATCAGGACGGAGGGATTGATCTTTTTCAATCTTATTTTCTATAATCATTACAATACATTGCATGTATGCCTGTATAAATCATACTCGGTATATATAGAAAAATATGTTCATTATATCTTCATACAGTATTTTTTACTTGGCTATCTTTTTGTACCTATTTTCTCTTTCAATTTATAAAAGTTGAAATGGGAGACGGCGATGAGGAGAAACCAGACCGGCGCCACCACCACCACCACTCTGACACGGAGGTGGTGGGGCCGGAAAGGATACTGTACAGCGGTCCGATGAGCGGGCCGCTTCATCGCAAGAAGGGCGGGAAGAAGAGTACGTGGTTCAACATGCCCCGGGAGACGTCGTCATCGTCGGGCATCTTAGCCGAGGACGGCGCTGGGTACGTGGAGCTCACGCTCGACGTCCGGGACGACTCTGTGGCATTGCACAGCGTGAAATCCACCCCCACTGCCTCTGGCGGCGGCGGCGGGGAGGAGGACCCGGAGCTGGCGCTCCTGGCGAAAAAAGCATCCCTGGGGTCGGTGCTCGTGAGCACCGCCTCGTCGAGGTTGAGACAAGTGTCCCAAGAGCTGAAGCGGCTGACTTCGTTCACAAAACGGCCCAACCAGGCGGGTCGTTTTGCCCGGACCAAGTCAGCCGCCGCTCACGCGCTGAAAGGGCTCAAGTTCATCAGCAACGCCCACGGCGGGTCCGGTTGGCCCGCCGTGGAGAAGCGGTTCGACGAGCTCACCGCCTCCAATGTTGGGCTTCTTCCAAAAGCCAAGTTTGGGGAATGTATAGGTAAGATTTATAATAAGCAAATACGTACAAATTATGATTTTGTTTAGAGTGTATATATAATATTTTTCTTTTGGTGAAAGTAAATTAATGGGAAAATTATTAATATTATTATTATTATGTGTACAAAATATAAAGGTATGAACAAGGAGTCAAAGGAGTTTGCAGATGAGCTATTTGATGCACTTTCGAGGAGGAGAAATATAACAACAGATTCCATAAACAAAGCACAATTAAGAGAGTTTTGGGAACAAATATCTGATCAGAGTTTTGATTCCAGACTTCAAACTTTCTTTGATATGTAAGTACTGTAAATCTTTCTTCTTTTTTTCATCCGTAGCCAAAAACTTTTTTCATTTTTATTAAAAAGTCACTATTACTCATACTAATTCATAACCTACTTATCACATCACTTTTATTCACTATTAATCTACCTATCAAATCTTATTTTTAGCAATCACATTCAAGGACATTTTCGGAAACTCGACACCAAAATACACTTCTCTTAAATCCTTTAAAAATCACAGTCTTTCATATTTTTAGGGACGAATGGAGTATATATTTTACACTAATAATAACTCCGTAAAAAATTGACTTAAGTAAAACATCGTTAATAATATTAATATATGCTTTTTTCTTTAAAAGAAGTTAAACGCAAATAATTTTTATTTACATAATTTTTGGTGGCAAGTTTATTGGACATGAAAACTGAAAACATATATATACACACATACAGGGTTGATAAGGATGCAAATGGCAGAATCACAGAAGAGGAAGTGAGAGAGGTAAATAAAGATACAGCTCCATAATATAAATTCTTTCTATATTTATTATCATATTATGTATTCTTTTTTTTAGAAAATTTATTTATATATTTATTGAATGAACCCTGATTATTCAATAAGATTAATTATTATAAAAAATTATACTAACTCCGTCCCAGAGTATTTTCCAACTTTTGACTTTTTTCAATTAATCTTTTTTAACATTTGATCTATAATTAAATAAAATATATTTCATATAAATTAGATAAAATAATATTTTAAAATATTTTATATAATAAATCTAATAAAACTAATTTTGTATCAATACCTAATACTCCCTCCGTCCCAAAAAGTCTGTCCCTTAAAGTCCGTCTCATTTCTATTAAAAAACCATTTTTACCCCTTACTTTTTCATACCCTACCTATCACATCATACCTTTTTCCTAATAATCTACTCATCACATCCTACTTTTACCCATCACATCAAGTGTATTTTTGGAAAGTCAACACCAAAATATCCCTCCTTATTTTACCACTTTAGTCAAAATGTCCTAATCTTTTTTGGATGGGGGGAGTATTATTTTTATTTAATTTGAAGTAAAAAATCATCAATTTTGATCGAAAAAAATACTCCCTCCGTCCTATAATGATCTTCCCGGTTCGCAAAACGAAGAAAAATCCCAATGTTTTTTCAATCTATTTTATTTAAATATTGGTATAGAAATAAAAAATAAAACATACATATTTAAAAACTACACCAAAAGTTCAACAAAACAAGTGGTGACAAGAATATTTTATTTTATCATATAGGCCATGAAAAAACACAAATAAATATAAATTCCATTGAAGTTGAAATAGTGCTCTGGGAAGATCATTATAGGATGGAGGGAGTAATAAAAGAACAAATACTCCGGGACGAAGAGAGTTTTAGTTTCCAAATTAAAAATTTCAGAAATCATCATATTCTAAAGTTTAATTATTAGTGCATGCATATTATTACGAAATATAAAATTAATTAAGAATAATGAAAGAATGATATATATGGGTACAGATTATAAGGCTGAGTGCAGGTGCGAATAAGCTATCAAATATACAGAAGCAATCGGATGAATACGCGGCAATGATCATGGAAGAGTTGGACCCTTTTAACCTCGGTTACATTATGGTTGGCACTACCCACTTTTACTTAGCAATTATATTGTTGAGAAAAGTAATGGAAAAATATTTAACTATAACTAATTAAAATATGTTTTATATTCCCTCCATTTCATAAAACGGATTCTATTTTGACTTTTATAAAAAATAAGGAGTTTATATTTATTATTGACTTTTCAATTTTGTCATTGATGTGATACGTAAAAATAAGAATTGATAGATAGATTATTAGTGAAAAAGTATTACGTGACAGATAGATTAGAAAAAATAGGAGTAAAAGTGAATTTTCAATAGAAATTAGAAATGTTTTGTAGAAAACTAAAAAAAAGAAAGATGAAGTGTTTTAAGAAACGGAGGGAGCATATTAAAGTATGATTTCGAATGTTTTATAGTACTAAAGTACATACATATATGAGTTATAGCAACAAATTTTGTCAAAATATAGTGTCAAAAATAGTCTGAAAGTAAAGTGATTTTTTTTTGGTGTAATGGAAGGAATGGAGTGCTACGAGTTTACGAGTAACAAATTTGGTTATGTTTGACATTATCTTCAGAGTTTACCTTCGTTAATCTAAAAATATTACATAGTTTTTAGTGTTAGAGCATCTCCAACCATACTTGCTAAACATGGCTTGCTAAACTCATTTTTAGCATGTGATTTGTGGTATAGCAAGGCATTTTGCATAATCATGTCCAACCTTTAGCAATTGCTATGATTTAGCAAAAAAATAAATTATACTTGTTTTCACTACTACATTATTTATAAAAATTTTTAAAATTATATTATCTTATATTATAAAAATTACTCCCTCCGTCCTATAATGTTCTTCCCGTTTGTGTTTACGGGGTTTGACTGAATTTATTTTCAATTCAATTTATTTGATTGTAGGCGTAAAATTAAAAAATAAAATTAATATATTTTAAAACTACATCAAAAGTTCTACAAAACAAGTGGTGACAAGACTATTATTTTATCAAGTACCTGATGAAAATAGGTAAAGAAAGTGATTAAAATTTGACCGTGTGAAAAGTAAATGGGAAGAACATTTTAGGACGGAGGGAGTAAGTAATAAGCATGTAATTTAAATATAATGATTAAAAAAAATTATACTTTAGGTAAAATAATAAAATATACTACGTATTAATTTAATTATTTAATAAATACGGAGTATCAATTAAAGAGTGGCTAGATAAACAAATAAAAAATTAGAAAGTAGAAGTACCAAAATATTTTGAGAAGAGGAAAATGAGAGAAGAAGAGAGAGAAATCAATTACTCCGTATTTTATTAATATCATAGCTTGCTATATTTTGAGAGGTTTGTTATAATATAGCGAGCCCTTTGGAGCACAAAAGTTAACATCACTTTCCAAATTATGACATTTGGCAAGTCAAAACCTAACGATTGGAGATGCTCTTGGTATTTTCTACACTAATCTCCACTTTTAAAAAATTATTTTCAAAACGGTAACATTATTTCCAAACAAATCTAAACGATGTTCCCATTTTGACTTTAACATTAATTATTAGGCACAAGTTCGACCCAAAATTTTTTATTTACTTCTCTAGCCTAAATTTTATTCTATTTTTACCCCGTCCATAACGATGTTCCCATTTTGACTCTTAAGAAATTTAAAGGGGAATATTTTGTGTTGATTTTCCAAAAATATCATTGATGTGATGAGTAAAAGTAAAATATGATGAGTAGATTATTACAGAGCAATAAAAAAGTATGATGTGATAGGTAGAGTATATTCTGTAATTTTTAAAATTGTGTGAAATTCAAATTAGCTATTAAATAAAATTGGACGGAGGAAATATGAATAACAAGTCCAACTTAAAGAAATTAGCATTGGACAAAAGTTTTTTTTTAAAAAAATGGTGTCAATTCGAGTCGCTTTCGGACCACTTCCTAATTTCCGAAATGAACGAATTCCCTTCAAAACTCTTCTCTTCAAGTGATCATGAATTTGTAGACATTTCAGATTCAACTATGGTATAATTACACCATATCTCACACTTACAGCTAAAGATATACACAAAATTTTGATAATTCACACTGACATAAAATGATAGTTCAATAAAAAAACTTTACACTAACATTTTGTGTTTGTGTGAATCATCACTCTAGCATCACATTGCCGCAAAATAAATGTGCACACCTTTGATATACAAATTGGAATACAAATCTTGGGATACAAATATCTTAATCATTTCAGATTTGGACGAGAAAATTGGGGGTTTCCTTTTGTTTGCGCAAAAAAAAAAAACTGATTAAATCTACTCAAATAAGATTAAACTAAAATAAGATAACTCATGTTTTTATCTCCTAAAAAGAGTGTTGACATTATGTGTTTGCATTTTATAATGTTTGTTGGCTTCGGTTCCGGGTTTAATCGGTTTAGACTCTACCAAATTCGGATCTGTATCAGACTTGAATACATTCGGTTCGGTTTCGATTCAATTCGGATCAATATTGAGTATTAGGTTATAATTTAGTTCTTCAGGTTTTGGGTCATTTCAGGTGTGGTTTTGGGTTATTTAGTTTGGGTTATCGGGTTCGGGTCTATTTTGTCATGTCTAATCATAGTGGAAACTCATATTTTTGAACAAAAACATGGAACTTCTAATTTGAATATAAATGTTACTCCGTATGTTTTACTTCTATTTGGGGTAGATTTATGATCATCATCATCATCAATTCATCATCATCATCAAACAATAACATGCATGGCATGGCATGGCAGATAGAGAGCCTAGAGACGCTGCTCCTGCAGGCGCCAAGCCAGAGTGCAGGGAGAGGGCTGGAGACCCGAAACCTCAGCCAAATGCTAAGCCAGAAGCTGAAGCCGGCACCCGAAGCCAACCCAGTCCTCAAATGCTACAGAGGCGCCAAGTACTTCTTCCTGGACAACTGGCAGAGGGTGTGGGTCCTCTCCCTGTGGGCCTGGGCCATGGGCGGGCTGTTCGGCTGGAAGTACGCCCAGTACAAGGGCCGACGGGCCGCCTACGATGTCATGGGCCCTTGTGTCTGCTTGGCTAAGGGTGCAGCCGAGACGCTCAAGCTCAATATGGCTCTCGTCCTTTTGCCTGTCTGCAGGAATACGATCACCTGGCTTAGGAACAAGACCCGCCTCGGCGTGGCGGTGCCGTTTGACGATAACCTCAACTTTCACAAGGTATATATGTAACGCGAATATTACTCTCCTTCCATTCTAGAGTAGATAGGACTGGTCTTATTTAAAAAAAGTGATATGTTTAAGTCTCATTTGTGTAAATTACCCATTCCTATTTAGGTGATAAATATATAATGCACTTTTATTTTGATATTTTGATGGTAATTTAACCCTATCTAGGAACATTTCTTCTTTTTTTTTTATTAATAATCAAATTTAGAGCAATTTTTGTCACGACTATCTAGCGAAACCTAAGTGAGGATTAATGATATTGTATTGGTAGGTGATCGCAGTGGCAATAGCGATTGGAGTGGGAATCCACGGGATATCGCACCTGACATGTGATTTCCCGAGACTGCTACGCGCGAGCTCGGAGAAGTACGAGCCGATGAAGCGATTCTTCGGAGAGCAGCCAAAGAGCTATTGGTTTTTTGTGAAGGGAGTGGAAGGGGTGACTGGGATTGTAATGGTGGTGTTGATGGCCATAGCTTTTACTCTTGCAAGTCCATGGTTTAGAAGGAATAGGGTGAAATTGCCAAAACCCTTTGGCAAAATAACTGGCTTCAATGCATTTTGGTACTCCCACCACTTGTTTGTCATTGTCTATGCCCTCCTCTTAGTACATGGTGTCAAACTCTACTTGACCAACAAATGGTACAAGAAAACGGTTAGTTCGTTATTCATCTCATTTTTTCTAATCTTTTAATTTGTTTTAATGATTTTTTATGGCGCTAAATATGGTGTCATAATATGACATTATGTCATTTGAAGCCTTACAATGCTCTGTTGTGCCAAAGATCGAGTACCCAGCAATGAGAGAAAAGGGGTCCCACTCTCACCGATAGGCTACAGTGGGGGAGGGGTGACATTGCCAAATTCAGGACTTGACGGAGCATTGTAACACCTCAAATGACACATCTTTCATATCATGACACCATGCATACACCGATATCATTTCAAGTATTCAGATATTGAAAATTGCACTAAAATAGATAGGAATTTGAAATTAAAATATTAAAATATTCTCCAGAATAAAATTAAATGTATGAAAAAGAGTTCTAAAATTTAAAATTAGATTTAAATAAATCCATTAAATATGCTTTGATTCAATCATCTCATTCAAAGAAAAAGTCTAATGAAAGGTTACATAATATTTGCAGACATGGATGTACTTGGCAGTCCCTATTCTCCTCTACGGTGGAGAAAGATTGATTAGAGCCTTCAGGTCCAGCATCAAACCGGTTAAGATTCTTAAGGTAATTTTTTTTATGTTTAACATTTTGGAAAAATTATGGGAGAAAGACTAAAATAAAAATAAAACATAAGAAAAGAATCAAAATATGATTTGTATGCTATAGTCTCCAAATTAGGACTTATAATAACAATAATGCCAACATGTAATATCAAAAATAATACCAGTATAAAATATGACATACTAATACACAATATATACCACATTTTATCTAATGGTTATTTTTAAATTTTAATATTTTCAACATTTTTTGCATACATCATTAAAAAAACTTGGAGGGAATGAAGATGAGACTGGGTGTAGAGTTTTTGAATGACACCGCTAGTGACACTGTTGTCCAATGACAACGGAACGGGACTGATATTTATAATTTGGTGTGTGAAGGTGGCAGTGTACTATGGGAATGTGCTGACACTACAAATGTCAAAGCCTCAAGGGTTTAGATACAAAAGCGGGCAATACATGTTTGTCAACTGTGCTGCTGTTTCCCCTTTCGAATGGTAATTCCTAATCCCCTCTTTATCCTTACATGATGTTATTTGTTTATTATTACGGGCTCTCGATAATTTTTATTTATTTATATGTTTCCATTGATCATTTGATAAAATATAATACTCTAGACACCTCTTATTTTGTAGAGGTAACATCAAAACATACAAGTAAATAAAATTATTTTTAAAAAATTACGGGGTTTTGCAATGTTGATCAAAGGAGAAAATTCCTTTAGGGACGGAAGGAGTATCACATTTTTCTACTAAAAATCTACCGATCACATCTTACTTTTATCCATCACATCAAACACAAATTGGAAAAGTCAATACAAAAAAATCCGTTCTTTATTTCACATAAAAGTCAAAACCAGAAAACCTTTTACGGACAGAGAAAGTATGTAATTGTAGACCTAATAAAGGTATTTATATTCCAACAAACTCAACATTACCTTTTTTTGCACTTCTTAGCTCTTCCTAGTCATCTAAGTTACACCCAAACAAAAAAATTAAGTCGCTCAGCTCATTTTTCCTCTTGCTCCAACAACATAAACGTAATATGTGTTCATATATACTTTCTCATTTTAATTACTCCGTATTTTAAATTTTCTCATTTTAATTATTTTAATTTTTTCATTTTCTGTTAATAAAATAAAATTATTGTAAGGTTGATATATATGTTGGGGATTGCAACAGGCACCCGTTCTCAATAACTTCAGCACCCGGAGATGACTACCTGAGTGTTCACATTCGGACGCTCGGAGATTGGACTAGACAACTCAAAACTGTTTTCTCTGAGGTAATTTAAAAACACCAATCTCCTTTGTGTATATGTTTACATTATTGACATTGTAACTCCTATTTTAATCTTTTTTATTTTCAAGTTTGATTTTCAGAGAGTTTAAGATTAATATTGAAAAGTAAAGAGTAATGGTATAATGAGATGTGTTTTTTGAAGCTACAGATTTAATGTAAAGTGTTTGACTTTCACGGAGTTTATAGAAAGAGACGCATCTTCATTACTAAAAATGTAAGAAATAAAATAAGTGAGAAATATGTTTTGACGACGTCCAAAAGGGGAAAGTGAGGATAAAGTTTTGGGGAGGAGAGCTTAGAAAGACAATGAGAAAATTGATTCAAGGATGAAGTATTGGTTAAGAGTCTCACCATTTGTAGAAATTCTTTTGTATACTCTTTTTGAAAAGATTTAGAAATTCATGATGATGTCTTCTTGTGTTACTTTCAACTTATAAAGGGAAACCCAACAAACGCACAAAGCACTAACCAATTTGTGTCTCTCTCTCCAAGGAAAAGATTTTGATGATGCCAATCACAACACAAATCATATTTGGAAAGTGGAGATTTTTTTGGATGAAATATTCCTGTGTATGTGAATCAATATCTAAGAGAACAATAACGCTTTTTTTATAACAGTTTGGGTAATAATTTAATGATGCATATTAACATTAAAAACGCTAAAAGAACTGTTTGGCGATGACATTAGAAGTTAGAGTTAGCGTTGTGAGAATGCAATCTAAAAGTCATCGTTTATCTCTAACTCATCAAAATTAATCTATACTAAAAATTTTATCCCAAACAAGTCGAAAATTATGGTGCAAATAAGGCCAAAGTTAAACGGTACCATAAGATAATCTTATAGAAATTTATTAAACTTCCTCGTGAAACTTATTAAAAGAACCAAATACTTTCAAATAATTAAAAAAAAGTTGAATTTAAATTTACAGATAGAAAGTTTGTACCATTCTTGTTTGGGACTAGCACTCTTTATTTTTTCTATGTTGCCTGGTCAAAATAACAGTTTCTTTCTTCTTAAAAAACAATGTTTTGTTTCTTCTTAGAAACAGTGTTTTCTTTCTTCTTTAAAAAACAGTGTTTCTTCTTAAAAAACAGTGTTTTCTTTCTTCTTAAAAAAACAGTGTTTTCTTTCTTCTTAAAAAACAGTGTTTTGCTTTCTTTTTTTCTTGATTTTAAAGTTGAGCATTGTGTTTGTATTTTGTGTGAAAACAAGGTCTGCCAGCCCCCACCAAATGGTAAAAGTGGACTCCTAAGAGCTGACTACTTGCAAGGAGTGAATAACCCCAAGTAAGTCCTTTTCACCCTACCAAAATAAAAACAATCCAGTATCTATTTAAGCTTTATACTCCTTTAATCCTACATACTATGGGTCCCGCAACAAAGTCACGATATTTCTCTTTTTGTCTGTCTAAAAAAATATTTCATTTTTTTAAAGAAAAAAAAAAGTGTGACTCACAACTCTTCTCTATCCTCTAAACAAAAGAACATGCTATAGTCACATTAGTTTTGATGCCATGTGTTTCAAATATACACAAATAATCATTGTCTAAATCACACAAAGAATTATTATACTGCGTAACACATATTATCAAACTTGGTGTCACAAAATTAGTGTAATTAAGTAGCGCGACTATACTTTATCTCTAAATAAATTATAACCATGCTTTGAAAGTCAAAGTTTTTTTGCGGGACGGAAGGAGTACGTAAGTGTCAAGACTCTGAGAGTGTGCCAAGTGTGAACTCGTAAATGGTCCTCTAATTTTGTAGAGCCCAATTTTTTAAGCATTCATAGTTATGAATATTTGATATTATGTTAAAAATAATTTTTTCATATATATAGACTTTTCTTAAAATGATACGGAGTATAGAATAATAATGTGATACTAATTCATTAGTATTGAAAGAATTGGTGCCACATGAAATGCAGCTTCCCAAAGGTGTTGATTGATGGACCATATGGGGCACCAGCCCAAGACTACAAAAAGTATGATGTGGTTTTTCTGGTAGGGCTAGGGATTGGAGCCACCCCTATGATAAGCATTGTCAAGGACATAGTTAACAACATTAAAGAAGAAGACATAGAAGATGCAAAAACACAAGAACAAGACACAGAAGATGGTGGGTTTGGCCAGAGGAACAAAAACAACCACCACCACTTCAAGACCAAAAGGGCATATTTCTATTGGGTCACTAGGGAACAAGGCTCGTTCGACTGGTTCAAAGGTATATATATGAACTCCTAAACCAGAAACTCTACACGAAAACAAATCACTATCATAATTAACAGTATACAGCAAATAAATAATATACGATATATGTTTCCTTAACAGGTATAATGGACGAAGTGGCAGAGATGGACCGGAATCACGTGATAGAGATGCACAACTACTGCACAAGCGTATACGAGGAAGGCGACGCGCGATCTGCGCTCATAACAATGCTTCAGACGCTACACCACGCCAAGAATGGCGTGGATATCGTCTCTGGGACCCGCGTCAAGTCCCATTTCGCTAAGCCTAATTGGCGCAACGTTTACAAAAGCATCGCCCTCAATCACGCCAATGCAAGAGTTGGTAAGTTCTTTTTCCTTTTATTTTCTCCACCTTTTTTTGTGTTTGGTATAGGAAATAAATAAATAACTTTGATCAACCGTTTTGAGAGCCATTTAAATGTACCCCCATAAGCCAACGCAAGTGCACGTGCTTGGGCATAAAGCTTCAAAAAGGATGAGTTCATAAATAGACTTTATTTTTGAATGAGTAAATTCCACAAATAAATTCTTTATATTTGAAAATATTTCAGATTTAGTTCACTTTCCCTGATATAGTCAACTTTCTTTCTTTAAGTTTCAATAGGAGATTCAAAGTAAGTATATTTACAAAAGCAAATTGGAATTAATTTTCAAGGTATGTTTGACAAAAATGCAGGGGTTTTCTACTGTGGGGCACCCGCATTGACCAAGGAGTTGAGACAGCTGGCATTGGATTTTTCACACAAGACATCTACCAAATTTGATTTCCACAAGGAAAATTTTTGAGACCCACTTCTTCTTCTCTAGCTTTATATGTGCTCCAATCCATCATAATCTTACGTACAGACAAGGACAAAAAGCTTAGTTTTTTTTTCATTTCACACTAAGGTAATCTGTTGATCTTATATATTTGTAATTTGATGCACAAGTTGTTGTTGTTGATGCACAAGTTAAATATGTTGAAAATTCAATAAATGTAATTATTATTATTATTGTTGTTGTTGTTGTTTCTGTTGTTGTTGTTGTTGTTGTTATTGAGTCAGAGTCAGGCCGAGCCGCGCGCTTGAATATAATGTTCGAGCCCGACCCTCAAATTTGTGGGCTCTCATATGTTATGGGTCAGGCCGGCATGTACACCAAAAATTCAACTCAAACCTCGTGTTTTTGGCGGGCAGGCTTTTGCTCGTTGAACAGATACCCGGACTCTTGATCAGGTCTATGCTCCGTGGAAGAATATCACTGTGCACTTCGGAACACAATTGACACATGCCCAATTTGTAAAAATGGGATTAAATTGAGACTTTTCAATATCATTTGCCATGTTTCAAGGAGAGGAGATAATCTAATTTTTTAATGAAATGAATTGGACTCCTAGACATATATTGGATTGTAAAAAGTCTCGAGGCCTATAAAAGTTGAGTTCTTAATTAAGCTTTGGACACCCTAAGGTCGGGTCCTGGATGTGATGTGGATATGTGATGCTTTTTTTTCTCTCATTTAATCATAGCAATATGGACTATGGAGGATGTACCATGATAGTGGACTAGTGGGGAGGACATATTGGTTGTTGACAATGAGAGATGTATATGTTCCATGATTTGATCTTTGTGATATTTCAATTAATTTTTGTAACAATTGACGTATGAGGATCATATTTTCATGTATGAATGAATCGAATACGATGAAGATTGAAATGCTGATTTTATAGTGTGTGTGTGTGTTGTAAAACTTGAGTCTTTGTAAATCAACCGCGGGGTTTTTTAATCAATATACTCCAATCTCAGAATAAATTCTATAGTATGACTTTTCATGTGAGAATGTTGCATTTAACCATTAATGTCGCATAAATTATGTTATTTACAAGACATGGAAATACTATGGACTACTTTGTTTAAATGCATATGATTAGTAACGAATAATGGTTAAACTTTTTTTTACTGCAAGGAAGAAATAATGGTTAAACGATAGTTCTAAACGAAATCTGTTTATATGGCATTTTTCTAGAGATTGAATCCATATATATATGATCCATTCACAAAATCCTAGTGACTACTCCTCTGTATTACAGTTGCATCAGGCTTGGGTTGGCCAGTAGCCCAAGATTGTTGTTAATGCTATAGATTCATGTGTAATTTGTATTATGGTGTCCAGCCCAAATGCTTTTATTTGCCCCACACATTTGTCCTATCTCTCTTTTAACTCTAGCTAGCTCAGTTCATTTGTAATTCCTTTCCTAAAAAGGTGTTTGGGACTGATTTTGAAAAATAATCACTTTTCATGAAAATAAGCACACCCAAACACCTTCTACGATTAATACTCAACTCTCCTCATTTACATTTGTGTACCCTATTCAAACTTCATGCAAGACTAGTTATCTCACACACCCCCTATCAATTATTAGGTATCCAATTTAAAGACTAAAGTTTGAATGCCCCTATGGTTAATTGACCTATGGTGTTGGCTTCTCATGTACTTGGGCAGCATACTTAGAACAAGGACAAATATTTGAATAACCCCAAGGTTAATAGACCTATGGTAATGGCTTCTCCACGCCACAATACGCCTTATTGTCCACTTGTCTTCCTATGACTTGGGGCAGGGTGGATTCCACCTTTGGAAATTTGGGACAAAGGGTCACAAACTTAGAGATAAATTTAAAGTTACTATATTCAATTGCTCTTAGATTTTCAAAGTCCTATAATATAGTAGTTTACGAAAACTCGTAAACAATAGAATTAGGGTCGTGTGGTGTCAGTAATTGTATACAATTAACACTATATACGACATTGATCCCAACTACAGTAGTTGGGATTAGGGTGCTGGTAGCAATGATGATGAAGATGATGGTATTTGTACAAACCATTTTATGGTGCTCTAGTTTTTGTGTTTTTACCAACTAGTCTCAACATCATTTTGAGGACATTGTACACGTGCACTTAAATTCATTCTATGAAATGCAATTTCCAAAACATGATCAATCTATCAATAACTGTGTGTGGGTGTGTGAAGTACTGATTCAGAAGATGCAAAGAGAAGAGGTCAGCCAGAACCTGGCATGTGTCATTTCTTCCTTCTGTGTTTCTGGAAGTTGGGCTTTATTGGCTGGCTTAAGGTTATGTCCTTCCCGACCGAAGATCTATATGGAACGAGAGGCTTCTTAATCACCCCAAATGGATCAATAATAATAGGAACACTGCATGATGTCACAGGAGAAGCTGTTTTCCTTTTGAGCTGCTTGGGAATCTCCAGTCTCTCTAGGATTCGAGACGTTTTCTCGTCTACTTGTCTAGAACTAGAAGCCTGTGGCGCAGACAGAATCAATGGCTCAAGCTTTGGTTTAGGGTTACACTTGGGAGAACACATTTTGGGTTCCTCGGTTACAATTAGTTTTTCCCATTCTTCTGCAACTAGCTCGCTGTTTATGTCTCCAGCTTCCATGTCGAAAACTAATAGATTTTCTTCCAGCAATTCTCCCTCAGTTGACTGTGTGAACTGTGAAGCCTCTGCTGGAGAATCTTGTTGGGGGGAGTGTAACACAGTTGCTATGACATCTTTATGCTTGAGAGGTATTGCCCTGAAATTTCAAAGCCTTATGATTAAAGATCATTGGCCAGTTAAATCTCAAAGAGAGTTTGCAAAAGAGATTTTTTTAAAAAATAATGGTGTTAACAAACTTATTTTTTGTATTGCGTGTGTGCATAGTGTTTGATAAAACATCATTTTGACGTGTTCAAAAAGACTTTTTTATGTATTTCTCATCAAATGCATAAAAGGGGTTGAGTTTGTAAGAGGTCAATTTGATTAATAAATAACAAAACACTGCAATTTGTAGTTTCTTCAATTTAGCATTTTGAGAGCGGTATGAACTTTATGTCTTTTAACAGCACTCCACTAAGCACTTAGCGTCCGACTGCTTTACTTGAAATAGTGTTTTGGGAGCTTAAAAACTTGGCAATACACAACCTAGAATGAACTGTGAACATTTTGGGTTTTAAGCATTGTATATCATAGAGGTTCAATTACTTCAATAGGTTCTAGGATCCTAGCATAAATGAACTGCCAATTGTAAGAATTCTCTAACACTGTGTTTGGTTCGAGTAATTTGAAAGGGAAAAGAAAAGAAAATGAGAGGGGAAATAATTTTTCATGTTTGGTTAGATAGGAAAAGAAAAAAAAGTGGAAGGAAAAGAAGATAAGAAGAGAAATTGTACTAAGATGAGGGAAAACGAAATTCCTCCCACTTTGGTGTGGAAAATGAGAGAATATCATTTTCTTTTCTTTTCCTTCCAAATTCCTTGAACCAAACATAATGTTAGTTTAGTGTACAATAAGAAAGACATGAGCTCTTGTTAGTAGAAGAAAAAAACTATCAGCAAAGCAAATTACCCAAATTGCAAGCTTTCTTTCACAAGACAGTTCAGTTTTTTGTGAAAGCCTCTCTCATGATGAAATGGATCATAGTCGCTTACTTCCATCTGAAAATAACAAGCAAGAAATTTAGGTTTAGGTGCTCAAAACCTTGCTGAAGATATGAAAATTTAGTTTGATTTAGTGAAAGCACTTTCGGAAAAGATATATTCCCTCTTGTCCTTAATATAGGGAAAAGTGGAGTTTTTTTCCGGGTGAAATTAAGGTTTGAAAATAAGCATTGTAATCATATCATATGGTGTATATTATTACATGGTATGTTGGTCTATAAGCAAGACAACATAGTTCGACAACAAACGATAAATTTATGTGTTTTTAAGTACTCTATAGTTAATGAATTTACGTTTTGTAGATGAAAGTCAACTGTCCTTATTTAAGGCCAGGAGGGAGTACCGGTCAATGACTTGTATTGAAAGTATATTTATTTACTTCAGTTCATTGTAAATAATGCAGCTAATATTGTCTCTAAAAGCTATTCCCATAATCTATTGCTTGTGAAGTGGTGAGGAGGTCATTAGCAACTCAGCAGGACGATTTGGCGCCCAAAGCTTTCTCTCTTAGAGAGGCTTAGGGGAAAGGGTCTCAACGTAAGGTTAAGACGTAGGCAAACTTTAGAAGAATATGGGATGCATGCTACATGTCCCAAAAATAATAATAGAAGAATCAATATACTGACCTTAAACAAAGATGCTTGAACAGAATTTTCAATATCATCTGCTACCTTCACATGGGAGAAAGGCATAACTTCAGGAGCTGGCAAGATTTCCTCTGATCCAGCAAGCCGCTGCAATTTTCATGAACATAATAAGAGCAGCAGAAGAGAGAGAACTGGTTTGCTAACAATTTGTTATTGGCACTAGTTTGATTGGGAGATTTTGAGGGGGGGGGGGTACTTATTTTATTTATTCATACATTTAGATAATAAAGTGAATATGGAATTCAAATACACTTTTTAACTTAACACATACTCCGTATGAAGTAGTTAAAGACTAACAGATAGAGAAGTTTTTATAACAAAAGCAATCCTCCCTCTGTAATCCCTCAACCAAACAAGCCAGTAGTTGCTAAGTAATTGAAGAACAGGGAGGAAGTTAAATTAGCATAAATAATTCGGAGAAAAATTAATGAACAAGAACATGCAATGCCAACTAAATTGAAGTGGCAAAGTAATAAGTAATGGCTTCTTTCTTCAGGCTAGGAAAAGAGACATAGAAATAAACTCACTTTAAGAAGCATAATTCCTTTCTCCGATGGTAAAAGTAGATAATAGCACAGGAAGGAAGTTTTCCTCGCAGTATCAATGTTATAATTTGAAGAGCAAACTATACCCTGGTCAAGGGAATTCAATAAACCACTGATCACTTGAAAAACTGCCCAAAACACAAGAAAACGTCACATTCGTGTTCATGGAAAAAACACAGCTAAATTTATTAATCAAAGATTCTGATAAGTAAAAAAGTTCTATCATAAAGAAGCTATCTACGCACCTTTACAGTTCAGCTCTGATTTCTCAGTCTCGTCTGAGTCAAGAAAAGCTGGAGAGATGGCCAATGAAGAACCAAAAATGATCCCTAAGAAGAGGCAAAAAGTAGGAATATTAGCACTTGACATTTCTCATGAACCAGATACTAAATAATCAATCAAATTCATAAACCCACAACATGTGCCACTGGCATGGAGGGATTTTTAATTTAAGGTTTTGAAACTTTATCCCAGTTGCTACATATTGACAGAACCAAGAGGTAAAGATATAGTCACCCGGTTCACAATAAGTGACAAAAAAAATCTGGCTAGATTAAGGTATCACGAAATGTTTTTTTTTAATTCTACTCTCAAAATGCACCTATCATTGAATATCTCATCCATTTAAAAAAGAAGGAAAAAATAAAAAATATAGAATTACATAATGTCTTGGTTTTATAAAGCTGCACTTTGCAATCCAAAAATGACACTAATTGTGAACATGAGGGAGTATATTTTAGTCAAAAACAAAAACGAATGAAACTAAAAACCTCTGGCGCAGTTTCTTTCTCCCGGGAAACAAAAGAAGAAACATTTGAGTTTTCAAGTATCTACCTTCATCAAGTGACTGCAAATTGGTTCTTTCAATGACATTGAATTCAACCGGTGATGAACTTTGTGGGATCTCCAGGCAGCATTGAAAAGAAGGCAGGTACAGGACTATATTTTCTCCAATCTTTACGGAATTTTCAATCACATTTAATCTTCCGAGATCATCCCCTGTGACTGGACAAAAAGAGTTAACATTGGTCTCTTTCTTCTTTGAGTCTTCTAAGGGGATGCCATGACACCTGCAAGTCTGTTGGCAATGGCAGCAATGATGGTCTCAGTCAGTGTGAAGTTAATGTGATAAGTAGAACCCGTGGAAGACAGAAAGATGCATCGTTTTAGTATGAAACCTTTTAGGAGATTCTAAAAAACAAAGTTGTGTGGGCTTGATTCAAAGTAGACAATATCATAATAATATGGAGTTAAGGGTACGTTTGGCGGTGCTAACAATAAGCCAATCCAAAACTTTGTGAATACTAGAAAGGTCTTCCACATGATGACGTAAACTCATTTCCTTAAATAATGTAATTTGTGCATAATACCTCGCAGGGAGAGAATTCGTCTATTATTTGATTGAGAGGTGTGGACATATTACACAATATCTGGTTAGAAGAGCCAACAAGATTGGTCTTGAAGATAAAACGAGCCTGTAATGGATCTTCCATGTCATCCTTCAACTCCTGGCTCCACTTCGTCACCAGACTAAAAAATACACGCGCATCTGAAAGTTCAAATCATTATCTGTTAGCCCACACCAATGAAATCTGATTCACGATATCAGGGGAAGGGGGCACTAGGGAAATATAGTGCCTATAGAAGTAAGCGATTAACCTGGAATTCGGTGTTGGAACAAGCAATTCTCGAGATCACCAATCTCCTTCAGGAAATTGTTAATAATTCCGGGAATATCAGCAAGGTTACTTGAGGTTTGTTCCAGGAAAACAAACTCCACAGAAACACACCTATCTGCTGCATCCTATCAGGAAAGAAACCACATTTCTTGAACTCAAAGCTTATATCATCAAGTTAGGATGTACAATGGCCCCTTCTCAACACAGTTTAAACATGTTATGTAGTGTTTGAACTTTACATTTGTGTTCATTAGTGAAAACTCTGTAGTGAACACAAATACCTGTTTACTTGTGAAGTTACATTGGCAGAAAAGTACAAATTTAGATGCAAATGGGTGTCTTACCATTAGTGCCCTTCTAGTTACGGAGTCTAGACTTTCAACTACACATGAGCTTATCAACACAACTTTTTTTGTGATGTCTTTTTCTTGACTTCCCCATGAATACAGAACTTTGTCACTTAGAACATCTGCAAGTTTCATGTCTGCAAAAAACATAAGCAGACCATACGGTACGCCAAGTAAGCGAATGAACACGTAAACACAACACATGAAAATTCATGTAAGAACTAAGAAGTTAATTTCATGTTTTCTTTTCGATTATACCAGCACCACAAAAAGACGTTGAACTGTTGAAATCTGGAGCAAAGGCATCAATAGGAAGACTATTAACTGCATGGTGGAAATCACGGAGATTGAAGTTGCCTCTAGGACTATAAGCCACCTTCAGCTGCTAACAACTTCATCCATCAGTTCTGAAGTTAGCAGTATAAGCTCCCATCTCTCAAACAAGGTACACACCACAATATCTTTATATCTCCAAAATGCAAAATTTGACATTTACAAGGGCATTCAAGCAGCAATATGAAACCGTGCTGATTAATTAGTTCCTTCAACGGAAGCTTATGGAGTACCATTACACTTATTTGTTTACTCCCAATGCATTCTCGGACACAGAGGTTAGAGACCACATTACATACCTCATTGGTGCATGAAAATCGATTTCTGAAAACGTAGCACAGTCCGATACGATCAAGCAGTGGTTTCTGTTTCAATAGACTACCATTTCTAGCCGAAAAAGAAGATATTGCGAAGAAATTGGCTATCTGCAAAAGTGACTGGCATCGCAAAATACGTACAGATCAGATCAATCGCAACTAGGATATAATCTCGGTGCTAAATTCTCATCATAGATTCAAAAGCCAGATACTCGGGAAATCTACAGAAATATTCGAAATCAGACAGAGTTTAATCAATCGCAGCTAGAAGATAACCTGAATTCTCGTCATAAATTCAAAAGGCAGATACTCGGAAAATCTACAACAATAAATTCCCATTCGGACAGAGGTTTATGATCTTAGGCGCAAATTACCTGCTTCAAATCGCGAAGAAGCGGAGGCGATATGCATCGGAGATCCAAGACGAAGCAAAGCAGCACCATTTTGGAATTCCGATCCTCAGGCGTCCGATGAGCATTGTTCAGCTAGGCTGATTTTCCCTCCGTTTTTATAAGGCCATTTGAATATACATATACGAGTTTTAGCGCGTAAGCCCTTCCACTCGTGGAATAATTTCTTAGCCTCCCAGCCCCAAAGCTCAATTGCACACATTTATCTTAAGAATGTGTTTGGTTCAAAGAATTTAAAAAAGGGGAAAAAAAATAAAATGAGAGGAAAAGGCTGTTTTTAATTTTTATTGTTTGATTATGGAGGGAAAGGAAAAAAGTGAATCGAAAAGATAATGGGAAAGAAATGAATTAAGATGAAGGAATACATTCCTGAAAAAATTGAAAAAAAAAATTCTTTTTTTTTTCCTTTCGAATCCACGAATCAAACATAGCATAAAAGTTAGCTTGGATCTAAATTTATTTTTTGAAATTTTAAATACAAAATTAATAATTAACATGAAATTAAGTCAATTTTGCTAAAACGAAAATGGATATAACAACACCATTAATTTAAGTGAAATTTACACTAAATAAGAATAAAACATACGTCATTTTTCAATATAATACTTAAACTTTTTTATTCTCTAAATAATACTTGAATAATGCTTAATGACAGAAATAATGTTCAGTGATAGTGTACATTTAGTTTGAACAATGTCTAGTGGCACTGAAAATGACCAACAGACATTGAACAGTATAAATAAAAGCATATGACACTACATTGTAACATTAGGAATGTCACTGCGTTTTAGTACTATTTAGTAATTTTGCAACAAAGGCCCATAAAAATGTTACTTTGTCTCTTTTCATCCAACCAAAATATTTTTTTTTAAAGAAAAGAATTAGTGATTCACTAGTCTTCTCTTTCTTTTGAAGAAACTACTCGTATAACCTTAAAGTTTTCAATTTTCACAATTATACGATGAATTCTTAGCGCGTAAGCCCTTCCACTCTCTTAGAACATTCAAGCATCAAGGTTCAAGACAATGCTACAGAGTATATTATTTGAAAAATACAACTTCAAGCCTAGAATTGACATCATGGTTCACACTACCAAAGAAAATCACACAAATCATTGTCTGCGAGAAAATATTCTATGTAAAAGACTGATAGTGTCAATCTTATCATCTGTGGTGTGAGTGTAGCAGACCCCGATTATTTAAAGAGAAAAAATAAAGGGAAGAATGGTGCTGCATGGTTCCAGCATTTGCCCAGTAACAGAAAACACAAGGGCAAGTGGGGATGAGTGAAGTGACTAACTAAAAAATCCTTTCAACAACATTTGTAGGACCATTTGGCGTTGCAAGAATGTCAGAAACGAACTTGATCAAAGAGCAAAGCCCGCCGAGGAAGTTATGATCAATGACCCCACCAGCGTCCGCCACGTGCGCGAAATCAATCATCTTGATGGTTGCGCCATGCGAGCTGTTTTCTTGTGACGCAAGTTCTTTCTCGTACATCATGAGGATCGAGCAAGAATAGAAATGGTAGATAGTTTGATCCTCAAACCAAGCTTTCAGCTCGAGCAACTGCGATAAAATCCCGTGGGGCCCACCATATACGGCTGACACGAAGGAGCAATCAGATGAACTGTTTGAAGATACAAACTTCCTTAGAACTAAGCCAACCTCTGATGCAGAGAGGTTCTGAACCGATTTCCTTTCGGGCTTCCAAAAACCGGTTTCTTTGGGCACGTACATTTGGAAGCCCGAAAGCCTGAAACCTAAGGTGATGCTGGATGTCTCGCGGTCCTTTTTCAAGCATTTCTCAATGTACTCCGAGGATTCGTGTGGGGGCCACGTCCTCGACCCGATCTTGATGTCCATTATGGACGGATTGGATTTGGACAGAGTGAGGTCTTCCAGAACTAGATGGGATAGTAGGCCGGAACCATCTGATGCCTCGAGGACCTGAGTTCCATGGAACTTGGGGAAGAAACGGCGAATGCGGGGCGGGATCTTAGGGTTTGAATAGAATGATGTGTAGAATGCAACCTCATGGGACCCACGATCTTCGCCCTGCAATGGCTTGTAGAAGAGGCCGGAATCGTCTACGAGGGGTCCCAGCTTCCCGCCGTGCGCTTGATGCCCTGCAACTTGATGTTCAGGGATCTTTAGCATGTTGGCAGAATTGCAGATGCTGAAGAAGCTTAAAAAAAAAGTCAAAAATAAACAAACAGAGTATATTGATGCATGTTGAGAAGAGGATATTAAATGAGTGTTTCACATTACTTCAATGAATGTTAGCTATGCAATTTGTTTGTAAAGAATGAACTTATGCTTTTTCTCTAAAATATCAAGCTTCCTTTGAGTTTATGATTATTTGCTTAATCACAAAGAATATAGTGTTTTAATTCCAAATATTAAATTATTAGTGTATTTGATATATTACAAACTTTAGAAGATCTAGTTTGAATTTTTGCAGGGGCTGGTTCAATTTGTTTTTAAACTTCCAGTATCAGTCAGATTAACAACAAAATACGCTGTCGATATAAGTATGAAAAACAGAGACAATGAATAAATTATGCATCATAGATTTTTTTAATGCAATGTTTGGTCAGCAGTCAGCTGTAATGAAACTAGATGGAATCAATTCGTTGGAGATGTTTGCAGAACAAATAACAAATTGATGCCATTACATTGCACAACACATACCAAACGTGGCCTAAGAAATTACTCACTTAGCTAAATTTGAACTTGGCCAAACAAACCCTAAATCAACGAAGAACTTCAATTGATTGCAAGTGAAACCAATTCTGCCATTCCTAACTGCTACGGAAAATGAACATATAAAAATTCGACCAGAAAATTTCAGATGAATGAATAAAGAGCGGGAGAAAGCGTCATACCTGTGCGAGAAGGCAGAACCGCCGGTAAATTTCACCGGGACGAGAATGATAACCCGGCGACGGAAGGTATGCGCCGGTTGCGACTTGCGAGTGGCTCCTGCCTCTAGTTTCGTGTAGTATGTCGGATCTGGCGGTGACTTCCTGGTGTGGCGATGCCTATGTCCCAGTCGCTGATCGTCTTTCAGCACTCCGGCAATCGGTGGTCGAGAGGGTGGCCAGACTTATATACACGGCACTGACGGCATGCCAGCCATTACTCTGAACCATTCAAATACAATAATAAGAATATTAGGGAGTACTCCCTCTATTTGTCCACTTTTTATGTTATCACTTAAAATTGATAATTTTTAATCTAAATTAAATAAAAATGATATTAAATAGTATAAATTTTATATTTAGTATTTTATAATATAGAGTTTTTCATATTTAGTTCTCGATTATAAAATATCACCGTCCTGATCTTTTTTATGAATACGTTTTCATAAATAGTCTTTTTTATTTTCTGACATGTGTAAATTTGTTAGCTAAAAATGTAAAAATTTTGTATAAATATAATTTAACTAATGGATAAATTCATTAATTTTGGTTTTGGTTGGAAATAGTATTTTCGATTAACATTTACATTTTGGATAAAATTTGAATACGAGTATTAATGATTAATTTTGAAATTACTACTCCTCCGTCCACAATTAAATTTCCGTTCACCATTCACAAGGTCATTCACTTTGTTAGTCTATTCTTCGTCACTTATTTGATAAAATAATATAGTCATGGGAGAAAGACCAAAGTAGGACTAAAACATTGAAAATATATCAAAATATGACTTCCATGTTTTTATTCCCGAAATAGGACTTACATTACCAAACATGGTCATATACATTACCAAAATAGTATAGTAATTTGCACATATACACTGCCACATTACCACAATGCAAAGTCACATTACCACAGTGCAAAGTCCTACTCCGGGAAAAAAAACATGAAAGTCTTATTTTGGTACTTTTCTCTATGTTTTAGTCCTATTTAGGATGATTTCTATATAGTCATGTCACCTCTAATTTTGTAGATCTTTTGATATAGTATTTTAATATGTAATTTTTATTTTTAAATTTTACACAATTTTTTTATATAAAATGATTTGAAAATAAATTCAGTCAAACATCGTAACGCGCAACAAGAAGTTTATTTGTGTACGGAGGGAGTAATATTAAAGCTTACACAAATGCCAAACACAACTTTATGATAGTATCCTGTAGGGGTGAGCATGGTACGGTATGGGACGGAATTATACCCGTACCGATACCGTACCATAACTTTCGGTTCGGCATGGGATTTCATGTGTTACCGTTACCGATCCCAAAATATTGGTACGGTACGGTTCGGGAAAAAATGATATCGGTACGGGATTTTTTCGGGATTTTTTAAACAAACAAGGTATAATACACAATTGGTAATAAAAATAGTAGTAGAAACATTTGTCTTAAATAGAAAAACAGTAAATGTAAATAGCAGTAGCAGTAGTACAAAAGATTGCTATCCAGAGATTATCAAACAATCAGGTTGTTATCTGTTTCATTTTAAGGGCCTTGAAGCTCGAGCCGTGTGTTTATGCTTTTAACTAAAACAATTTGAACTACTTTTGTATGCTTTTCTATGTTTTAATCAACTACCGCAATGCAAGTAAAGAAAGACAAAATAAGTATATATGATCTATGTCCTTGTTATAAAAACATATTAAGTGTTGTCCGTGTCATGTATGGATTAAAAGAATTAATGGTATGTTTGGGAACATGGATTTGGATTTTAAATCCGGATTTGACTTAAATTCCATGTTTGGGAAACTTAAGCATTTTGAATTTGGATTTGAATCAAATTCTTTACATTCAAAACAAAGCTTAATTTGAAATCCATGCACCTCCTCTAGTCATTTGAAATTCAGGATTTCAAATTTTGGAATTGAAATGCATGAATTGAAATGAAATGCTAGTTGCCAAACACTACCTAAAAGAATTTCAGATTTTCACAACAAATTCATAACAATTAGCAAAAAATTCAAATAAAACTTTCAATTTTTCACATGACAAATTCATATAGGTAGTGTTTGGCAAATAGCATTTCATTTGTTAACTACGTAAAGTTAAGGTTTTAAAGAAATTCTGAATTTCAAATGACAAGGGGAGGTGCACGGATTTCAAATTAAGCTTTGTTTTGAATGTAAAGAATTTGATTCAAATCCAAATTCAAAATGCTTAAGTTTCCCAAACATGGAATTTAAGCCAAATCCGGATTTGAAATCCAAATCCATGTTTCCAAACATACCAATAACAAATTGTCAAATTCAAAACAAAAATTCATAACAAATTCATACCACAAATTTATAAAGATTAAATATTTTTCATATTTACACATAACAAAATGTAAAATTCATAAAGAAATTCTGAAATTAGTATTTTTTTACCTCCGTACCTGGACTCCGGGACCTGGAGGCGGGAGAGTTTCCGGCGAGGTGGCGTCTGGAGGGCAGCGGCTAGACTCTGCAGCAGTGGAGCGTGCAGGCGGACGACGGCGTCTCTCTCTCTGCGACTTCCGTTCGTGCTACTGCTTGGGTTTGGGAGTTTGGCACCTTAGCTACTTCTGCTTTCTATGTGGAACGGAAATAGGAGGAGGGCTACTGGGCTAGGGAGTTTTGGGCTTTGGCTGGACTAGACTTTAATATATATATATATAATATTTAAAAAATTAGGCCATTCTCATTCCTAAATTTGACTGGACTTCAATACTCCCTATATTATAATAATTATATATATATATAGATTTTGGTTCCAATAAGAATAAGATCTAATGAAAGAAATAAAAATGAATAATAACCCTTAGATCTTGATCTCATCCCTTCCTTCTTATTACTTTTCACAAGGGCATTTAAGGATTTTTAATCACACTACTTAAATTATTCATTTATACGCTGCTCTTCTTCTCCGGAAAATCTGCCCACAATCTTCTTTCCTTTCGGCTTCTGTTTTCCTTATCTGGGTATGAGATCGTCAATGATTGGATTTCGTCTTCATGAATTTAGCTTCGATTTTTTACGCTGTGAAACAACACATCAAATGATTCTTCCGTCCGAATCTGGTATGCTCCAAAGATAAAATCTTTATATTTTATCAATTCTACCTTCAATTTGTCATGATTGGATTCATCACTTTTGGATACATTCTCTTACAGATCCAAGTATGATTAATCATGGATTTACTTGTGAATTTATGGTTTTCAAAATTTTAGTTTTATTCATTCTATTTTGCTTTGACCTTTGTGGATAAACTCTACACAGAGTTTCAAATTCAGAGTAAAAAAAAGTGCTGGTTAGCAACAATTTTTTAGACCTAGAATTCAAATTCGGTTTCAAAAAAAGAAATAGTTATATTTTTTAAAGATTAATCGTAGATGTACTAATTACAAATATCATAGATTTACTCCTACGAGTTTGAATTTGTTCAATTAGGATTCAAGCACTAAGTATTTCAGTCATATGATCAGTTCTCATGATGCAATAAGAAACTCCCTTGAATGCAGTATCACATTTTGAATGTAGCTAGATATGTTTTAGTTTCTTGATTCATGAATTCTTTTTTACTTCAGTTTGAAATATTTTTTGCACCAGTCATTCTTCTTGTTTTGTCTTGTATTGCGTTTGTGAGACAAATTTGGCATCTAGTGTCCAAAATTAATATATCAATTTTTTTTAATTTTTACACAGTATTGCATTCTGATTAAGACGGTAATGCTCATGCACTGGCAAATGGTGCACTCACTTACCTGAGCCAATGTTGATTATAAAATTCACTGTATGTTTGTGATTTTTATATTGCCATGACAATGTTGTTGAAAATTTGGTATTTATAGAGGTGTATATTACTGCTTTTAGTTTTCTTTCACCTTTTTTACGTTTTGTTTGCATTTTCTGCTATTGTGCATTATCAGAGTCAAGGTGATGCATTTACATGGGAAGATAATGCATTCTTAAAATCAAGGTATAGGATAATGAATTCTCTTTATTGTGCATTCTTAGAATAAAATGATGTATTTGATGGTCTAAATGGATGCATTTGATGGTGAAATTCATCTGACATAAATATGACGCATTTGTATAAACTAGATAATGAACTTTTTGCCAATATTGATTTTAAATGTTCTTTGATACATTTAAATATGTGTAAGAGGCATGTTGAATGATGCCAATTTTAAGAGATCAAAGTGAATATTTAATAGGTCCAAGTGCAAGATAGAAGTCTATTTGAAAAAAATTAATGATTGCCTATTAGCTCAAATGGTAGAGCGGTTTGTACTACACGAATTACATTGCATTCTCATGTTTTTTCATGACTTAGGAGTTCATAATTTGATATAACAGAATTTGAATAAAATTTAAAGCATACATCATAATGCATAAATTCACTACCACAGTGCATTCGTTTTAGATTTTATATTTGTGGATATCAAAATGCATCCGCCAAGATAAATTGAGAAGAGTGAGATACTAAAAATTATTTCCTAAATTTGATATGTTGTATGTGTATTATTTTAATGATTTTTTTGCATTTGTTACATATCTTAGTGACGTTGTTGTTAAAAAACAATAATCACAAAATTATTTATCACTATACAATGCATTCTTAACTTGTAACTGTGCATTTTAAATAGATATCTATGCAACACGTGTTAAGCCTTATCAATACAAAAGTAAAACTTTAATCCTTATTATGTGCAATCTCAATTTGCTTATTTCTGTATACTTTTATTGGAAGGGGGGGGGGTGGAAGTATTTTCATGTGATCTTCAAATTATTTAATTGGACCAGACCTATATATGTGGGATTAGTTATCTTTCTACATTGGCGTACAAGTTTTGAGGACTAAAATGCCCCTGCTAACTTCAATCCCTCCTAAATTATAGCACATCATTTATTGATTATGTTTCTTGAAATGCCACATGACTCTTTATTAGGTGTGATCCGTGCCGTTCAATTATAGAGATCAATGGTTGTTAATCATTCTTATTTCTTTCATTGTGAGTCATTCTCACTTGAACCAACCCCTATATATATATATATATATATATATATATATATATATATATATATATATATATATATATATATATATATATATATATATATATATATATATATATATATATATATATATATATATATATATATATATATATATATCCCCTTATATAATAAGATTCAACTTCGTTTATCGCCGTTATATTAGTTCTTTTTCCGTCTTTTTCCGTCTCTTGCTCCGTCCGTCAACCCACGTCACCACTTCTCTACTCACCGCCTTTCTTCCTTGATTATCTCTCTTCCTCACACTCTTCGCGTAAAACGAAGAGTGTATATGCTGGTCGCTAAAGCCCTTGCGATTCGACTATATATATGTAATATGCTGGTTGCTACAGTAGTTCGGTACGGGAAAGCCCTTGCATAGCTATGTCGCTAAAGCCCTTGCGATTCGACTATATATATGCTGGTTGTTACAGTAGTTCGGTACGGGAAATTCGGTTCGGGACAGAGCCCACTCCCATTCCCAAATACCAGCCCGAAAAATCGGTTCGGTACGGTTCGGGATTTCTTCGAAATTTTTCGGTTCGGTAAAATTTGATACGGGTAATCCGGGAATTTTCAGAAATTTTCGGTAACGGTATGTTACATGCTCACCCCTAGTATCCTATTCCTAGTACACTTGTACTTCTGTATTCAATTCCCAATGTATCTTCCGTCCCAATCTTTTCTTGTTCAATTCAAAGAGATGATGAGATTATGAGAATAGCAGAGTGAAGAGAACACCGGATCGGAGTTCTGAGTAGGTGCAATGGTATTATCCCGCTTAATTTCTCAGCTCCGGCCTTTCGATTTCATCTCCTTTCTGTTTCATCTACTGGCTTTAGCTATGGATTACCTCACCCTCAAAGTCTCATCCGCACTAAACCCTAGATTCAAGCGAGGAGCCTTCGAAGATCTGCCGCCGGAAATCGCCATTGACATCCTGTCAAGGCTCCCGATCCGGAGCATCGTCAATTGCAAGCGCGTTTCCAAGCCATGGCGGGATCTGATCGAGTCTCGCGAGTTCATCAACTTCCATCGCTCCAATTCAGCCGCCGCACTGGTATCGTTGGCAGAAGGAGGTTCATCAATGCAGTGCAAGTTATCTGAATCTGATCTCGATGGACACGGCTTTAGTTACAATCCAGTCATCGAGTTCGATTTACCGTTTCGTGGATGTGTAATGCTGTGTGGTTCGGCTAATGGTTTGATCTGTCTGGGTGATCCGAGCGGAATGAGAAGTGATCTTTACTTATGCAACCCGGTCACTCGTGAATATGTCAAGCTTGATTCTCCTTGCCATGATTATTCCTTCTATGACTATGATCCATGTGTAGTTTTTGGATTCGGCGCGAGCAAAATTGGCGAACATAAAGTGGTTAGGATTACCCATGATCGATCGTATGAACCGTTGCCAGCAGTTGGAAAATGTGAGTGCCAGGTATACACGCTTGGAACGGGATCGTGGAGGAGCATTGAAGCTGAGGGTGCCCAGCTGTACTTCAACGACCGAATTCCTGGAGTGTTTGTGAATGGGAATCTCCATTGGTTCGCATGGAATTCACTAGGCTCGCCCCTGGTTTCATGCTTTGATCTTGAAACAGAAACATTTAGCCCTTTTTCTTTGCCGTCCCATGTGGATCATGTTGGAAGAAATATGAATCTGTTTGCTTCAAGGAATTGCTTAGGTTTATGTGATTGTAATACTGAGATTGTGATATGGTTGATGAAGGAATATGGAACGGAAAGCTCTTGGGCAAAGGAATTTGTCATAAGTATAAACCTTGATTCGTATCTTTATGACCATGGTTTACTTGGTGAACTTTATGATGATGAAGTCTATGCTGATGATCCTTATGCGGATGAACTTTATGTTGAGGAACCTTATTTTGATGAAATTTATGATGATGAACCTCATGCCGACGAGTTTTATGCTGATGAACCTCATGCCGACGAGTTTTATGCTGATGAACCTTATGGTGATGATCATTACGCTGCTGAACCTTATTTTGATGAACTTTATGATGAAGAAGTTCTAGCTGCTGATCCTTACGCCGACGAGCTTTATGCCGATGAACTTTATGCAGATGATCATTATGCCGACACTGTGGAACCATATTTTGATGAACCTTATGCTGATGAGCTCAATGCCGATGAACTTCATGCAGATGATCCTTATGCTGCCGAACTTTATGCAGAAGAACCTTATGCTGGTGACCCTCATGATCACGAGTTTTATGCCAATAAAGTTTATGGTGATGAACTTTATGGGGATGAACCGTATGCCGATATTCCTTATTATGCTGTTTACCCTATCAAAATTTTTGAAGATGGTGACATCTTGATTGCATGGTTAGACACCATCGTCTTCTTGTATTCCAGTAAGACCAAAACCATTGAAAGACTGCCTACGCTTAAACAGCACAGCCCAGGTGATTGCATCAGCCCAATCCTTCACACCCCAAGCTTTGTTTCGCTCAAAAGTTTGTGTTGTGAGGGGTGTAATGTCAGATCCTTCTGATTATATCGGAAAGGTCGAAGCATTATATCAATGTCCAAAATCTACCGAGGCTCTGAGCTGAAGATGAACGGTAATGTTACAAACACTCCGTATATATGTATGTATGTAGGATCAATAAAAGGTGGAGGAAGACAGTGTTAAGATAAAGATTTAGTTTAGTTAGCCATCAAACTCATGGAGACGGAGTATAATATTTGTATGCAGAGATGGTGTTGTGTTTTGGTGTCTGTTTAGGTGAAAAAAATTTTGCAGCTCTAATGCCCTTAAAAAAAGAATTGAAAGGTAGTGTTACTTTCTGTTTTAAGGTTTTACAACTTTTGCTTAAGGTAGTGTTTGAGACTTAAGTTGTTCTCAATTAGCTTTAGAAATTTATTTGGACAACATTTGGAAATTTAGATTCATTTGAATGCATGGATATGTAATCAAGCTTTGTTGGAAATTAGAAGAATTTGGTTCAAATCTAAATATAACCTTTTTGAATTCCTATACATGTAATTTGAATTAAATCTTGATTTCAACTCTAAATCCAAGATCCAAAAAGAGACTATTAACTTATTGGATTTCAAGTCTAAATTTTGATTTGAATTTTTAGATTTAAAATTATAAGAGAGTATGAATTTGTAATTATGTTGAATCAGAGGATTTTGGCCCAGATTCAAATACAAATTTTGTGAATTCCAAAGAACTGATTACATAATTTGGGTCAAAATCTCAAATTGAAATTCAAATATAAGTTTCCAAACAAGCTATAAGCAAAATTATTTTAGTATTTCCTACTCGATATTATTTTAATATCGAAGTTCTTTTTATTGTTCTTTAATGTTTAGAACTTCTGACATTGTTCAATTTTGAATGTCAAGAGATCCTTGGCAAATTAATTCGAAATAAGCAAGGAATATATGCGGAGTATGAGATTCACTCGAATCGAGGAACATTTGAATTTTGAAACTAGACCAACTAAAAAATAAAAAAAAACGTAAAATGACTCTTTGGAATCTGCCAAATTGTTTGTTCCTAGAGCACTTGGGAATTTGAAAAGTTGGAATTGAGTCAATTCGCCATTCCAATGGTTATGATAAAAAATGTAAACCATTGATGAAGAACAGCCAATTAAAAAAAATAAATTTTAGAGATAGTGAATATGAATTATTTTCACTAATTTTAGATAATTTTTTAATAGTTCAATATAATTAAAAAAATATTAAAACAAAATACTATATCCGTCCATTAATTTATTTCTTACTTTCCTTTTCGGGTCTTTCACAAATTTCTTTTTTGTTTCATATTTTGACAAATTTTTTTAATGAATGCATCATTATACTCCCACTTTAATCTACAATATTCCTTTATTCCATCACATTAAGGACAACACATGAAAAATCTTTATACTTTTTAGCTTTTCTTAATCTCCGTGCCAAGTCAAACCAGGAAGTTTTTTTTGAACGGAGTGAGTTTTACATTAGGTGCCATTGTGCCCACACATATTTTGTCGATCTAATTGCCGACTGTACCGAAAGTACGATACAACCGGCTGTATGTATAATTTGTAAAAACATATCAACTGACTTATAAGTTAAAACTAATCCAAAACTATGACCAAATAGCGCCGGTACCCCTCGTGGTTTGCAAGACACTAATACTTCTCTGTTTTCAGAACTTGTTTATAAAGTCTTTGTGATTTCAAAATGCTGTACCCGTGCCTCCTCTAATCATTTTTCAGCCGTTTTTCCAGCGAAGAAGGGGGACATTGGTGCATATTTTTTAAACCATAGGGGTATTAGTGTTGATTTTTATTTCTCGCTTATTTTTTGTTTTTCCATTTTTTTCCTTTTTTGTTTCATTTATTAATAAAGGTTTTTTTAAATTATTTTAATAATGTTCTTATAATTTAAAGTTATTTTTGCTTGAAAAATTAACATATAATGCATACGTACGTCTCAAATTAACAATTTTTGTTTTTTCTGAAAAAAATAATTTTTTTTGAGAACTTCAAAAAAATGAGAAATAAAATAAGAAAAAAATAATACAAAAATAAAAATGAATATCATTTTCAGACATCTTAATTCTAAGGACTTTTTTAGGCGTGTCCAATTTTTTTTTGTATAAGACTTTTTTGCGTACTTTAATTTTTTCATTTCGTTTTTTCATATTTTTATTTTTTTTATTCTGGGTGTTTTTTGAACTTTCCAAAAACTTATCTTACTATATATAATGCTAGGATCCACTTTTGAACAGTGTTCCCGCCCAAATACAAGGCTACTGTAGACGGGTTTGGGCCTGATTTTGCTGGGCCGGTTTTGGGCCTGCTTTGTGGTTCGGGTTTAGGCCTGGCATGGTGTTTGGCTCAATAAAATTACTTTATGTCTATTCAAATTTAGTGGTTCAATAAAGTTGAATTGGGAAAAGTGAAAACTGAGTGTCTCCATAAAGTAGATTTGGAAAAGAGTAACTTTATATCAAATCCATCCATTATAAAGATTTTTAATATCTAGTCATTTAATGAATGGTAGCAGAGATGTGCTATATATACTCGAGCATAACAATGTGAACTTCATTCCTAAAAAAATAAACTTCTCAAATAGCCTATAAAATCATCAAATGTCTCAAAATTCTTCATTAAGCATGTAGTGTCCTCTTAATGGGTGGAACAATGAAAATTTTCAGTTCCAAACACATGTCTCCTCTTAGATTGATTAATCTAAGATTGGTTCTTTGGACTGCAACTTCATTTTCTGCAAAATTTCTTTTAATATCGTTCTATATATATATATTAATTGATATATATATATATATATATATATATATATATATATATATATATATATATATATATAACGATATTAAAATAAAGTAACCAAACGAGTGTATATATATATCCAGTAACCAAAGGAGAATAATTAAAAGAGTGTATGTATGTGTGTGTGTGTGTGTATAGGAGAGAAATTGTTCAATGCTCCAAATAACACAATAAGAATGGAGAGAAATTGTTTGAACAACAAATTTCTTCCAAGAAATGGACAACGTATTTTTTTAAACCAGTTTTAAGATTAAATAATATAAGAAATGAAATCGCCATGGCTGCAACAACGGGGGTTTATTCCATTATGCCTCGCCAAGATACGTTCATTTTGTTTGATGCGTCAAATATTAAAAGCATAAAAATCACAGAAGTTGTAGAAAATAGTTCCCAAAAAAATAACAAAAGTTGTAGAAAATAGTTCCCAAAGAAATAATTCCACAAACATCTATTCTTCTTGGATAAAAAATGATGAAAAAAAATTTATTCGAGAACCAAAATGAGATTTAAAAATTGAATTATATAATTAAAAGTTTAAAAGTTTAAAAATTGAATTATATAATTGATATATATAGATCTAATAAATACATATCTAAAGATCTAAAGAATATATAGATCCCGTAATGTAAATCGGAAGATATATTTATTCGATGAACAAAAAACAATAAATCACACGAAACAAACCTGGATTTGTTTAAGTGAAAATAAGATAAAATCAAAATTGTGCCCAAATCGTGCAAAAATTCGATGTTGAACAAACAAAAGTTGGAAATGAAACCATACATGTATGCATCGCCAAAAACAAATCGGTTGGTGGGAGATATGTTAGAGACAGATCCGAAAATGGTAGGAGAGTGGCGACACGGAGATAAGACGGAGATGAACGGAGATGAGAGGTAGAAAGATGGTGGGAGAGAGCGGCGGAAGAGAGGGACGGAAGAATGGAATAGTAGGGTTAGAAATAAGGCATATATATCAAAATGCTATTGGGCCAAGGAAATAATTGGGCTGGACGAAACATGGGTTACTAAATATTTTATATATTATATACTCCCTCCGTCCATAAATAAACTTTCCGTTGTGCGTTATAATGTTTGACTGAAGTTATTTTCAAATCACTTTATATGAAAATTGGTGTAAAATTTAAAAAATAAAAATTACATATTAAAAGACTATATCAAAAGATTTACAAAAGTAACAAAACTAGAGTTGACATAACTATATTATTTTATCAAATGAGTGACGAAAATAGGGCAATAAAGTGAATAAAGTTTGACTCTATGAATAGTAAAAGTGAAATTTATTTGTGGACGGGGGGAGTATTAAATTTTAATTATTATAAAAAAATAATCGTGCATTAATCAGATAAACAAATATTTTTGTTTAAAAAAAGATAAACAAATATTTTGACAGATTTGATAAATTATGATAAAGAAAGAATTCGTAAAAAGACAAAGAGAGAAAGATCCATAGAAATGAAGTTCGAAACAAGAGTCTTACATCCATAAACGAAGATCCATTGAACGGCGGCATAGAGACGAAGAGGGAGGGAGCGAGACAGGCGACGGCGGAAAGGGAGTGACCGAGAGAGAGAGATTCGGGTAGAAAATATATTTAGGTTTTATTAGTGGGCTGGGTTGAAGGGTTGTAGTGGGTTGGGTTTATAAAATTAGACTGGTGGATTAGTTAAAAAAAGTTTTTTGGAAGGGGCTTAAATGGGTTTGAGTATATTCAATTCTGAGCCAATTTAGCTCGGGTTTGGACTTAATTTTGATAGGTCAATTTCACATATTTAATTTTGCAATTCAGATTCAATTAAAGATTTAATCGGATTGGTTGCAGTCAAATATGACCATTTTTTGTTTTTTTATTTAACATGTTTAAAAATTTATTTTAATAAAATTCTATTAAAAATAATATATTATTTTTAATATATTTTTATACATGTTGTTTTGATGAATTTTTGTAATGTTAATTATTTATATGTCTATTTTGATTATGACAAATGTTAGCTTTTTGTTATGAAATTCCAAATTTAAAACGATAAAATTACTTCGTAGCAATGTATCATATACTACACTTAAAAGAAATGGACAACGTATTTCTTTTTTTGTTAATTTTTTAAGTAAAACATCATATTTGTATGCATATAATGATTATAACGAATGTTAGATTTTTGTTATTAAATTCTAAATTTAGAAGGATAAATATTAGCAATGTATCTTTCTTTACGATTGTAGTCTATAAAGAAGTGTTCTAAAACTTTTAACACTTCATATCGACTTTGCTCATTACTGTATAGAATTCCCTTTTGGGGAATAATGTTAAATTATGTAATTTTTCCGATTTTGTAACATTTTCCATTATTCCAAACATTGACTAAATATATGTAAATTAACAGCCCGTGCATCGCACGGGCACGAGTCTAGTTCTAAGTAACAAAAAGTGAAATTTTTTAATTGGAGATAGATTTAATGTATGTTAATTTTTATATTTTATTTTTATTTCAAACACAAAGAATTTTAAAATTTTTAAAACATTATAAAAAATTGAAAATATATTTAAAAAAACTCTAGGAAAAAGAAAAAGAGATAGAAAATGTTTTAAAAAAGGAAAACACAAGTAATAAACGAAGATAATAATAAATGAGCACAAATTCCACCTATGGTTTAAAAATTATGCGCCAATGCCCCATCTTCGCTGGAAAATAACTGAAAAATGATCAGAGAATATGTGGGTGCAACGTTTCGAAAACACAAAAACTTTAAAAATAAATTTTCAAAACGGAATAAGTATTGATGTCAATTTTTCAAATCATGTGGGCATCGGACCTAGTTGGCCCCCAAAGTATTATAAAAGGGTTGGAAAATGCGCATTTAGATTTGGAGGGAGTGGGAGTTCATCAAATATGGCTCTCGCTCTGGATTCCCTCAACCTCAATGGCTCCTCTCAGAAAACTCTCATAAACCCTAAATTCAAGCAAGGAGCTTTCGAAAACCTACCGCCGGAAATCGCCATAGATATCCTGTCAAGGCTCCCAATCCGAACCATCGCGAACTGCAAGTGCGTTTCCAAGCCATGGCGGGATCTGATCGAGTCTCGCGACTTCACCAGCTTCCATCTCTCCAATTCAGCCCCCGGACTGGTATTGTTTGGAAACTCAAATTTAACTCAGTGCAAATTATTTGAGACTTGTATCGATCGGTTGGATGGATCCAGTTACAATCCAGTTACTGAGTTGAATTTACCATTCTATGGATTGTTTTGTCACTTGTATGGTTCGGCTAACGGTTTGATTTTTATGTGTGATCCAAGCGGACTCACCCCTGATATTTACATTTGTAACCCAGTCACTCGCGAATATGTCACACTTGTTTGTCCTCAGGAAGATCATTCCTGCTATGGGTATCTTTCCAAGGCCGCTTATGGATTTGGCGTGACCGGAACTGGTGAGCATAAATTGGTTAGGGTTACCCGTGGTCGATTGCATGAAAGGATGCCCGAGGTTGAAAGATGTGTGTGTCAGGTATACACGCTTGGAACGGGATCGTGGAGGAGGACTGAAGGTGAAGGTGATCGACTTTACTCAAATGGGGGAAAGCCTGGGGTGTTTGTGAGTGGGAATCTGCACTGGTTAGCACGCAGTTCAATAGGCTCACCAATGGTTTCATGCTTTGATCTTGAAACAGAAATATTTAGCACTTTCTCTTTGCCTGCTATCCCTCTTGATCATGATGGAAGTTATACGCATCTGTTTGCTTTGGGTGATTGCTTGGGTTTATGGGATAGTAATGATGGGATCGTGATATGGCTGATGAAGCAATATGGAGACGAAAGATCTTGGGCAAAGGAATTTGCCATAAACATAAAACCCGATTCGTTTCTTTATTACATTGGTCTCCCTATTGAACTTTGTGGTGATGAAGTTTATGCTGATGAATTCTATGTTGTCGAACCTGATGCTGATGAACATTATGCACCGGAACCTTATGCTAGTGAACCTAATAGTGACGCTCTTCTCATTTGGAATGAATTTTTTGGTCATGATATTTTTCCTAGAAAGAAACATCTTGCAGTTTACCCCATCAAAATTTTTGAAGATGGTGACATCTTGATGTCATGGTGTGAAACCTTTGTCTTGCGCTATTCGAGTAAGACCAAAGCTATAAAAAGAATGCCTATGTTTAAATACGACATCTGTTCTGATTACATCCCAATCCTTCACACCCCTAGCTTGGTCTCACTCAAAAGTTTATGTTTTGAGGGGTGTGATGTTGGCTCGTTCTAATTATATCGGCAAGATTGAAGCACAAATCATTGTTCAAACTCTACCAAGGCTTTGAAGATGAAATGTGTGGGCGATCAAGAAACGGTTGCGGCAGACAATGATGGATGAATATTTATTTTGTCAACCATCAAAATGAGGAGTTATAATATTTGTATACATAGTTGTTGTTTTGGGTGTCGCTTTAGGTAAAAAGAAATTTTGTAGCCCTAATGTCTTTGAAATGCCTGGCTTGTGTGTCATTTGGAGCTTTTAGTTTTTGTTTCAATGGATATGGGTTCTTTTGACACTTCATAATGTCCATTTGAGCACACTGCTTCTACCCCAACTCTAGAATGTCAATCCAAATTGGAAGTCCTTTAGGGGTAGGAGATTTTGAATGTGGGTTGGGGATCTTGGAGTCGAACAGAACATCGTAGAATGCTCAAATTGACCGGTCTCATAATAGGTCGATGTCAAAAGAAAAAGAACCGATTTGATGCTTCATTGCCCTTTTATTAACTTCAGAGTTGAACGTAAAACATTCATAAAAAGCTTGTGGAACCCCATCATTTTTGACATATGTTTCTCAGACACAGACAACAATTGTTTGTGCGATACACAGACAATTGTTGCCCGTATGTGTCTATGAGAAAAATGATGTCAAAGTAATATCAAACTCAGTAAAATATTTGAGTAAACTTCAAGTAGCAACCCAATATACATTGAACATTTCATTAATTCGATATATCAACCATACATAAAGAATATGGGATACACTTCAATCGAGCAACATTTCAAACATGTCCTCCTAAAGAAAATCAACATAAACTAGCCCTAGCAACATCCTTTTGGGCAATTTGTGAGACCATAACTAGGATCCAAAATAGTGCTAGCACTGGCCGTGCTCTAAAACTCCCCCCGTTAACTCGATCCCCATCCGCCGCCGCCCGGGGTCAAAATGCGAAGAATTTCACCCGCCCGCACCTCGACGGTGTTTTTCCCGCCAAGATACACGACCCGGTTGTCCTTCGTGACGAGGTAGTTCGAGCCCCGGGCACCGGGTTTCCCGCCATTCAACCCCTTCGGCGCGTGCACGCGCCTCTCCGAAAGGATGCTCGCGACGACGGGCCGTTTGAACTCGATCTCCCGGACGAGCCCGTCGCCCCCTCTGTGCAGTCCCGCGCCGCCGCTGTTCTCTCTCATCCCAAACCTGCGCACCACCACGGGGTACCGCTGCTCGAAGATTTCCGGGTCGGTCATCCGGGTGTTGGTCATGTGACACTGGACCCCGCCGGTGCCGTCCCACGTGGGCCCCGCTCCGCTCCCGCCGCCGATGGTCTCGTAGTACCCGAAACTCTCGTCCCCGAACGTCAAGTTGTTCATGCAGCCCTGGGAGCAAGCGCACGCCCGAAATGCAGTGAGGATGACGTCGGTTATTCTCTGAGACGTGAGGACATTGCCACCCACGACTGCTGAGGTGTCACTAGGGGAGAGGAAAGAGCCGTGGGGTATATGTATCTTCACAGGAGCCAAGCAGCCCTGGTTAAGAGGGATGTCCACGTTCACCAAGCACCGAAGGCAATAAATAACCGCGGCAGCCGTCACGGCTTCCGGAGCATTCCAGTTGCCGTAAACTTCGGGACTGGTCCCCGAGAAATCGAAGAGAGCTTCTCCCTTTTGAGGATCAATGGTGAGTTTTAAGTGTATGATAGACCCATCATCCATGGAATCTTCCTCTTCAATGGTGACCAATGAGGAATCAGAAGAGACAGTGGCAGCAACAGATTTGAGCATTTCTCGCACTGCTCCTTCTGCATTCGCCTGCACGTGATTCATGTAGGCTTGTACAGTGTCCAGGCCGTATTGATCGACGAGCTCCTTTATAAGGGTAATCCCTCTCTGATTTGCAGCCACTTGGGCACGAAGATCTGATAAGTTGTCTTGAAGCCTACGTGTTCCTGGGATTTTGCGCCCGGAGCTCTCAGAGATTGGGAATTGGAGAAGGTTAGTGATTCCTTCTTCCTGAAAAATACCCTTCTCCACGAGCTTGAAGGCCTTTATGGCAGCCCCCTCCTCCCAGATGGACTTTGAAAAGGGTGGCATGCTCCCAGGGGTAATGCCTCCGATCTCGGCGTGATGCCCTCTACTCGCGACAAAGAATATCAACTCACCTTTGTTGAAAACAGGCGTTATGACAGTGATATCAGGCAGGTGGCTGCCGCCAGCGGAAGGGTGGTTGGTGACCAAAACATCTCCTTCGTGCAGATTGTCGCCCCAGTACTGCAGCTGCCACCGGATTGTGCTGGACATTGCCCCCAAGTGAACAGGAACATGCGGCGCGTTTGCCACCAGGCCCCCGTCAGGGCCAAAGAGGGCACAGGAGAAATCCAGCCTTTCCTTGATGTTTGTGGATATGGAAGTTCTCTGCAGGGTTCGGCCCATCTGTTCCGCGATTCCCATGAACCTGTTGTTGAAGATTGAGAGCTGGACAACATCTGCGATTTTCCCCTCTACTTTCAACAATGTATCTGAAGTGGACTCTATTTCTATTTTGATGTTTCCATATCTGGTTATAGTCGATTTAGAGTTGGGTTGTACTATCACGGTGCTATTACCGTTCATTATAATAGCCGGCCCCAGAATAACATGACCATATGTCAAACCCTCAAGCTTGTATAAAGGAGTGTCATACCATTCATTCCCAAAATAGACCTTGTGATGAGTTTCGACTTTCGGAGTGGACGCGGCCGGATCCAACACATGTGGCCTCAGTATATTAGTGTGTCCAATGCCACGAACTCTCACGTCGCATATCAGTATATCTCTGTTTACAAGTTCGAATCCGTATTCCCGTTGGAATAACTTGACAAACTCAGAGGCATAATCCCACACAGATTCATTGTCATTGCCAATTCTTTTAACCATTATTGCCGTGTCGGTTCCCTCATACCTTAGATTTAAGTATGTCTCTGTCGTGATGTTTTCCTCTCTGAACCCTTGCTGTAGCAGACTCTCCTTCACCTGCTTCAGCAAAGCATTTTCTCTGCGAGATGCCTCGAGAACAGATTCAGGGCCATAAACAGCAGAATATGGTTCTTGTGCCTCTTCAACCACATCTGACATTCCCATCCCATAAGCACTCAAAATCCCACAGAACCTATGGATTAGAATTTCATTCATACCCAATGATCTAGCAATGGCACAGGCATGTTGGGGCCCAGCGCCTCCGAAGCAAGCTAGAGCGTGGTTTCTTGTCTCGTGTCCCTTCATCTCAGTCAATTGCCTTATTGGACGGCACATGGTTTCATTGGCCACATTCACAAACCCCTGGGCGATTTCCTCCACAGTCATGTCCTTAGCCGATGGATCCTGAGCCTTCCTATAGGAGTTGATATCTATCGCGAGTTTCTCAAACTCTTTTCGTGTAGCATCAATATCCAGCGGCAAGTCTTCATTGGGACCAAAAATAGAAGGGAAATATTCAGGAATAATATATCCCAGAATGAGGTTTGCATCTGTGACTGCAAGCTGCCCTCCCTTACGGTAGCAAAACGGGTCCCGGGTTTGCATCTGAAACTTTAACTTTGAACCACCTCCGGCTGCTACAGTGTTTATGTCAAGCTGAGGGGCCTGAATGATTGTGCCGGCAATCTGCGTTTCAATGACTTGTTCATAGCTGCCCGCATACCGACTGACATCAGTGGAAGTACCGCCCATGTCGAACCCTATGAGGGCCTTGTTTGTCTCGCTTCCAAAAAGTGTCTGCGAGTAACCAACTACACCACCTGCTGGACCAGACAGAATTGCTTTGTGGCCAGAAAACTTGCTCTCTGGTGCAAGACCTCCGTCTGATTGCATAAACAAGACATTCAACTTCACTCGTCCTTCTTCAAATTGGGACATGAACCCGGATAGATATTCCTTGATAACGGGAGTCAAGTATGCATCTACACTTGCGGTGAAACCTCGTGGGACCGCACGAACCATAGGAGTCAGAGCAGATGATAATGATACGTGCTTAAAGCCCAAACTCAAAGCTAGCTTCTCGACAAGCATCTCATGGTGTGGGTAAGTGTAGGAATGCATTAGAACCACAGCTAAGCAACTGATTCCCTTTTCCAGCAGAGCTTTGAGCAGTGGTTTTAGTGTTTCTTCATTTAGGGGCTTCACAACTCTCACGCGCTCACCTGAAACACCTTGAAATATTGAGGCAGAAGAGTCTGGCTTTAATTCATCCTTCTCGAGGACAAGCTCAACTCTTTCATCAACCTCTACGACTTCCTCATAAAGATTGGAAGGTTTTGACACAGTGAGGTCAAAAATATTTGGACGGGCCTGGTTACCGATTTGCAGCAAATCTTTGAAGCCTCTAGTCACACAAAGGGCTATTCTCTCGCCTCGTCTTTCTAGCAAGGCATTGGTTGCTACAGTTGTTCCCATTCGTATCCATTCAATCTTGTCTGTAGGGATTTTTGAACCACGGGGAATCTTCTTCCCAGTAAATTCCTCCAAGACCCTCCTGATGCCTTCTACAGGAGCATCATCATAATTAGAAGGATCTACAGATAGTAGTTTCATAACACGTCCTTCAGACTGCCCCGGAATCTCAGCATACACATCAGTGAATGTTCCCCCTCTGTCAATGCAAAATCTGAGTTGTTCACTGTTCCGGCTCCCCATCGCTACAACTCTGAAAATTTAGAGATGCCCAATTATGTTAAGAGCAATGAGTCTATATGCATATGAACTATGAATAGAAGGAATGATGTCAAGATGCTAATGCATGCTCATTAAATAGATTTCATCCATTACACTGAAGCCTAACGAAAGTATGAAATCAAACTCTTGGAACACAACACAAACAACAATAAGAATGAAACAGAGATGTAAAAGAAGAATAAAATCAGTGACAGCCATGCAACAATCAAATCACTGATGGGCTAAGCATGATAATATTTAATAAATATCCAAAAACATGACAACAACAACAACAACAACAACAACCCAGTTGAATCCCACTACAGTAGGGTCTGGGGAGGGTGTGTGTACGCAGACCTTGCCCTACTCGGAAGTAGGGAAAAAACATGACCTTATATATAAATAAATAAATATAGAACTGATTTAGATCAAAACTTCTACTACTACAACAAATCTAATAAAATCCCACAATAATAGGGTTTGGGGAGGGTGTATTCACGCAGACCTTACCCTACTTGAAAGTAGAGAGGCCATTTCCAAGAGATGTTCGGCTAAACCACGAAAGCAGAGACAAAAGTAAACAGAGTAGCACGAACAAAGTAAGAGCACAAAGATAAGAAGCACACGTGCCAGAAATAGTAAGTAAACTCTAAGAACAAAAAAATACAGAAAGCACACAAGCACAAGATTCAGACTAAGACAAAAAAAATAAATTAGCAAAAACTACACACTCAGTCCCAACAGAAAAAATGTAGAAAGTACATTCTCTAGTAAAAAAAAGTTAAGAATGTTTCTTCATTTTCCCCTATGTTATGCCATGAATTAGGGCTGGAACTTAATATAAAAATACATATTGTGTACACAGACAATTTTTTCTTTTGCTAAAAATCAGTAATATTGCCCGTAAATCGAACCAGACAGATATTTTGAAACTGTCAAACGCTCTATGGCCATTCATATTAACGCCAAATCGGAGCCAAAAATGCATTAAAATATACTTTCAAAAAATCAGATAGTTTATGATAACTAAACCGATTGTACTGCGAAATGAAAATTGTGCCGTAGCTCTTGCCGGCGAAATGAAAATTGTACCGGAGATCTTACCGGAGAAATGTAAAAACGGTCAAGAGGCGGCGGGCGGAGAGAAGAAGAAGAAGAAGACGATGGGAGCGTTCACTCAGGTCAAGGCTGCCTCAGATTCAGAGATCATTGTCTTCCCCTTCTGTTGTTGTTTGGTTTTACCGTTTTACCGCGTTTGGTAAAAACGTTTAGACCGGTGAACCAATTTGGGTATGGATATTCCGGGTTTGGATTCAACCATGTAACGTTGGTTTGGATTTGGGTCAGAGCACTGGAAATGGGTTTGAAACCTCGGGGGTTCAAACTGGGGCTTCAAACCTTCATTTTTTACATTTTTAAATATACATCTTCTAAAATTAAATTAATAAAATGTAATTAATTTATTATTTAATTTAATTGAAACACGGATAATAAAAAAATACATTAATTAAATAAAAAAAGCGACAATAATTTTAAAAAAAATACATTAATAAAAAAACTAAGGTAAATTATATTTCTCCTTGATCTCTCTCATTCTTTGCTCGTAGATCATTAGTCCAAACTCCGACAACGTCCCGGAGTCGGTTTGCATGACTTTCATCTCGGCCTCCTGCTCCTTTAGCTTCAACTCCTTCTCCTTTAGCTTCAACCTCTCTTGTTCTTGAAGATTGAACGCCCGAAGTTGTTCAATCATTGCCCGGCCGATTTCGTCGCGGGGAGAAGCGGAAACAGAGGCGGACCCTCCCGAACCAGAGGCAATAGATTTTGCCTTCTTTCTTCCGATCGGCCGTGGAATAGGGTCCTCGTCATCGGAATCCGCAACGTTGAAGGAAGGGATTTGATCGGTAGAACCGATAGTCTCGTCGACCTCAACCTCGGCGTCGACGGTGGATCTTTTCCGGAACGATCCGCCGTCGGGATTGTTGAGTTGTTGCCACTTCGAGGAACGACTCAAAATCCTCCAAAGATCGATGGGCACCTTGCCTTGGTTCCCGTCGTCTTGATACCGGGTCGTGGCAAGCCGGAGAACATCGGCGTCGTTCGTGCCGCTCCTCCGGGACCGGGAGCATTCCTCGTAAACTCCCATAAACTTTCGGACTTTTTTGTTGATGTGGCTCCATTTGGAAGTGAGTTGGTCCCGAGTTCGGTAGGAGTCGTCCTTCTTCATTGCCGTGAAGAACTTCTCCTCGATACGATCCCACATCGCATCCTTTGTTTGCTCCGTACCTTTAAAAATGCATTACACAATTTTTTTAGACACCATTAAATATAATATATATATAAATAAAAACATAAATATATTAGAAAAAATAAATTTTTTACCAATGATAGGATGCTCGGAGACGTCAACCCAAGTCGACGCCAATATGCACTCCTCCTCCGGCGTCCACTTTTGGATTGACCGTGCCGCCTCGGTCAACGTGCTTTTGGCTTTGTGGCTCCTCCGGCGTGTACTTTTTTTCGATCCGGACGGTTCCGGTTGAGTCTCCGGAACCGAATCTCGGTCGACGTACCCCGATTGTTGCGTCTCGTACATCGGCGGTTGATCGCCCAACTCTTGGTAATACCACATCGCGGCGTCGACGGGGGCGAGATTGTCGGGAAAGAAGCCGGAGCCGGAGGGATTCATGTTGAAAAGAGAGGGGGTAATTTCGAATTTTAAAAATTGGGAAGAAGAAGAGATTGAAGATGGAGAAGGTGTGAGAGATTGGGATGGGGGGTTTGAATTTATAAGAATTTTTTTTTTTGAATGGGGGGGGTGCAACGGCTATTATAGCCGTTAAGGGGGGATGGGAATGGAATGACGCAGCGTCATTCCTTTGACGCACGCCGGATCATGCCCAAATAACGCCGGAGGGGGGCGGCGTTTCACGCCCCCGGGGCGTTAAACGACGTTCACGCCGGCGGGCGTGAAGCCCATTTTCAGTGCTCTCAATCACATTATATATACTTCTTCTGTGATTCAATCTCAATTTAAATCACTTGTTATAATTTATAATATTTGATTGAACTTATTTTTAATATAATTTATTTAAAATTATAGGTATAATTTAAAAATAAACTCAACGTATTTAAAAATTAAATTAATGTTTCTACAAAACAAAAAATTTTATTATTATATTATTTTATCAAGTAAATAACGAAAAAATAAAAAAAAGTAGACGTTATAAATAATAAGTAGACAACTTAATTTGGAAAGAGAGAATAACTTTTTTTTATCTTATTGAATTTACAATACGATTGATATTAATGCAATTACTCAACTCTGGTGAATGGATAAATTTTGTGGTCCTCTATGAGTTTCTATGTTATACAACGGGTTTATTTTGAAGCAACAAAATATTTATTTTACATATTTTTATTTTAGTTCTATATCTATCAAATGTTCATTTTCAAGAAAAATAAAAAAAAATAAAATGAACAAGACTTCACTCTTTACTTCTTCCGTCTCGAATTAACATTCACACTTTCTTTTTTGGTTGTTCACACTAATATTCACATTTTTTATTACCTAATAAAGTAAAAAGTATATGGCCAAAACTCTTTTCCTTCTAAACAAATTTCAAACATAAACTTTTTACTTGTCAAATTTTTAAAAAAATTATATGAAGTCAAAGTATTACTCCGTATTATTAAGTGCACTCAAACGAAGCAAGAGCATCACATGAATAATGTTCCTCTGAAGTTTTAAGAACATCAGATATGAACTTGATCAAAGAGCAGAGCCCGCCCAAGAAGTTATGGTCGATGACCCCATGCCCGTCGAGAACGTGGGCGAAATCGACCAGCTTGATTTCCACGCCCGCGGGGCCCGTTCCCCGACCCGCAATCTCTTTGTCATACACCACAAGAATGGAACATGCACAGAAATGGTAAACAGTTTGCTCCTCGAACCAAGCCTTCAGCTCCAGCAACCGCGACAAAACCCCGTGGGGCCCGCCGTATATCGCCGGGGCGAAGAGGCAATCCGATGAAGTGTTTGAGGAGACAAACTTTCTTAGAACTAAGCCAACTTCTGCTGCAGAGAGGTTCTGAACCGATTTTCTTTCGGGTTTCCAGTACCCGGTTTCGCTTGCCGCGTACATTTGCACCCCTTCCAGCCTGAAACCCAAGGCGGGGCTCGAACACCCGCGGTCTTTCTTTAGGCATTTCGCGATGTAGTCCTCGGGCTGCTGTGGGGCCCACGTCCTCGAACCGATCTTGACGTCCATTACCGACGGGTTGGGTTTTCCGAAAGTGAGGTCTTCCAAAACCAGATGGGGTAGCAACCCGGAACCGTCGGATGCCTCGACGAGCCGAGTGCCGTGAAACTCGGGGAAGAAGCGGCGAATGTGGGGCGGGAGCTTCGGGTTTGAAGAGAAGGACGTGTAGAACGCGAGCTCGTGAGACCCACGGCCCCCGCCCTGCAGAGGCTTGTAGAAGAGCCCGGAGTCGTCCACAAGGGGTCCCAGCTTCCCATTCTGAGCTTGGTGTCCTGCAACTTGATGTGTGGGGGCCTTTAGCATGTTGACAGAATTGCAGATTTGCAGATGGTGAATTGCTTCAAAACAGACTGAACAAAAAAAAGCAATGCAATCAGATCAAAACAAACCCTATATCCTTCAAACCTTTGATGCACTGCTACATTTACCACCCACAACTTCATTGAAAGTAAGAAGCAATGGAGGTTTGAAGTGTCATTTTGATTTACTCTATTTAACACCTATAAATAAAGATTGTTTAAAGTGTGGTTTTGATCAAATAAATAAAGATTGTATTGCATACTAATACAAAAATAAATGCATTAGGGTAGTATTTGGGAACAAGCATTTCATTTCAATTCTTGCATTTTGATTCCAAAATTGAATTCTTGAATTTCGAATGCCAAGGTGAGACATGGATACATGGATTTGAAATTGAGCTTTGTAATGAATTAGAGGAATTTGTCTCAAATCCAAATCCAATTTTTTTAGATTTCCCAAACATGAAATTTGAGCCAAATCTGGATTTGGAATTCAAACTTCAGTTTCCAAATGGATGAGGGGTATTCTGTAAATTCCAAACATTATTACCAAATGGATCCCTGGGTTTAATCTTTGATCATCCACAATAATAATTCATTTACTAAATACTCCGAGAATGGTAAATTGACACTTAATAGGTGAAAAGATACACAGAGTAGCGCATAGAAGAACCATTACCAGATTAGGAGGAGGAGGAAGTAAGAAGCGCGCGGCGAGAGGCTCCGGTGATGTCGCGACCAGCCGTACGACGGAGGAGTTTCAGGTCCGATTTCCGGCGGTCGTCGCCAGCGTGACGCGAAATTGTTCCTAAATTGGGAAAGGTCTGCATGTTGAAGAATAACCCAAATAGCGTGACATTCCAGGGGACAAAAAAAGTGAGGGATTGTGACACCACAATTTGATTTTTTTGAATTAAGCTATTTGTATACAAAAAATTCTATCTTTTTATTTCGAAATTTTTTGAACATTTAAAGTGAATACTTATTTACAAGTAACAAAATATTCATTTCAGATACTGTTTTTATTTTAGTTGTACTTCTACCTTTATTTTAGTGGAAATGAAAATTTGATAGGCATAAATATATTACTCCGTAGTAAATGGCTAACTATGTGTTCCCAAAATAGTCTCAAGATAAACTAATTAACGAGATGGTACTCGCTAATTGAAAGTAATGCCGAAGTTAGTCCCCCCGCTAACGGTCGTTGAAACAACGTCAAAATGGAATTAAAAGTTATAGTAATTTCCCAAATTAATTATATATAATTGGATACTTTTTCAAACGAGTCTATTTTCGATATAAAAATTCATTTGAAATAACAAAACCGAAACAAGATTCTTCTCTTTTAATTGATTCACGGTGTTTGAGCGAAATTGAGAGACCATTTTTTTATGAGATTTTATTTTGAAATTTAACTAATTTTGAAAATTTTTTAATTAAAAATAATCATTTTAGAAAATAAAGTACGGAGTATAAGTTTTAAGATCGTTTTGACTTCATTTTGAAGACAATTAATAGGAGATTAAACTGGACATTATATAAATACCGCATATAACAAGCGTCAGAAGCTCGTTAAGAAGGGAATCCAAATTGGGGAAGAAGAAAAGGAGAAGATATATACAGTACAAAAAAAAACAATCTGGATATCAACGTGGCAAAAGCTCCAGTCAACAGGCTTCAATGGAAGCCGCAGCGCTCTACACGTGGATTGCCGAAGCTCCCATTTCCCCCGCTCTTCTTCGCGCTCGTCTTCTCACTTCTCCTGTGCTTCAACGCCGGTTCTTCTTCTTCATCTTCATCGGAGACCGAAATGGTGAGTTTTCCTTTCCCCCCTTTTGGATTTTGCTATAAACCCTAAAAAAACACATTCTTTTGATGATCATGGATCTCCCCCAGTCCATCTCTATCTTTCAGTTGCTATTTGTATTGAGTCAATTTGGTCAATGTATAAATTTGTCCGCCTATCTGAAAAAATTTGAATCTTGATCTTTCTAAAGAATTCATTTCAATGGTTGTGTCAGGGTGTTACTGAAACTTTGGGTTGGAAGACACAAGGGACTAACTTGTATTCGTTGTCCTTGCATTAACATCGCTCTCGTTAGGGGGACTAACTTGATTCACATTTTTTAGTTAGCTACAGAGAGTAATTTGTCTCAACACTACAATGGGTGGATCAAGATCTTACATTTTTTTAATGCATGAAGCCGAGAATTCATTTTAGGTTACTTACTGTGCATATAGTCTGTTTTTTATTCAAATATATTTGATATAATTGCTTCAACGCGAAGATGAAGAGAAAATCCTGGAACTATTAGATATTGTCCATTGCGAATGGAGCTGAAAGAGTCAGTTTTGACAATGTTTTAACTTTGGGTATATAATGGACTAGATCAAAATGACAAAATAAACTCTTCTTTTTATTTTATATGATTTTTCGGGAAGAAAATGCATCAAGAGTCTAATGGAAACAGCTTCTGTTTTAAAGGGGTAAGGTTGCATATATTTTGACCCCCTAGATCAAAACGTTGTCGGTATTATACTTGATTTTTTTGTAAAGGTGAAGAGAACAACACTATGAAGATAGTTTTTGGTAGAAAATTTGTTTAGTAAAGCCACAAAAAGAGTATCATACAAACACCAATTAAGCCTGGTTATTAATTGTATCAAGTAAATCAGTTTTGGATTAATTCTGGAAGTGTACATTAACATCAGTTTGCCATTCAATCTTCCACTGTTATTTCCCATTTCACCCTAAGAGTCACATATTTTTTATCTGCCTTTTGTGAAACAGGGTAGTAAATGTAAAAGTGTCTGGAATATATTAAACCAGCGTGCTTGGGTTCAGCCCCGAGCCCTTAGTTTTACTAGGTAAGATTTGGAAAATGCTAGAAAAAAATTCTTCTGTTTAGGCTTTCATTTTCATCATGTTATCTTGCATCAGGACAGTGGGAAGACAGATGCTAAAAATAAGGGTGAATGTGTAAACAACGTTTCAGCTTGTAAATGTGGATTCTCAATATTGGACTCTAGCTTCTTCAGTGATGCAAAGGTAATTTTCTATTTGTTTTTGAGTGAAATGCAAANGGGGAATGCAAAGGCAATTTACTAGTTTTTATAACACAATGTTTGGGAACTTTCCTCTCTATAGAATATATAATATGGAAAAAAAAAAGTTTTTCCCCTATCATGTGATTGCATTTGTGAGAAAAACAAGTGGTAGAGGAAAGGGAAAAAACTATTTGAATTTATAGTATTTGAGGGAAAGAGATTTTAAAAGTTGTAATGTGCTAATTTACACATAATATATTAACTATAACAAATGTTGCTTCAAACCCCAAAAAGGAATACCAATGTCCCTTTTTTGGGAAAGGAGCCAAGGACATAAGGTAAAAACATCGTAAATCATTAATCATACTCATATTTTAAATCTACTTGGTGGTCGATTATTGTTTTGACAATTTTTGGCAAAATTGAATGGAAATTCATTTATCATGAATTACACTTTTGTTTTACATTTATTTTGTGGTTTAACTAAATTTATGATATTTATATGTAGGCAGCTTTTTTTTTTGACATTTATGGAAAAATAACATGAAAATTTAGTTTTGTTTGATCAAAATTGATCTTTCTTTTGCTTCCTCCGTCCCAAAAAAGTTTTGTTGTAATAGTTAACATTTTCCAATGTAAATTTTGCACATTTTCCCCCTTCAATGGTGGAGAGAAAATGAGGAGGAAAATATATACTCCTCCATCCCACAAAACTTTCCACTTCCGAAAAATGTGAGATTTAAGGAGTGTGTAATTTTGGTATTACTTTCCAATATTATCCTTATTTTATAGTAGGGTAGGATAGGATGTGATGGTTAGATAAATAGTCCATAGATATGATAGGTATTTTATAAATAATATGATAGGTAAAAGGATGTGATAAATAATAGGATGTGATAGGTATTTTATAAATAATATGGGTAAAAGGGAGATTTTGATTGAAAGTGGAAGTGTTTTTTGCGACAGATGACGTGGGGAGTATATTTTTCTAAAAAAATCCATTCATTTCCTATTTGATCTATTCTTTCCCAGTCATAATTCTCACTTATTCTACTCTCATATTTTCTTTTCTCGCATACTGTCTTTTTCCAAACATAGTGTAAATGTGTTTGTATGAATTCAGATAACCTTTTTAGCTTCATGCCTTTTAGATGATTGAGGTGGAAAAGGCTGCAAAGGAGCTTAATGTTCCTACAATACGGGCCAACCGCAAGCTAGTTGCTTCTGTTAATGGTGGCTTGCATAACCCATCTCCACTGGTTTTCAATGCTGCTTGGAGTAACAATCACGTGCAGCACATGACTGGGAAATTTTCTTATCCTTCTCTCTCTAGTGTACAGAGACCAGGAAATGACGAAGACATTGCCTTTATGAGTGTATGTCCCAGCCTACTACACATTTATTGACTATGGCCGTGTTCGATAATTTGGTGCTAGGTACTAGGTAACAGGTTGTCTTGTTTTGACTTGCTGAAAATATTATTTCACAAAAAGTTGTTTGATAAAACTAGGTGTTCAGACCCCAAAAAGGAATGTGTATTGAATAGTGTATATTATTAATTAGTTAACTGTTAGCATCTTAGCACCATGCACTAGTTAGGCCAACCTTTTGTTTTTTGTCTCAAAAAGATTATTCAAGATTCCATTTACCAAACATGTATTTTAACCATCAGACATCACTAGTTGGTTTGGTCAAATTAGCTAATTAATGGTTTACCAAATAGAATCCATACATAAGAACTTTTATCATTTGTATGTATTGATAACCTGGGAAATTTGACAGATTCCTGAATTGGGTGAACTCATTAAGACAAAGCAAATTACATCCCAGGAGCTTACCGGTATATTTCTGAATAGACTAAAGAGGTATTTCCTTTTCGCTTAATTGGCATCCCCATCCAACCCCCTTCTTTTTGTTGCATTTTCTGGAATTGGGACTATCACAGGTATGGTCCTGTCTTGGAATCAGTTGTTACTGTTACTGAAGAATTAGCATACCAACAAGCTAAAAATGCCGATCAGCTGCTTGCAAAGGGAGAACATTTGGGTACCTTAATAATTCTATTTACTCCATTTGTTCCAATGTATTTGTCAAGATCTCTTTTTTGGATGCCCCATTGTGTTTGTACACGTTCCTCTTTATGCAACTTTTGGGCGTCACTTTGACAAGTTTGCACCCACTTTATTCACTTTTATTAAAACTAGGGGTAGCTTTTGTAACTTTTTACACCCAAAACTTCATTCCCTAGGTCCAAGTGCAAAAAGGAAACTGGACATATACATTGGACTTAGGGAGTATTAATTAACTAATTTGTGCTTTCTTCATGAGAAGGGAAGGCTAGTATAGGAGTTTCTACACTTTGGTGAAAGGTACTAAATTATGACTGCTTGCAAATACTCCGTATTTAGGCAGCCTAATGTGATTAAATGCCTATGGACTTCACTAAAGTCTAAAGGCCTGTGATTAATTGCCGACCAAAATTTCAATCTCTAGAGGACACATTTTGTGTGAATATAAATGCTGATAAATTTCAATCTCTAGAGGACTAACCTAAAACCCTATTATCTATAAGTTTTTTTTTTTATATTTTCTGTCTTCCGTCATGACTCCCCAGACCACAATGGAGTTGATTTTTTGTTGTTGACTAGTTGTAACGGTTAAACTTAATGGATTTTGACTTGAAAAGTTAGACTTAAAAAGTTCATTTTGGGACGGTGGGAGCTTGTAATCTCTAATGCAAATGTTGACTAATACGGTTTTCATCATCTCATCTGTGCAGGTGTACTTCATGGGATTCCTTACGGTTTGAAGGATATAATTGCAGTGCCTCGGTACAAGACAACGTGGGGATCTACAACTTTCAAAAATCAGACTCTTGATATTGAGGCTTGGGTTTATAGAAGGTAGTGACAACTAAAGTATCTAAGGGCATTTTTGGTTTTAGGGGGATGTGGGGAAGGGAAGGAAAATGCTCCACTCTTCAACAAATTTGGAGGGTGGTGAAGCCAAAATTTCCCCTCCCTTTCCCTTTCAACAAATTAAACAAGGTAACATGAAAACATTTCCCTCCCCTCCCTTCCCCATGAACCAAATACACCCCCAAAGTGTTTGTAAGACCCGCTACAACCTTGGAGCCGAGGCATGTTAACCTTTTGCAAAGCCCGCTTCAACCCTTCATTTAATGTCCTGAACTACTCCCTTTAAAACTCCCTTGAAAATCCCTTCCCCGTTCTTCTTTGTAAAGTTATTTATCTACTAAAATCATCAATTATGGCTGTTGGACTGCTTGTTGCCTGTGGGTATAGGTTGAAATCTGCCGGAGCAGTTCTTGTTGCTAAGCTGGTTACGGGATCATTAGCATACGATGATATCTGGTTTGGTGGAAGAACAAGGAACCCATGGAATATTCAAGAATATTCCACCGGTTCATCAGCTGGACCTGCTGCTTGCACCTCCGCAGGTCTTCTGCCTATTTTTGTTTATTCTCGATGTACTTTAGTTTTTGTCATGATTCTTGCAATAATGCACCCATGATTCCGTATGGTTAAGCTGATAAAACACTGTATAGAAGATTAGAAGTCAAGGGACAGTTTGGTGACTTCTTTACTGAAGTCACGATTCATGATTCAGGTTTAGTTCCCTTTGCAATTGGTTCAGAAACAGCGGGGTCCATGACATACCCTGCTTCTCGTTGTGGTGTCACTGCAATTCGGCCTTCTTTCGGATCGGTTGGTCGAACTGGAGTTATGAGCATATCCGAGAGCCTGGTATTCTACTCGCTTTACTTCACCATCCACTCTTTTTGTTTTGCCCTGTGAACTGGAGATGCAAAATTCAAATATAAGCTATTTAATAGGATAAATTAGGGCCTTTCTGTAGAGATGCAGCAGATTGTGCAATCGTTCTGGATGCAATCCGTGGTAAGGATCCTGACGATCCATCGTCGAGGAACATCCCCCTACCTGATCCTTTTTTAGTGGATATCAAGATGCTCACTGTTGGATATCTAAAGGACGCTGATATGGAGGTAGATAACTAAACCTATTCTGTTTACAAATTACAAATTTGCTTTGGTTTTCTCACTTTTAAGCAACAGAGAGCTCATTGCCAATAAAAGAGGCAATATTGAAAATGCTTTAGCTTCGGGTAAATAATGGACTTAATCAAAATGAATTATAAAATACCTTCACCTCGTACTTTCTTTAAAGTATTGGGCAGTTAATGCAACAACACATATTGGGGTTTGTTGTTGATGTTGTTGTATTCTGTTTTCTACGATCAGACGTAATAATGAGGCTCTCTTGCTTCACAACTTCTCAAATCTGTGGAAAAAATAGCTTCATTTATCAATTTGGATTTATCAACTTGTTTGAAATAGGTTTTTTTGGGTGGAGTATTACTTAGCAACACAATCTGCTATTTTTCTTATCGTTATAGCTCAACCAATCATATGCTACCTAAGCAAGGCTCAGCAGGCCTTGGTGTTATATAAAAGCCCCCAGCACCACCACCAACAAAAAAAACTGTTGAGTAGGATAAGAATGCCTGACTCAGGCTGGAGAGCAGGGGTTTTCTTCTGTATTCCCTTCGACCTACAAAAACTTCTTTCTTTTCATTTTCCTGTCTTAGAAGAAACCTCATTTTCTTTTTAAAGAAAGGAATGAGTTCCTGCAACACTTTTAACCATAAAGTTTTCACTTTTCAACACTTTTCTTTCACTCCATGAAAGTCAAACGAGGAACCTTTTGGCGGGACAGAGGGAGTATTTTGGAATGGATAGAAAATGAAAGTAGGAACCTTTTTTTGCAGCATAGACAGTCCGGTTGTCTCATGTTGTGATGACAATTGCAGGTTGTTGATGTCCTCAAGACAAAAGGAGTAAAGATGGTTCCATTTGAACTAAACTACACTGTTGACTCAGCTCAAGGCATCCTTAATTTCACAATGGATGTTGATATGCTTTCTCATTTCGATGAGTGGCAGCAGTCAAACAAAGATGATGAGTATGAGGCTCAAGATCAATGGCCTCTTGAACTTCGGCGAGCACGCGTCATACCTGCTGTGGATTATATTCAGGTATAGTAGGGCCCACATATTTGTGCTATCATTGTTTCATACGGACAAACTGCATTTTCACCAGCAACTATTTATGTTTTTCGATAGGCACAAAGAGCAAGAGGAAAACTAATTGAGGAAGTGAGAGAGAGTTTCAAAGTGGATGCCTTCATTGGAAATGCAACTGATTGGGAGAAAGTATGTGTGGGAAATCTCGTGGGCATGCCCGTGGTTGTCATCCCGACTGGGTTTAAGAAGATATCAGATTCACCTTCAAATGATACTCGACGGAGAACAGCAATCACCACCGGGATTTATGCCCCTCCCGACCATGACCATATTGTAAGCATCACTTCCAAGCTTTTTCCATTGAAAAAAAGATTGTTGTTTGATACAAAGTACAAAAGCATATATGCTTCCCGGATGTTAGTAACTCTTTGGTCTTGTTTGGTTGGAGTTTTCAGAGGGAGGGGTGGAATGGTCTTTTTTAAAAAATTAAAAATCTCTATTGGTTAGTCTTTGATGGTTGAAGTTATAGATACAATATTTGACCATGCTATAATGACACTTAAGTTGGACACCACTACAAACAAATAAACAATCATTGTCTTTGCATGTTGTGGGACACTTTGGTGTCATTAATGGTGTCAAACTCTGGTGTTAAAATAACATTTTTTACAACATTTTCCCTCCATTGACTTTGCGTGATATATACAAAAAAGCTAAGATAACCCCGCAATCCTGACATCACTTTTGACCCCATGCTTTGCACTGGTGGAAAGCATGGGGTCAAAGGTGGTGTCAAGATTGTGTGATTTCCCTAGCACAACCCTAATATATATATGGTCACTGAAAATGCAGGCATTGGCATTGGCAATGGCTTATCAGTCTGTAACGGATCATCACAAGCATCGCCCACCCATCGATGATCTTGGCCCAAATGACTCCGTCCCAAATCCACCTCCGCCCCCCATTCCACCCCGACAGCTCCGTGCGTATTAGAGCTTGCAGGATGCCTACTTTATAAAAAAAAAGTGAGACCTTCATCTTCTTCCCCTTCTGGGACTAAGGTGTTTTCTGATAATGGGCTCTTTACATCTTTGCTTGGTGTAAGCAAGCAATGGTGAAGATATCCGGCTGGTCTTTGCGTTGAAGATTTCTTTGAAACCTCTCTACTGGGTTTGTTTATTGTTGTTGTATGAGTTAGATTCTGATTAAACCTTAATTTACCCCTCCTAGCAGCAATATAAATGAACTGGGTTCACCTTTTTTTATGATGCAAAACATTAGTACCAAATAGAGACTTAAAAGTGCATTTATTTCAAATGAATGTGAAGCTAGATGTACACTGGAACACACACCAATACTAGCTAGTAGTACAAAGATGGTTTGGGTTGTTCCCTTCGCAAGTCTTAAATTTCTAAAAACTCCCGAGAAAATTTCTAGAAACTCTCTAAAAAGATGTTAAACTAATATTGTACTTAGGTCTTGTTTGGGAAGAGCGTTTTCAATTAGCGTTGGCATTTTGGATAAAATATTAACGGTGTAAATTAATTCAGAAAACGCTAACGTTAAAAGTTACCGTTAGATGGTCTTTTCAAAACACTAACGTTAATGTCAAACGGGGCCTTAGTATATGTTTAAATATGTAAAATATTAAGAATTAAGGTGCATTAAATATAGCCATACGGTTTCAATATGTTACTGCTATAACCTATAGCATATTATGTTTTAGAACCCGTTCTCCTTAACTTATTCTTTTTTACTCCAATTAGATTTAATTCAAATTAGAACCAATCAGATTGAATGAAGAGAACGAAACATAGGATGTAAATGAAAATTATAAGAATGCTAGGAAAAAAGTGAAAATCAAGAATCATTTGAAATTTAAAGTAGTGCAGTGCAAAATCAATTAGATCAAACAAAGAGAACGAACTTAGCATTTAAATGAATTTCATAGGTAAGAATACTAGGGGAAAAAAAGAAATCTATATTCATTTGAAATTTAAATAAGTGCAACCATGTATTCCATTCCTCCTCTCGAGAAACCTTCTTGCATTGAGTTTTACGATATTTAAGAAGTGTGTTAAAACTTGAAAAAGGTATTGCTTTTTTTTTTTTTAAATTATTGAATTGAGGATGTCTTGGATAGAGCTTATTTCCAAGTGTAAAATCACGTAACACACCCTCTTTGAACTCTATTTTGGCAGGATTTTAGTGTTTGTTATTGTTCTTGTCTACTCGAATTCAACCAAATATTTTGTTTTTCAAGACTTCATTACCAATCTTTAGAGTTTGAAACTCAAGAAAATTATTCGTCAAAACAATAAACAACGTTGAATTTCATTCTTTCTTCGGATATAGTTTGAAACTCAAGATCCTTTGCTCGGTTTGCAAATGTCATTGTTCATACCAATCATACATTAGCTCATTGCGTTTGAGTCATATAGTCAGGCTTTCAACCAAAAATGCAAAAGAAAGCTTTGGCTCATAAAATGGAAATCGTAGAAGAAAGAAAATCCAATGCACAAAATTCCTCCGGATGGTAAAAAATAAAGAAGGCTCATCGTGACACCAAACAGGTTTTTCTAATATTACACTAAAACAATAAACCAAAAAAAAAAAGAAAGAAACACACACGCCTAAAAGAGTGCATAAACATTTTCTGGACTGACCCCCACATCATCATCAACAGAAAAATTCAAAGCAAAGAGAGTATTTTTTTTAAACAAAATCTCAAAAGAAGAAAAAAGAACTTCTAACGGCGGGCCGGGGTTGCAACCATGTCGGTAGCCATATTATCCGGCACGCCGGGGCCTCCGTTTAGCAGCAGCGTTCTCACTCTGTTCCTCTTTCTCCTCCTCATGAGCCGCCTGACTGTTGGAACTCTCTGCCGCTTCGCTCTTCTTGGATTCTTCAGCTGGTTTCGTCTATAAAAAAAGAAAAGAAAAAAAAAACATAACAGAGATTAGTAAAAATAAAACCTATACACTGAGTTATTAGATAATCTTATCAAAACACTAAGGCTAAACGCTAAAATTGTTGTCAAACGGGTACTCTTATGTAAATAAGAGTTTGACCAATACCAAAAAAACCCCAAAAGAACAAACATTTTGGTAGTAAACATTCAAATCTCTTAAAGAGGTAGATGTAAATCAATTGAGATGTGTAATACTCACAGGTGATTGCTTCTTTCCACCAAAGAGAAGCTTGAATAGTGCTGTTAGGACAATAACTACGAGAGAGACGATGACTCCTATTGTGATGTTAGGTTGTTTCTCTGCCTTTTCGAGTAGATCCTGAGAGATTCAGCCACACAGAAAAGTATTATGACAAAGATGACACACATATGCAGAGAAGTTGTTGCAAATGAAAGCTTGGAGTCTACTTAGCTTACCAGGACTTTGCTCTTATGTTCTCCCAAGAATGGCAGGTCAGCAATCTTATACAGCTGGTCAAATACCACTTTCTGCTAATATTCAAGGCAGATGTGAATTAATGAGGCCACTATTGTAATGAATATTTTTTTATTTCAGATTTTTGGATTTCTCCCTTTATATAATTACTGTAGAAACACATAAACGAAACGAATCTGAACAAATAATTAAACAAATTTGTTGAGATCTATTCTATTTTACTTCCTTTCCTAGTTCTTCACAGTTTCCAAATGGAAATCACAAGGGGAAAAACATAACAGCTAGAGTGGGAAATAGTTAGTTTACCTTGAAACCTTTGAGGCCATCAGAATCTGAATCTTCCTCAGCCTTCTGTTTCAGTTTCTCTAAATCAAACTTGGGCTTCCATGCATCCTTTCGATAAGATTCTGCAGTTTTCTCGTCGCTAGCTATCAGGATGTTGTCAAACAGGATACCATCTTGCATTGTCCAGATCTCGATTCCAATTGCAGCAACAGGCTCAAAGTTAGGTCGCTCGAGTTCAAAGTAATCGGGGTTTGGGATCTCCTTAGGCTTCCAAATTCCTTTGTAATTGGGGTTGTCAATAAGGGGAGCGTGCCATTTTCCCTTGTAAGCAGGGTTCCTCTTCATCGGTCTTTTCCACTCCCCGCAACCAGGGCCATCCACACACTTAGGATTGTCAATTTTGGGAGATTCCCACTCACCATCCTCCTCCTCGTCCCAATCTTCGGGTTTTGTCGCATCGGGGTCATCAATCTCTTCAGGTTCATCATCCAACCACCCTTCAGGCTTCTCAGCTTCCTCATCTGGGATCTCTATTGGTGCATCCTCATCCCAATCCTCTGGTTTCTTTGCATCCGGGTCTGGGATCTTCTCCCTCTCGTCCCAATCCTCAGGCTTCTTGTCATCAGGATCAGCAATGGTCTTCGGAGGGATTATAGTTGGCTCAAAATCCTCACCAGATAAGAAGTTAGCCTTCTTTTTCTCTTCTCCATCAATCAAGATGCTGAGCTCATTGTCGGGTTTCAATATGGCAGTATAAACATGGGTTAGTTTGTCATAAGGTACAGAAGGTGGATACTTGAGATGGTGCTCAACATACTCCCCAGTTTTTGGGTTCTTATGCTTCAGAATGAAATGAACTTTGTTAGTGGCCCCACATTTATCAGGACCAAACATGATGGAATAGGGCGATTCATTGTCAAATTCCTTGGCAACCCACCCAGCATCCTGTGGGCGGAGATACTTAATATAAGCACCACCACATTCAAGCCCTTCTTGGAAACGAGCTTCATATTGTAGAACTACTGTTCCGTCTTTTAGATCGACAGGCTCATCAAGTTCCTTGACAATGGCATATTTTCTAGCCTTCTCACTCACAAGAAGGCCATAATCATCATGCCCCTCACTCTTGGAATGCTTCCATGTACCTAAATATAGAGACATATCTCAGACAAACTACAAGAAGCTCGACTTCAATGTTAAGGAGGTGCGTTTAAGCACTTCAACAACATATTATAAGCACTACTGAAGTGCATATAAACAAGCCGATTTCTATTGAACTCTGCAGTTATGGTTGTATATAAGTTGACAATCCATAGAAAATGCACATTAAGTAGCCTGGAAACACCAAATGAGTAAAATTACATCTATTTCCGAATAATATGAGCATTATGGGTATTCTCAGTTCCGAAGATGCCAGCAATTATATGGAATGTTTGCTTTAAATTACTATCAGAAAGATGTGGTGGAAGCTGAATAAGATTGGCAGAAGGGTCAATTTCATTTAAATTGTTAATCCGTGACCTTTTAAGCTTTTCATATGGAACATATATAAAAAAAAAGTAAACCCGCTAAAACTCTTCACAAATCTATTGTGCATCCATCTAACATCAAGTATTCAAAAGTAATTCCCCAATCCTGAACATATTAGCTATGAGCCACAACGAAACATTGAGATAAAATGCTTATAATAAACACAGACTAATCAAATGCATGAAGGATAGAAATGCAAGTATGCATTGAATACGTAGTACAATAAACCTACTATGAGCACCACATCACTCATCCTAACATCCAATAAACAGAAATTTCAATAAAAAAAAACAAAGAAAAAAACCTTTATAATCCTCCTTCTCGGAGACAGTCCATCTCCCATCAAATGCATCATCGAACGACTCGTAGAATTTCTACAACCAACACATCACCATCCAGATCAATAATCAAACCGATCGAGATCCAAAACGCGAACGAATCTACGAACTCAAACATGAAACTCAAGGCTTACCACATCGGACGAGGCGCAGAGCTGGGAAAACAAGCACGCGATTGCCAGCAGCAAGACGCCCTGCGCGAAGCTTTTCCGCTTCTTCCCTTCCATGACTGGAATCAGAGCTCGATAGAGAATGAAAATGTCGACAGAGATCTGAGAAACTCGAACGCTTGAAGGATCTGTGGGAGTGCGGGGAGAGATTATAAATGGATCTCTGGAAGAGGGAGTGGACTGTGGAGTTGTCCCGGCCAATGATGTATCCTGCCACGTGCATCCGACCAATGATATTGCTCCACGTGTACGCTGCGACGCTAGTGACGCGGAGTTTATGGGTGGGAAATGGGCTAACCCGTTATATTTTATATGGGCTGTGCTGTATAAACCCAACTGGACCGATATGCGTTTTGGCCCATTTGGCAACAATTCTCTAATCAGTTTTAGGGTTCGATTCGTGAATTTTGGAGCTCGTGATTTAAGTTTTGAAATTTGAGATAAATGATGTGAATTTTGAACTATAATTGAAATTATTTAGATAAATTTGGAGTCGTGATTTAATTAGTAATGAGCATGGATGGTCGAGAATGGTGTGGTAGACGGTAACAATGGTAATTGGTGACAAGGGTGGTCTACAGTTGAAAGAAATATTAAACTCTCATATAGAAATCTTCCAAATTTAGAAGATATCACAACTCTATATTTATAAAATTTTTTGTATCTGGAGATATCAAATCTAAAATTTCTTTATATTTCATCAAACTCCTAAAAAAATATTGTGTTATCTGAATATATCAAAATTTATATTTCTTTTACTCGCCAATCACGTCTTAACATTTTGAAAATGTTAGCTAAACACATTAAAAATCGAAATTACCTTGAAAAGTTAGATGAGATCTGATAAAATACTCAATATTAATCACAAGAATTTCACAAATATTCTCTAATAATAGATTGTTTTCCATAGTTACCTTATACTCTTACTTATCAAATATTACAAGCGTAGTCTTCATTTTTTTTATTATTTTTCATAGTTAATTCTTCATCACTCATGATATTATCCATATCTTAAATACAACATTAATGTTAAACGCTGCCCGTAGATAGCTTTTTCAAAATGCTAACATTGATTTCTGACGTTATTTCCAAACAGGTCCAAAGGATTGATTGTGGGAGAAAATCAAAGAAACAAGAAATATACTTGACTCAAGGCATGTTTGGGAATAATGTTAGAAATTAGCGTTAGCATTTTGAATAAAATTTTAAGGGTGAAAATTACTTTGAAAACGCTAACATTAAACGTTGCCCGTATAGCTTGTTCAAAACGCTAACGCTAATCGCTAACGTTATACCCAAACATACCCTCATTCTAGTAGGGAATGTTCTTTTTTTTTCAAACCATGCATGCACTACATGTATATTAGATGTAATTTTTATATGAACTCATACTTATCATTATCGATTTAAGCTTTTTAAATCAATATTACATTTATTTATTTCTTAATTTACACACCACTAATTCATGTACCAAAGAGAATAAATATCAATATTACCTTTATTTATTTCTTAATTTACACACCACTCATTCATGTACCAAAAAGAATAAAAAAAGGAGCAATCTTCTCTACTCTCATGGCATTCTTTAAAAAGGAGTTTTACCATGTAACAAAGGTGTAGGGGTGCAATTAATAAGGTATGCAACGGTGAGAATACAGTCACCCCAGTAGGAAATAAGGAGGTTTGCTTGGAAACGAAGGGCACGTGCGACATTAAGAATATGTCTGTGCTTGTGTTCAACTCTCCCATTTTATTAAGGAGTCCCGACGCAAGAGGATTCAAAGATTATTCCTTGAGAGGTAAAATATGGTTTCATACACGTGAATTATGTCCCGTTGTCACTACGAAGTATTTTTACCCGGGTATCAAACTGACGCTGGACAAAGGAGAAGAAATTGCGTAAGTCACTAGGTGTCTCATCTTTATTAGTTAAAAGGTACACCCAGGTGGCTTGGAAAAAATCACCGACAATTGTCAAAAAATACTTGGCCCCGGTCCGCGAAGGTGTGCGGTACCCCCCCCCCCCACAAATCACACTGTATTATGCTAAAAGAACATTTGCTTTATTCAAACTGACGGGAAAAGAGTCACGACACTGTTTGGCACGGAAACATACATCACAATGAAATGAGACATCTGAAGTGGAGGAAGAACAAAAAGGAAGAAAACGACAAATCTCGGGAGAGGGATGACCAAGTTGCTGATGCCACACTGCGAAATCAGTCATCGCTCGCATCGCACAAGCCTTGTCACACACTTTCACTCGTTCCAATCACCATCTTCGAGGTACAATCCTGAATAACACAAGATTTGTTAATGAGCTAGATAATCAATCTTTCATTTTCAAGAAATTGTGAGACAGAAATTAAACTGCCGTTGAGTTTGGGCACTAGTAAAAAATTGGTTAGTTTTAAAGAATTGTGGGGAACGACATCGCCCGCATGTGCGGCTAGCGCACATTCACCATTGGGAAGGCCCACTTTGCACTCCTTTATGGGCTGAATATTCTCCAACTTGTTTCTGTCTCCCGTCATATGTTGGCTCGCGCCACTGTCAATAATCCAAGAACCTTTGGTCGTACCTAAAAATTGGTTCTCACACTGAACGTTGGCCTGTCCTGCGAAGTGTCCTTCGCCTGTTTTGTCCCTCGGCTGCTCTGTTCTATTTGCGGCGCGTCCAGCGGCAATGCCCCCCCTGCCGTTGCGCCTTCCGGTTTGCGTTCCACTGCCGTCGCGGCCACCTCCACGTCCGCCACTTTGCACACGTGGTCTGTCTGCCCACCATTCCGGATAACCTGTTATTTGGAAACATCCACTTATTTTGTGTCCCGTTTGCCCACAATGCTTGCACTTGAGGTTGTTGTCCCGATTTGGTCTTCTAGCGGCCACGACAAAACCCATAGGGTTTCGATCTTCTTTCGTTGTCAGCTTCAGCACTCCTTCTTGTTGTGTTATCACGGAGTAGACTCAGTTGATGGAAGGAAGAGGCTCGGTGCTGAGGATGTTTGAGCGTAGGCTTCCATATCCTTCATTGTCCAGGCCCATCAAAAATTGATGGACCTTCTTCTCCACCACACTTGCAAGCTGGGACCTTCAACGTATCATACAATTCATCCCAGATCGCCTTCAACTTGCCATAGTGTAAACGATCTCCTGACCGTTTTGCTTCGTGTTCGCCAGTTCCTTTTTCAATTGGTGAATCCGTGGGCCGTTCAACACGGAGAACCTCGCCTTTATATCATTCCACAAGTCGCCACCACCTCAACTTGGGTGATGGAGTTCCGTAGGTCTATCTCGATGGTGTTGTAGATCCATGAGACGAGCATAGCATTGACGAGCCACCATTCTTCAACCTTGTCAGAGTCTTCTTCAGGACAAGGTATAGATCCGTCGATAAAGCCGAACTTTCTCTTGGGGCGGAGAGCTATATTCTCATCGCTCTCGCCCATTCTTCGTAGTTCCTGCTGGTCAGTTTAACCTGAGTAATCAATCATCCTGGAGTATCCACAGATTTCAAATCATACGGACTAGGTTTCTTCATCTCGTCGCCGTTGCCTGTGGTTTTGGACAGAGTCTCATGTTTCGGTGTTGGTGTTTCGGTCATGATGTTGATCGCTGCTCTGATACCATGTAAAATGGGGGTGTGCCATGAATGAACGGAGGAAAATCTTCTTCTATTATTATGTGTGTTGTTCATGTACAAGGATCTCCCCTTAATATATAGGAGAGAAGTTTTCCAAAACCTATTAAGAAAGAAGAAAGAAATATTTGCACTAAATAGCACAAAAACTTAAGTCATTTCCCTAAATAGCACTTAAATTGTTTTATTCCCTAAATAGCACTTAATAATGTCCATAATGTCCAGTGATGGCGAATATTTACTTGAATAATGACTAATGCATAATGACTAAAAGTGATACATTGGGAAAAAACACATGTAATGCTATTAGGGAAAGTCATTATGTTTTAGTACTATTTAAGTAAATTCCCCATTAAGAAAACACATGTAGTGCTATTTAGAGAAAGTCATTATGTTTTAGTCCTTCACCCTAGCCGAGCCCAACCTTGCGCCACACGTAACAATATATATGTTTTTGCCTTTTGGAAAGCTGAAGGAGAGAAGTCCAAGCATTCGATCCATGCTGCTGCTGCTGATTTCTTGAAATTTCGAATATATATTCCATCAATACCTGTCTCGATTCAGAGTATTTTTTTCTAATTTTTTTTCATTATAATTTTAATGGTAGGGTTGAGATTCAGTTTTGTTTAGTCAATATATATACTTGGTGTTGGATAAAGGCTGAATCTTTTGCTTTAGGTTTGCTCTTCTGAGATGGTGGGGGAGATGGATGTTGCTGTCCGGAGAAGAAAGCACAAGCGCACCAAGAAGCATGTTCATTCTTTTGTGGTGAGTTTCATCCCCAAATAAACTTTTCTGTTTGACTTTTACGGAATTTAAGAAAAATGTTGAAGAGTAAAAAAACAGAGTTGTTAGAATTCGATGAGAAAAGATTATTTTGGGACGTTCAAAAAAAGAAAGAAAGATTATGTGCAAACTGGGGTTGGTTTGTTGAGTTCTTCATATTCGGTTTTGATTGCGTATGTAATCCGGTATAATTGGATAAAGGTTGAATCTTGGGGTGTAGTTTTGCAAGTTTTGCTTTTGTGAGATGGTTGAAATTCTAAAAAAATGCATCTTCCTCTCAGCTAGGTAAAATGAGTTTAGCTATCTGGAGAAGAAAGCACAAGCGCAGCACGAAGCAGGTTTGTTCTTTAACGAGTTTCGTAGAGTTCGATTTCTGAATTGTTTGAGGACCGATTATAACATTATCTGATGCGAGCATTGGCATTTGTTGCACGAAGGTTGGATACGGCTTCGGCGTCAAGAGATGGCGCGGGGGCAAACAGATAAGTGACTTGCCTGACGAGATGCTTATTGCCATCTTGTCCTCTATGCTCCCCTGGGAAGCTGCCAGGACCAGTGTCCTCTCGCGCAGATGGAGATATCTCTGGTATTCCACATTTGACTCCCTTGATTTTGATCCCATGGATCCTGCCCCTGAAGCTGCAACCAGGAAGCAAAAGTTCTTGAGGTTCTTAAAGGATCAATGGCGTTGGAGAATGATCGAAAATTTCCACACTACATTTTCTCTCTTTGAGCTTCATGCCATATCTGACGCAAAATCACTCGAAGAAGCGCGCCGTGCTCTGCTTGACAAAAAACTGGAAGTAGAAGATGCTAAAAGCAGACTTGAGAAACACGATGATGATGATGATGATGATGATGAGGAAGAACATGCAAGGAAAACAATGTCAAGGGCTACTCAAGAAGCAATGATCGCGAGGAAACTCGCTGAGGTTGAAAAGGAAGAAGAAGAAGTGAGAGAAACACGCGCACAACTCAAATACAACGAAAAGTATACGAAACGATGCAAGGCGAAGTTGGAAAAGGTTCTGAGGGACTCCTCTGTTGAGCAGTGGATAGTTGTGGCTTGCTCTATGGGCATTATGAGTCTGGGGGCGCTGAGGAGCCTTGCAGACGACCGGAGTATGGAGTTTTACTTCACCATTGGAGGGAGTGTGGACAGGGAAGAGTTGGGAGCGTTGCCGAGGATCTGTAGAAACTTTTTTCGCATCGAAGACTTGGAGCCCAACAGGCTTTACCACCTGAAGAATGGGAGGGTCACCACATTGTCCTCAGAAGAAGCTGCTGAGGTGGGTTTTCGGACATTCTCAAGACTGGGTCTTTGAAGTTATTACCTATCTATCAGTCTATCACTATGGCCTCCACTAATCAGCTGCTAATTAGTAATCATTAAATCATTAATCTTGATTTCAGATTAGGCTTTGGTTATTTATTTAGTCAGTTATTTTATACTCCTCTGTCCCCCCCCCCAAAAACAACTTCATTCCTTTTTGGGATGTTCTAAAAAAAAAGACATCTTTCAATTTTTGACCAAATTTCTGTGACCCAACATCTTCTTCCTTTTTGTATCATTTTCAATCACATGATTTTACTTATTCTTAAATTTTGTACTTCGTATTAAATGTAAATACTAGCATTGGGGTTGGTCCAAATAAACTGCCTCAAACAAATTTTTAAGTGAAAATACCTTTTTGAAAATAATACTCTATCTGTTCAAAAATTTCTTTTCCGATTTGATTTGTCACGAAAATTAAGAAAAGTTAAAAAGTATAAAGGTTTTTTGCAAATAGTGTAGAAAAAAAGTAGGAGTATAATCGCATATTCGCATATTCAGTAAAAGGTTTTTTATTAAAAGAGGAAATGAGAAAGAAATTAATGGTAGAGGGAGTACTTCTCTTGTAATATATCATCCTTCTTTTTTTTTTTTTGCTTAAGTGGATAAATTGTAATCGTTAATTAAATAATAATTACACTCCATTATAAGAAACAATTTAGTGATGTTTATCCTCCAAAAAAACTTTCAAAAAATTATTTTATTGTTTCAATATGCAATGTACAAAATTTGTCATAGTGCATTTGTCAAAGAAAGGGTTCCGTTGTATTCATATACTCCGTATTTTAGTCTTATTCATATATTTTAGTCTTATTCAGTGTAAATTTCACATATTTAAATGACAATTCAAACCTGGTCTAATTTGATTGGAAAATGTCAAAATTGTACTAATGCAACAGAGAATGATTCTTATTTACTTGAGGATCAAACTTAGTCAAACTCGACTAAAAAGAATCAATTAGGACAAATAAACTGATCTAGCAGAAGATCAAGATTAGTGTCCTCTCTTGCTCCCTGCAGAGCAAATTGGCTTTTTTCTTCTTTCCACACCCTTTATCTTGGGGGATTCTGCAGAAAGTTTGATGATTTTGAATGAAGAAAATGCAGAAGTCCTAATGAGTAATGGCTTTCTTCTTCCATTTGACACAAATTTCTCCAGACAGGAAGAAACATGGCAAATCCCCATGGAACAGAAACGAATGATGAAGCGATGATATAGAGCAGTAGAAAGGATTCATATCATCAGTCCCTTTTCCAGGCCACCAACAAATGGTTTTCAGGGGAGATGGAAGAGGGCACATACCTAACGAACTCGCATTCGAATCCGATTTTCTTGAGCCAGTCCACCCTCCCCGCGTCGATTATATCTTTGCACATGAACCCTAAAGCAGCCCTATCCACAGCCTTCATATTCCTGCATATTCCTTCAACTCCCCAAGGATCATCCGCCATTTCATCACTGATTCTGAAATGGGTTCCATCCAAATCCGACCCATGGTCCGCGTCGACTGCCCAGCTGGTAAACCATGTCAAAGCATTGAAATCTTCCATGCTGATGCCCAAACTCAACATGCATTCCTTGCTCACATAGTGCCTCCATTGGCAGAGATGATGGCAGCATGTGGCTATGGCTAAGCCGACCGGGTCGTTATTGCAACATGTCAATGTCATGTCTGTCGCGGGCCCGCAAAGATGTTTCCCGATGGCCAAATAGTCGACTCCGTGTAAAGATTCGACAGCTTTTAGGTTTAGGTCTTCAATGTCGATCCTCAATCGTTCCAAAGTTAACCCTTCCTTCTGTCTCAGGCTCCTATCTGCCTTCAGCTTGTAGGGTTTGCGCTCGATGAACACGACCTTTTTGAATCTGTAACAGTCTGCCAGTAATTGGGTCAGATAACCCCTTCCAGCACCAAATTCAACAACAGCAGGAAGATCATCGCCAGGGCGATTCAGAACTCCTGAATCTTCCAGATTCCCTAAGATCGAGGCCTGCTGCAAAACATGCTTTTCTTCAAACGGCAACTTGGAATCGGCCTGGAGGTCGATCCAAACCCTACAAGCTTGAGAAATTTTGAAGGAATCGGGAACGGAATTACAGATCGAAGCATGAACGGACCTGATTTTGGCGATCAATTCGGAGAATTGAGCAACGGACATGGAATACACAGATTTCCGCTTCATTTCCGATGTGAGGCTGGAAACTCCATTGATGGACTCGATGTCCGCGCCGGCGTTGACGCCCTTCTGGTAGAAAGGCTGGAGAGAGAGAGATTGAGCTTGTTTCAGGAGCGGACACCGCTTCAGGTGGCTTTGAAGATTCTCCTTTAGAACGGAGTGAGAAGAATCGATCGGACATGGAATCCACTGGCCGTCGGATCTTTTGGTGTGGTTTCCGCAGAACGGTGAAGATGGGAGGGGGGAATTCGCGCAGTACCTGTTCTTCTTCGGTAGCCATAGCTTGCACCGACCTTCTTCTGCTTCCATTTTCTCCGCCTCCGCCCTGCCTTCGCCTGAACCCTAATGTCAGTTACTGTAAAAATCGAATCTAATTACGCGCGGGTTTTGCCACATTTGTTTGTTTTAAGTTCGCCTCATTGCTTTTACTTGGTTTGTGTTGGTGTTCGAATAACCTATTCTATTAGTATTACTATTTTAGATAAGATTTTATTAGTGTAATTTATTTCTAAAAATGCTAACGCCCAAAATAGATGAATTCTTCAATATGTTAATGTTAATTTCTAACACCAATGTCAAACGATGCCTGTAAAATTTAAAAGTTTTTATTTATTTAATTATAAATTATGTGTAGTAGTTCACAATATTAAGATGAAATTTAACATTTTTATGTCATTTCACATTGTCTTTTAAAAAACTTCCGGTGTTGATGTCCTTGTACCCTACCTTGTTATTCACGGTCTAAGTTCTCACAATTTCTTGATCTGTCACTGATTTACAGTAAAATTAAAAAAAAATTATAAACAGTGGTTGATGTGATTGTTGTAAAATTTTGTATCGAAATGATAATTTTAGTGTTACGTTCCCAAAAAAAGTTTGGTTTTTGATCGCAATTGTCATATAATGAGTAATAATTTGTGATGTGAAGTATTTAAAAGAACAATCATTTGTCCGAACAAAAATTCGAACTTTTGAATCACCTTTGGGTTAAAAACAGTAAATATGAATTCACGTTTGGGAAAAAAAAGACATTAGGGAAAAAAATAAAAAGGTTGAAAACATTTCAGAAAAACGTGGACGGCAGGATTCGAACCTGCGCGGGCAAAGCCCACATGATTTCTAGTCATGCCCGATAACCACTCCGGCACGTCCACTTTATTGGTCTTTGAGTTGCTTTGTTATTTAGATAAACGCATTGTATAGGCTTATTAATTCATTTCCTATGAAACAGTTTTTATTCGAAAAAACTACTATTGCTACCCTAATTTTTATGAAAAGAAATAATGGGTACCTTTAATATTCAAAATATACTTCGGGATACCTTAAATTATGTAAAAACTTACTAAAGAGAGACTTTTCATCCCTCTTCCGTCAAATTTATTCTTCCGTCAATTGATATCATCACTGACATCATCACCACATCATCATCATCACCATCTTCCTCCTTCCTCCTCCAGCCCTCCTCCTTTTCTCCTCTTCTTCTCTTTCTTTTCTTCTTCTTCTTCTTCGTCTTCTTCTTCTTCTTCTTCTATTATTATTATTATTATTATTATTATTATTATTATTATTACTACTACTACCACTACTACTACTATTACTATTATTATTAATATTATTTTTATTATTAATTACTTGTTTGACTACTCTGATTTTTTAAAAAAATAACGCTAATTATTATTTACTTCTTCTATTATTATTACTGAGTATTATTATTTCCATCATTATTAAAAAATTAATTAGTAGCTTTGTTACACCAAATGGTGTGTTTGATAAGCAAACAAGATATGAATTTTGATATTTCTAGATATGAGAATTCTTTTTTATTGTTTGGTGTAGCCAAAAGTGATACCGAATTTGATATCTTTAAATCTTATAAATCCTTCAAATGGAGGGTTTCGATATCTCCCGAATTTGGGAGATATCAATATGAGAGTTTGATATCCCTCTCAATCGTTAACCATTCTCCGTCACCGGCTAATATTGTCATCGCCAACCACCCCCGTTTCCGGTCACTGCTTATCATTAATTAAATCATTATTTTAAATCTGTACAAATAAATTCTTATAAGATTTTAAAACCAATATCATTTTCTTCTAAATTTTTAACTTATATCTTATCGTGTCTTCAAAACTCACTAGTCCGGCCCGAATTTTTTAATAAAATCACACTAATTTTTATTTATTTATTTATTACGAAGTATCATTTTTTTCTTAATATTGTGAATTACAATTTATATTTTGAACTAATTAAATATTGGAGTAAACAATTTTAAATTTATAAATTATACATAAATAAATTACCAAAACTAATTTTTAATTAAAGACTATAAATGTTTTACTGTACGTATCCCGTATCAAGATGGGAATGGGAAGAATTCAAAAGGATTGATAGTACTACTCATACCAACAAGTTGCATCTTCTTTTCGAGAGCTCATCAACTAGAAACTCCAAAGTTAAGCGTGCTTGACCTGGAGCAATTCATTCTAGGATGGGTGACCCCCTGGGAAATTCCTTGGGCGCGCATGAGTGAGAACAAAGTGTGCGGGAAAGACTTGTGTTGGTTTGTGGGGCCAGTCTACAATCCTATGAGCGGACACTTACGGCTAGGGTGGGGCTGTGGTGTTACATTTACTTTTTTCATACATGTGGAGATTGCAAAAGATTAATGAGGTATAAAAAATTTTGGTGGGAGCATGAGTGTTATTTTTATTAAAAATTAGAGTAGTAAACAACTAATTAATAATAATAATAATAATAATAATAATAATAATAATATAATAATAATAATAATAATAATAATAATAATAATGGGGGAAGAAGAAGGAAAAAGGGAAGGTGTGGGAACAAAGAAAAAAAGGAGGAAGGACGAATTGAAGATGATGGTGATGATGATGATGAAAAGTGACGGAAGGAAAGAGTTGGCTGAAGATAGACGAAAAGTCTCTCCTTGGTAAGTTTTTGCATAAGTTAAGGTACCTTGTAGTATATTTTGAAAATTAGAGGTACCTGACAGTCCTTACCACAAAACTCGAAATATCTAGTAGCAATTTTTTGATTTTTATTCCGCTATGGGAACAAACAAAGCAAGAGAGTAAGAGGGCACCATTTTGTTCCATAATACATCCTCCGTCCCACGTAATTTAAGCAAGAGAATGTAAAAAATTAACTTGGCACGAGTTTTAATGTGAAGTGAAAGATGAAGGGAACTTCTTATTATATCCTTCCTACGTCACTTTTTGTAAAACAAAAGAAATGAATAAAGTGTATAGCGCTCAACAGTGACAAAATACAAAAATTGAGATTTTTTTCTTCAATCCAATCGTTATACATACTCCCTCCGTCCGGGAATGATGTTCCAGTCTACGTTTTTTTCGTCCGGGAATGATGTTCCCAATCTACTTATTTTTTATCATTCTTCCAAAACTACCCTCTCCTCCTTTTTCTTTCTTTTTTTCTTCCAGTCTCTCGTTTGGTTCTTCTTTGTCCTGGTCCGTTTCTTTTTCCCCTCTTTGCCTTCATTTTTCATTTTTCTTTCTTCTCTCTTTCTCCGATTTGAGCCCCATCTTCTTCATCTTTTTCTTCTACTTTTTCTTTTTCTTCTTCTTCTTCTTTCTCTTCCATGCTCTTTTTCTGATCGTCCCCCTCTTCTTCATATCCATACTTCCATATATATGATTCACAACTACAAAGTGAATTGAAAGAACTTTTCCCTCCGAAACACCTAAGCTACTCCGTCAACATATACCACACAAGCTACACATATTATGTAAGTGGAAGAAGACAATTTGGTTGAATTCATTCTTGAACATGAGGATGACTTCAATCTTCAAGAGTGAACTTAAAAAATGTGTTTTGGTTTTTTATTTTTGTTAAGAGTTAATGACGTATTCTGATATCTTCTGAGTTTTGCTCAACAATTTTTGTCTAACAATTTTTGTCTATTTTTGTGTTTTTTGGTAGATGGGTTATAGACAAAAATTAGAGAATACTCAACCTTGTAATCATAAGGTTATGGAGAGAGCACATGTTCATTGCTTAATTCCCTATATTTCAATATCAAAATAGGATTACTTAATGTTCTTATATCAAACTAGAATATCTAATGCCATAATATTGCTTTTAAAAAATACTATAAAATGTCAATATATGCGCTCTCCTCTTAGCTAAGAAGTTCAAATTTGAAAAATATGCACTAAATAAACAAAAGAACTAATTTCAAAAGCAACTTTTTACACTAAATTCAATAGAATTTGAATATGCAATTAAAGGGATAGAGATGTGGGTTCAAATCAGACCAGGACGAAAGGTTTATTAAGAGAGTTCGGGGTAAGAACTATCAATTCAACAAAAATATGCACTAAATAAACAGCAAAGGCATTACCCCATCCATTACCAACAACAACAACCACAACAAAACATCCACACAAATTCCCTCCCATGAGGCTACATCAAAAGACAAAAGGTAGCCCAAACATACAAGTCCTAAATTCCTAAAATGTCCTTAGGAATTTAAAAAACAAAAATTGCGAAGAAAAATATCGATGTTGTTACAATTAGTTAGTTCAATGTTGTGTTGTTGTAGGATTGGGATTGGGATTTGGATTTGGATTTGGATTCACCCCCACGGATTCTAGTGTCTTTGTCTTCGGTTCCCTACAAAACAATGGACACCCACAATTCATTGGAAAATTTGTTGCAAACTAGTGTTACGTGACAAAATCGTGCCAATTTCAACATGTTTCTAGACAATATTACCACACTCGAATATATACAAATTAATGAAAAATACTCGTGACAGTGTATATTTCCACCAAATTAATGTTCATTTCTTTTTTGAATACTCACTTCATGATAACATAAAATTTATTTTATAAGGTTAAATTACAAAAAAAAAAAAGATCAACTAAGCTAACCATTCAATCACACTCAAACTACAAGACTACACTAACTACTCTTTTTTTTTCCTCTGTCCCTATATATTGACTACAAATAATTGTGTAAATAACATATACCTAGCAAAAACATCTCCTCGGATGGGATCAGACATGACTTCTTGGCGATCAATGTCCTGCACATGAGCAACCTTCCTGAAGAGGGACTTCTTGATGAACTTCTCGGAGTCGCCGGCCACGGCGGCGGGGTCCACCACCTCCGGCACCGTCTCCCTCCTCGACTTCTTCACGTGCACGTTCGGCGATCGGCTCAGCTGGTGGCGGGCGGTGTGGATCCCGAACCCCGCCGCCAGCGTGATCATCCCGACCGCCACGTACACCGGGAAGAACTGTCCCTTTGCTGGCGCCGAACCGCCGCCAGCCGGTGAGTCCGCGGCGGCGGAGGACCCGAAGGGAGAGTTCTTCCCTTTGAAGGGAGAGTTCTTCCCTTTGAGCCTAGCTGATAGGGCTTTGAGGAAACCCTTTTGAGCTCTGAGAGACATTGTTTGGGGGTTCTAGAAATTGAGAGAGTAAACTATTACTGAATAGGGAGATGAAGTTTCATAAAAATCTGAATGGAGGTGGAGATATTATTAGTGTAGGGAGGGTAGAAAGGTAAATTGATGGGGTAGAGATGAGGAGATGCCACGTGGACATTGGCATGCAAAGCATGGGACACTAGTCTAAGTATCAAGACACCACTTGTCATGAAATTTTGACACCATTTATTCCAAAGACATTTACAAACATAAAACAATATTCTTTAACTCATTATGTCAAAATAAGATTACAATTTTTGCATTAGAAAGTAAAACTCGTGAAATCATTTTATTTAAAGATTGCTATAAGAATAAAAAATATTTTCCTCACCAAAATAAGAGAAACTTGATTTTCGTACTTCTTAGTAGTTAGTATTTTTTTTTATTCTACTTTTCTTTTTCTTTTCCTGTCTAACCAAACAAAAAACTTTGCTAAAGCGTGAAGTGACCTTTGAAGAAAACGAAAACAAAACTCGTTCCTTGGACCAGTTCAAAGGATCCCTTCCTTAACAAGCTTTCGGGCATTAAGGAGGTTTCTGCATAAGAAGCTTGGTTGGAATTACAAAAGAAATCTACAGCTACTTCCGTCCTTGAGTATTTGTCCAGTTTTGACTTTTTTCGGTCAAGTGTTTTTAACCTTTGACTTATAATTAAATAAAATATATATTGTATATTAATTAAATGAAATGATATTTTGAAAATTTTTGACATAATAAATCTAATAAAACTATTTTTGTATCAATATCTAAAATCATTTTTGTTTAATTTGAGGTCAAAGTTTACTTATTTTGACCGAAAAAAGTCAAAAGTGGAAATATCAGAGACGGAGGGAGTACTCTGTAATAATTTCTAGTATAAATTAAATTCAAACAAAAAAACATTAACACTATATTTGGTTCAAGGAATTTGGAAGAGAAAAAAATGATTTTTTTTCATTTTCTCTATTAAAATGAGAGGAATTTGGTTTCCCCCCATCGTAGTACATTTTACCTTCTCACTTTCTTTTCCTTTCATTTTTCTTTTCTTTTTCATGTCTAACCAAATAAAAATAATTGTTTTCCTCTCACTTTTCTTTTCCCTTTCAAAACCTTTGAACCAAACATAGTGTAAGAAAAATGTGCAAGAAAGATGCACAATTTTCAAATAAACATACATAAACATAGATACGGAGTATATCTTAATGCAAGTCATAATATTGAAGCTTGATAGGCTTTTCTTACCCTCAGTTTGCCCCTTGACTCCTTCAGCTACTCCAAGCCATCCAACCTGACCAAACTGCAACCAGCATTCTTCTTGATGCCTCTCTTCTCATCATCCCTAACCTTCACCAAGTCATCCCAACGCTCCGTGGTGGCATAAACACTAGCCATTGCCGAGTAAGCCCCTCCATCTTCGGGCTTCATCCCCACCACCTGCTCGGCTGCTTTCTCCGCGACCCCAACATTCCCATATGTCCTGCATCCTCCAAGCAGACCACCCCAAACAAAGATGTCACCTTTCATTGGCATCGCCTCGATCATCTCCTTGGCTTCTTTGGTCAAACCCGCACGCCCAAACAAGTCTGTCATGCAACCGTAGTGTTTCAGCTCTCTGCGCGCTGCATAGACACTCTCCATCTCTCCAAAGAGCCTTCTTGCTTCATTGGTGTTATTGCTGTTGTTGTTGGTAGAAAGCCAATACATGCCATGGGTTGAAGAGTTGGTGTTTTGGGCATACGAAGAGCGACCGGTGAGACATCATTCTCTCGTTGTTAAGGTTGTCCACGTGAGTCGAGCAGTATGATCAAGAGGAAAACAATACGGACATGCACGTCGACCACAATATTATTGATGAGTGTCGAGAGGGAGCCTTCATCCGGTCTAACTACCAGAGAGAGACAAATTAAAGGAATATTATGATGCCAAAGTGAAACCTAGAGATCAACCCATTATTTTTGGATTGGGTTTTGAGTAAAAAACGAATCAGATCAAATTTTGCCACCTCTACGTAAACCTCATCGCCAACTCCATGCTCGTCTTCGTCCATGAAGAACCTACCAAATATACTTGAATTTATACAATGCATATTTGTACATTGTCCACCAAAAACATTACCCATATGTATATATAAATCTTAGAATGACATGATTTATGCCTCAAACTTATTAACGCGAAAAAAAGAAGTGTTTGCAAATTGTGAGGGCGCTACCCTTTATCAAGGAAAGGAACATAGGATTATTTGTTCTCCTTTCAAAGGGGAAGGAAGAATTGAGACAAATCATGAACCCTGCATGTTTTTTCATTCAGAAGTATCGTTCCTTTAGCTGATTTACCATATGTAACTAGTCACTCTTTTCTAGTAATTTTTACTAACTACTATTTTTTACATGAAGATGTGGCTTTGTTTGATCGAACAGGAAAAACTTTTAGGGAAAAAATACAAGATAAGAAAGTTTTTTGCTTACCTCATTTACAGCAAGCCATCCAACCTGACCAAACTGCAACCAGCATTCTTCTTGATGACTCTCTTCTCATCATCCCTAATCTTCACCAAGTCATCCCAACGCTCCGTGGTGGCATAAACACTAGCCATTGCAGAGTAAGCCCCTCCATCATACGGCTTCATCCCCACTACCTGCTCGGCTGCTTTCTCCGCAACCTCAACATTCCCATATGTCCTGCACCCTCCAAGCAGACCACCCCAAACAAAGATGTCACCTTTCATTGGCATCGCCTCGATCATCTCCTCGGCTTCTTCGATCAAACCCGCACGCCCAAACAAGTCTGCCATGCAACCGTAGTGTTTCAGCTCTCTGCGCACTCCATAGACACTCTCCATCTCTCCAAACAGCCTTCTTGCTTCTTCAACTAGTCCTGCGTGACTGCACCCAACCAGCACCCCAAGAAAGGTCACCCCGTCAGGGGTGACACCGGTTTCCATCATCTGCGAGAAGAAATCGAGCAATAATCTGCTTTTGCCGTGCATGGCCAGTCCGACAAGCATGGCATTCCATGTAAACAGATTCCTCTCAGAGCAGGTCTCAAAAACATGGATAGCCGCGTCAATGGAGCCGCATTTGGCGTACATGTCAACCAGTCCAGTAGCTAAGTATGCATCTATGGAAACCCCATTTCTTTTCTTGATGTGGTTGTGAATGCTCTTACCTTTCTCCAGTTCTCCAAGCTGTGCGCAAGCAGAGAGAGCCGAAACAATTGATGCATTGCAAGGCTTTGGGTTTGACACAGACATTTCGTCGAACAGTTGGAGGGCCTCCCTGCAGCGGCCAGTTCTGGCACACCCCGCAATAAGGGCACCCCAGGAGAACGAGTCTCTCACAGGCATTTCATCGAACACCTCCTTCGCCTTGACAATCTCCCCAGCTTTCACAAACCCATCAATCATCACGTTGTAGGAAACCAAGTCCCTGTGAGAACTCTCGTCAAACACCCTGAACGCATCACCGACCTCGCCGCCGCACAAGGAATAAGCATGGACGAGATTATTGACGGCGTACACATCCGCCAGCAACCCGAATCTCAGAGCTTGACAATGGAGGGTCCGCGCGAGAAGAAGAGAGCCCAGGAGAGCGCAAGCCTTGAGGACGAAAGGGAAGGTGTGGGAGTCCGGGGGGACGCCGGATCTGCGCATATCAGCAAAGAGTCCAACGGCGGTTCGCGGAGAGGAAAGGATGGTGTGGGATCGGATGACGGCGTTGTAAGCGAAGGAGGACGGGGACGGGATGAGATTGAAAATGGCGGCGGCGAAGTGGAGGTGGACGGCGGAGGGTGTGGCGGAGGTGGGGAGAAGGGAGGAAGTGAAGGAGTGGAGGATTTGAGGGAGGAGAGGAGTTTGGTTGAGGGGAGAGTTGCAGCAGCCTCTGGTGACGGCTTGAGCTAAGATTTGGTGAATTTGGGTTTGGGTTTGGCATTTTAGCTTGAGGATTTTGATCAGACGCCATGATTGCCTGCAGATTACTCGTCTGGTGAGATGACGATGATGATGATGGATCGCCGCCATTGTTGTTCCTCCATTCTGATTTCATGCTTCAAAAAAAAAACACAGAAGAAAAAAAAAATCGAATATGGCGTAAAAAGTAAATGGGAAAACGTGGACGGCAGGATTCGAACCTGCGCGGGCAGAGCCCACATGATTTCTAGTCATGCCCGATAACCACTCCGGCACGTCCACATGATTGATTGGGGTTTGATATGAATATTTAATAAAAAGTAGAATATGCGTTAACGAAAGATTAGGTACTGCAAAAACATGTCAGCATCTTTAATGCAACTTGGTTAAATAGATTTTACACGGAATTTGAAAAAAAATGATCATGTAAAAGTTTAAAAGGCTTGTGGATATTACTCCGTACTTCACTTATTACACTTTTTTATTCTACTCCAACGATGTAATAAAAAAAATAAACTTTTACTATGTACTACAACATCCGTTCCCCTGTATTTGTCCACATTTGATTTTTGGAACTGTTCATCTAATCACTTTGACTCATCAAATTCTCTCAATGTGTAAGCCTAAATATAGTCATGTGTGATCTTGTTTGATTTGTCTTAACATATAGATTATTAATACTCCCTCCGTCCCTAAATAGATTACAATCTTTTTTTCTCTCTCCTCTCGATAACTTTTGTTTGTTTACGCAATTTCATCAAGTATTTGATAAAATAAAATATTCTTGTCACCTCTTGTTTTGTAGAACTTTTGACGTAGTTTTTTGATATGTAATTTTTATAGCTTATTAATGTACCAATTTGTAAATAAAATAATTTCAAAAAGTAAAAAATTTTACTCCGTAACCCGCAATTTGTAATCAAATTGGGGACGGAGGGAGTATATAATTTCTATAATTTTTTAATATACAAATTACAAGATGAAATGAATTAAAGAAGTGCATTGGATGGTGTGTAAAAATGAGAGTGGATAAATACAGGGGGATGGAGGGAGTATGTATTATTTTATATAGGGTGAAGACTCATCGACGGATAGAGATGAGTAATAAATCTACTAAGTCTCACTAACAATGATGCGTATGTCTTATCTCACAACGACCCGGTTTTATGGCCACTGAGTTTCAGTAGGCACGGAAGTCATCACCCCGATTTAGACACCCACGATTCTCCGTTCATAAAATTGATTATTCCTATCCCTCTTAACCCTTCCCTCTCCGCCCAGTACCGACCCCGAGTCATCCATCCACACACATTCCTGTATAAATGTGACATTATTCAATTATTCAAATGTGAATGCATATATATTTAATGATGTGCAAATGTTGAAAGATAAATGCAATAAATATATATGTGAAATACATATTATATTATTCATAACGATTATTCATTGAATATACGAAAAACAACGTACATCCAAATATATGGTATCCACACTCAACAAAACGAGAGTACATACGTTCAGAAGCTAAATAAAACCTTTAACTTCTTGCACGAGAGACACGACAATGCTTTCTTCCGAGTTCGGGTACTTACGGGGATTCTTCAGGTAGGATATTCTTGAACACTCCTAGTAAACATATTACTTACTTAAGGACATACACACATAATTAAGGGCACCAAAACAAAAAGCACTACCCCACAAAATGCCAATTGTGTTACAGCCAAACACGGCACAATCATGCAACCATAGGTTCATAACCATCTTCTCTTTTGGAACTTGTTTTGATCATCACAGCAATGGCAGCAATAAGCCCTGCAACCCCACACAATGCCACCAAAGCCCAAATACCACTCATTGGGCCCACCCTCTCACCTCTCTGCACCACATTTAAACACCATACATTGTTTATTAGTACGTCGAGTTGCGGTTGTGAACTAATCGAATTGTTTTGACACCAGAGATGACACCAAAGTTGACCCTGCCAACTACGGTTGCATACGGAGCGAATAATTTTGACTTGATTCTTAATTCGTATTCGGAAAAGTGAATATGAATTAGAATACAAATAGCTATTGGTATCCATTACATTTTCAAACACGAATACGAATGTGTATTTATTCGATTAAGTAACTTTTGAAATATAATCAAATACAGATATACAAATATAAATACATAATAACAACAACCCAGTTGCCTATTATATAGAATGCTGCTATTATATATTTGGTACCTCATGAAGGGCAGAATGGGAATTGTGCAGAGGTTCAGCAACCAAAATGTAGAAAAGCCCCATGACTCCAGTGTGGGACTGGCTGCTGCTGTAGTTAGACACAAAGGTTAGCTTTTCCCCCTTTGCAATCTTAACCGAACCGGGCTTTGGATAACAGGTCGTCATCCCCACTATGTAACCCTCTTCGTTCCCGGCTTCCTTGCCCTCACCATATATTGGGTGTGACGAGCATAGTGTGCGTCCGTCCTAAAACCATTCAAGAAACTCTTGTTTTGACAGTTTTCGCATTGAAATAGATTGAAGAAAACAAAAGGGTAAAATTGGACTTTCAAAAGGAATTGTCAATGTAGACAACAAAACATTGGGTGTGACGAGCATAGTGTGCGTCCGTCCTAAAACCATTCAAGAAACACTTGTTTTGACAGTTTTCGCATTGAAATAGATTGAAGACAACAAAAGGGTAAAATTGGACTTTCAAAAGGAATTGTCAATGTAGACAACAATACCTCTCCATAGAGAACTGAGCCAACCCCTCCCGTGTGCTGGTGGGACACGGCATAGATGACATCGCCACCAGTTGGCAAACTCGAAACTGCACTTTGGGTATGAATGCAGTTCTCTTTATCCACATTGGATGGGCATATGGGAACATCATATTCAATCTGAACCAAGGGATATCAAGGGGAACTATTAAGAGTGTGTTTGGATTCCCAAAAAATACTAAGAAAATGCAGACAAGAATGAAATATAATGTTTTGTTAAAGAACATCTTGAAATATTGTCCTCAAAACCAGACCTATATAGGATAAATGAGTATGGAATCAATGTTTTATACTCCGTATTTATTTTCTACAGTAAATTTCCTCTCCGTGGTGTTTTCCAGCATCCAAACGGACCCTAAAGAGAAAACAAGTTTTACACTAATCTTACATCTCAAAAAACAACAACCCAATATAATCCCAACTCGGTTTGGAATCAAGACGTAAGCAGCCTTACCCATGTGAATTAAGAAAGACTGTTTCCATTATTTACCCCAAGCTAAAACAATGTCAATTTTGATCAATCTTACTACAGATCATCACACCCTTATCATGTCCTTCAATTCCATTTGAATCACGTGAGGGTCCGTTTGGAAGGATGGAAAATGACTTCTCACAAATAAATTCATTTTTTGGTGCTCGGTAGAAAGTTTGGAGAATGAGGAAAAACTAACGCTATGTTCGGTTCAAAGAATATGGAAGGAAAAGAAAAGAAAACGATTTTCTCTCATTTTCCTCACTATAATTGGAGGGATTTGGTTTTCCCTCCTCTTAGTATATTTTGCCCTCTCATTTTCTTTTCCATTCATTTAGCCAAAAAAGAAAAACTATTTTCCACTTCATTTTCTTTACGTTTCCCTTTCAAATTCATATAACCAAACATAGAGTAGGTAGGAAAATGGTGGAAAACGTCTTCGGCCGGAAACAATGGAAATCCTTTTTCCGTTGACTTCAGAAATCATTTTCCGAAATAGCCAAACACTAGAAAATGGGAAAAAGACTCCCGGAAGTCATTTTCTCCTTTCCCAAACAGACACTAAATGCAGAAAGTTTGCAGCCAAAACAACAATGGAGAAAGTGGAAGTGAAGATAATAAAGTCCTATGATCACCTTGCAGTTGTGCCCTTTGGAAGGCACTTTTGTTGTGCCATCCATTTTCCCCCAAGTATCAGTGACATCAAATATATAAATTTTGACGGGCACAATGGAGGAGGAATCGTCCCATTCAACATACGTGACATTGTACTTCAGATATAAACCTCTCTTTTTACCACTCTCAAATCCCTTTTTTACCCTGCACCTTGTCCCATCCGCGCAACATCTCAACCCCCCAATATAATCTCTCTCTATAGCCTTCCCGTGCTCATCCACGGTCACATTATAAAGGCCACACCGACATTCTGTGCACCCCAACTTGTCCACCGCGCCACGTGTATCGATTGCATGGACATTAAGTAGCCACCCCTCCTCATAACCTTCCGGAACCTCTTCAACATTGCCAACTTCTATCCCATACGGGTCCGGAATGTGGGTGTCCGTTTTCCTCGTCTCGGATCCGAGCCCGAAATATTGTACGAGTCCATTTCCACAGAGACCCGAGTTCTTTACCATAATAAAATCCGATTGGTGGAAGCCCAAATCGGGAGAATGGTACTTTGGATTCTCAACGCCTTTCCGGATATAGTATCTCGCAACAAGCCAGTGGTGCATGTAGGTTTCATGAAGCGGGACCGAGTTTCCCGCTTCATCTACCACTTCTGCATCAAATCTTTTCACTGCAATATGACCTTTCGGGAAGTCGATGTTGTAATAGATCTTGTTTTCGACTGACCCGGGTTGTAATTCAAACTTGGGTGATAGGAAAGTGGATGTTTTCAACACATTATTAGCTTGTGAGGAGGTTTGAGAAAGTGTTGACAATATCAGCAGAACAACAAGAAAAAGGCAACAGCCATTTGAACTGCTGTGAGACATCTCCATTTTTTCCCCTGTGATGTACTGGAAATCTTTTCCCCCCACTGTCTCTGTAGAACTTTGACCAAATATGTTAGAAACTGAGGATATTTCCAAACAATATTCTCTACACAAAAAAAGGGCTTTTTTTGCATTGAGTACTTCATGAATATCTACAACAAGAAGAAGAAGAACAACAAATCCTGTAAAATCCAACAGAATTCAAATTTCACGAAGAACTTGGGTCTCGAAGTACCCAAAAAGAGACGTTTCGAGAATAGGAAGCTACACTTATTTGAAGATTCCATGAAACATATACTACAAAAAACGGGTCGAATCGAAAAACGAAATCAAAGTTTTCATATGCAGGCATAAACACAAAGGCCAAGACTATTGTTTTTTCGAGCTTCGACACTAACTAACTCTGCTTAGATCTAAACTAATCCTGATTAGCAAGAAAAACCATTTTCAGTAACTTACCACTCTCTTTTACCACTTCTAACAACACTAACCGATCAAATTTAATCTTTTTTAGTTCGATTTCATTAGAGGATCTTATGGCTCAAGTGAGTGATCACTGGTAATCAAAAATCCATACCTGATACAGAAAATGATACCAAAAATGTTGTCTTTTTTTAATCATGAAACAAATTGCAGGAAAAAAAAGAGGGCCAAGAACAAGAACAATTATTAATCTGCAGAAATCAGTGTGAACACAATAGGATGAAGCAATAAACGAAAGTGAGGAAATGTCATACCTGAAATGTGGGAAACCATTGAAATCTGTGGCTATGTATTATGGAGTTTGCACGAAAAAAGACAAATAAGTCCTTGAAATTTCGAAAGGTCGCCGTCAATGCGTGAGAGAAAGGGAAAGATGAATTCTTTTCTTTCTTTTCTTTTTTTTAACAAAGCGTGTTTGAAATCACTTGCTAAAGCTTAGACATGTTTGAAATGGGCTTTTTTACCTTTTGTTTTTGGGTGGAAAACAAGCTAATTTTTTGAGGTGATAACAACATCCACCCGGCGTTTGATGCTCTAGAGTTTTAGAGCGTTAGGGGCTTAGGCTCTCTTTCGCTAGTTTAGCATTTTACATAATTCTTTCGTGCCCAATTTGATTACAAATTGGAATTTACGAGCACAAATATTTCACATTTTGAAATTATTTTATTTACAAATCAGTATATTGATAAGAAATAAAAATTACACATTAAAAAAATACGTCAAAAATTTTACAAAACAAGAGGCGACAAGAATATTTTATTTTATCAAATATTTAATGAAATCACGTAAACAAACAAAACTTATCGAGAAGAAAGAGAAAAAAATTTGTAATCAAATTGAGGACAAAGGTAGTACAAAAATTAACAAACTTTGGAGTACACTACAATGATGTTTTTGGTGTAAACCAATTGTATGCCAGCCATTGTTGATTAGAGACACAGAGTTTTTGTATTTGTTCTAAAATATTTCTTTATTCGTTCTAAAATTATTTTACGATTATTGTTGCATGATGAAATTTTATTCACTTTCTTTTACTTGGTGATGCTTCTATGTATTTATAAGTCGATCAAAAAATGTATATAAATAATATTTAACTTATAAGTCAATTTATAATGTCATGATCTGTCTTTGGGTTTCTAGACCAATTGTTTTTGTGTTGAAAATAAGCTACTCCCTCCGTCCCGTTTTAAATCGCTCGTTTTGACTTTTGGGCATATTTAAGGAAAATAAAAAATAGAGTTGATTTTCCGAAATTGTTAGTACTTTTTAGGAGGAATGATGATGAATGAGAAGATAATGTGGAAAAGAGTAACTTATTTTAGAGGTAGTTTAGGTATTTTACTCTTAAAAATTTACGAAAACAACTAACAGGCAACTTATTTTGGGACGAAAAAAAAGGCAAACAGACTATTTAAAATGGGACGGAGGTAGTAATTTTTTAGTTGATAACGTCATCCCTTAGCGTTTGATGATCTAGAGTGCTTGACCTAGCGGCTCTGTTTGGCTAGCTTTAGCATCTTAAATACAAAAGAAGTTCTAGAATGATGTTTTTTGGTGTACCTCCTTAAATACAAAAGATTCATTTTTGTGGATCACAGGATTCACAAATATAGGGTGTTTGTGTTTGTCTAGTGTATAATTGAGGTATATTATTTTGGTGTACTCCTAGCATGATCCTATAAAAAAATACTCCAAAACATGTTTGAGTATTGATTGACATCAAAAGTTTGACACCATCTATTCAGAGACATGCAACGAAAATAATTGTTTTTGCCAGATAGTGAGTGTTATTGCATGTATGTCTCTGAAATATTTTGCATCAAATACTTTTTATGTAAAATCTGATGTGATCCTAACATTACTCTTTTGAAAAATAAACTTTGTATGTAAAGTTAGTATTTTCTCAAATTAATCTTCATATTTAGAAGTTATCTAAATATTTCTCTCACCGTCTTAAAATGATTTTACACCTATTATTGCATGATGAAATTTTATTTAATATCTTTACTTATAATGGGTCTATTTGAAATATCTTTAGAGATTAGCGTTAGCTTTTTAGATAAAATTTTAACGCTGCATTTTACTTTTAAAATGCTAACGCTAAACGCTGCTCGTTGATAGTCGATCTTTTCAAAACGCTAATTTTCATCTTTAACGTTATTCACAAACAGACCTAATATTTTTCTGTGTTTATAAGTTGGTCAGAACTATATGAATTGTGTTTTAATTTATAAGTCAATTTATGATGACCACTTGTTGTTTGTGTGGAAATTAAGCTGTTTTTTGAGCTGCAATGACATCCACGGTCCTTTCATGCTCTAGAGTTTTTTTAGAGTGCTTGACTTCACAGGTTACGGCTCCGTTTGGGTGTTTGGCTAGTTTTAGAACCTTGGATACAAAAGCACTAAGCACTGAATTTTGACTTTTGCTAATTTGGCAATTCATTCCTTTTTCAATCATACTACACTGATGTAGTGATGTGTACCCAAAATTACACCAAAAGTATACACTAACATTTTGATGGTTCATACTTACACAAAATGATGACGCGTTAACAAAAAATTGCACTCACATTTTGTGTCTGTGTGAACTATCACATTTTGGGAAATTCTAAAAATAAAAATATACGGAGTATTGTTTAATTCGAAACGGATGAAGTATATATTCTTGTTTGAAAATTTTCTGATCCCACAAATATTTGATGCAGTGGATCAATTCAAATGATCCGTATTTTGTGAAGAACACACACACAGTATAAATTGGGGTAAAATTAAAAACGCAAATTTAAATATTCAAAAATAAATCAAAACTTCTATTTCTTGCACAAGTGTGACATGATAGTGTTTTCTTTCTTTTTTCCATTCATTATTTTATTTAAAAATTGACAAAGAAATATAAACATAAAATTTATGGCCTTGTTTGAAAATATCATTTTTATTAGCATTAGCATTTTAGATAAAAATTTCAATGAAGTAAATTAATTCTGAAAATACTAACCCTAAAAACCACCATCACATAGCCTTTTTCAAACCAATGTCTAACGTCGATGCCAAATGAGACTTTGTACTTAAAAACTACGTCAAAAGCTCTACGTAACAAAAGGGACAAGAATATTTTATTTTATCAAATTATCAATAAAATATACAAATGAATAAAGACTCTTGTAATTTTTAAATAACGAAGGGTAACATCTTTTTTGGGACGGAAGTAGAAATGAGTAAGGACATACACACATAATTAAGGGCACCAAAACAAAAAGCACTCCCCACAAAATGCCAATTATGTTATACAGCCAAACACGGCACAATTATGCAAACATAGGTTCATAACCGTCTTCTCTTTTGGAACTTGTTTTGATCATCACAGCAATAGCAGCAATAAGCCCTGCAACCCCACACAAAGCTACAAGTCCCAAAATGCTATTCCATGGGCCCACCCTCTCACTTGTCTGCACAATTAAAAAATTATCTAATACATTAACGCTAATTAAAACTAGGTGACTTCAACATTTCGAGGTTATCATGACCCCGAGCTTTGTACAGACACGAATCGAAAATAATCATACATGTCGCACCGATACGTCAGTGCAGCATTCGGAGTCATACTAGCCTCAAGATGTTAGGGTTACCCTAGCACGGCTCGGTTAAAACGGGATTCCCAAATAAGGCCTATGTTGGGTTACACTTTTCAAGTAAATCCGGGCATGCCTATATGTAAAATGCTGCTAATATTTGGTACCTCATGAAGGGCATAATTGGAATTGTGCAGAGGTTCGGCAACCAAGATGTAGAAAAGCCCCATGACTCCGGTGTGGGACTGGCTGCTGCTGTAGTTCGACACAATGGTTAGCCTTTCCCCCTTTGCAATCTTAACCGAACCGGGCCGAGGATAACAGGTCGTCATCCCCACAATGTAGCCCTCTTCGTTCCCCGCTTCATTACCCTTGCCATATATTGGGTACGAGGAGCATAGTGTGCGTCCGTCCTAAAACAAGTTTATAGGAAACTAGAATTAATTTATCGTTTAAGACTCTCCGAAAAACTAAAAACGTTACGGACTAAAGGGTAGAAGAGTAATTTCAAAAGTAGGTGTCAATGTATATACCTCTCCATATAGGGCAGAGCCCACCCCTCCAGTGTGCTGGTGGGACACCCCATAAATGACATCCCCACCATTGGGCAGACTTGAAATTGCACTTTGGGTATGAATGCAATTCCCAAAATTGCCATTGTTAGGTGAACATGATTCAACACCATACTCAACCTGAATCAAAGTAGTAGACCCAAGAAGATTGAATCTTTAAGAAAAAGTGTTTGGATTCCAACAAAAAATTTGCAAAGCTAAACCAAAAATGGAAAAAATGCAAAAAAAAAAATATCATCACCTTGCAATTGTGTCCTCGGGACGACGCATTTACCGCGTCGTCCTTTTTACTCCATGTATCTGTGACATCGAATATGTATATCTTCACGGGCACGATGGAGGATCTATCCCATTCAACATATGTGACATTGTACTTCAGATATAAACCTCTCTTTTTACCACTCTCAAATCCCTGTTTTACCCTGCACCTCGTCCCGTCACCGCAACATCTCAAGCCTCCCATATATTCTTCTTCTATCGCCTTCCCGTGCTCGTCCACGGTCGCATTGTAAAGGCCGCACCGACACTCCGTGCACCCCGACCTATCCACCGCGCCGCGCGTGTCGATTGCGTGGAGGTTAAGTAACCATCCCTCCTCATATCCATCCGGGATCTCTTCGACGTTACCGACTTCGATCCCGTACGGGTCCGGAACGTGGGTGTCCGTTTTCCTCGTCTCGGACCCGAGCCCAAAATATTGCGTGAGCATGTTTCCGCATACGCCCGAGTTCCCGGCCCAAATCAAATCCGGGTGATCAAAGCCCAGACCGTGCGAACCGTGATTCGGCGGATTCTCAACGTCTTTTCGGACGTAGTATCTCACAACAACCCAATGGTGCAGATAGGTTTCGTGAAGCGGGACTGGGTTTCCCGCTTCATCTACCACTTCTGCATGGAACCTTTTCAATGCGATGTGACCTCTCGGGAAGTCGATGTTGTAGTAGTTCTTGTTCAGGACCGATCCGGGTTCGAGTTCGAACTTGGGTGATAGGAAAGTGGCTGTTTTTAACACATTATTAGGTTTTGATGAGGCTTGATGAGAAAGTGTTGCCAACATGAGCAGAATAACAAGAAAAAGCCAACAACGATTTGAACTGTGTGACATCTTCTCCATTGTTCTCCCCTGTAGTGTAGGGTAAATCTTTTCCCCAATGTCTCTGTAAAAATTTGAAAACATTTGTTACAAACTGGGGATGTTTCCCACAATATTTTATGCACAGAGTTAATCCAACATGAGTCTTTTTTACTCAAATTCTACCCCCTAACCCCGTGCACCCCAATGTTAGCCATGTGTGCATCAATTGTCCGTGGCGGAGGCTATGTAGGCCAAGTCACAATCGAATGTCGTGGGCACTTGTGTGCTGAATGCACTATCAGACTAGGGTATGCGTCTCTTCTAATACCAATTAGTTTTAGAAGGGTTAAGACTTATGAATAAGGTAAGAATCATTTTCAAACCCAACGAGCAACCCGATGTCACGTTTTCACATTGAGGATCGATGTCAAAAGATCTTTGGTGTACTCATGTGTATACTCCATATTAGTCCTTTTTAACATTGAGAACTTATATGGTCAACACTATTCTTGCAAATTGTAAGGGTTTGAAATTAGACAAATCAAAACATTAGCTACACATATGAAAAGGATTGAATTGAAAAACAAAATCAAAGTTTTCATTAGCATGCCAAGGCATAAGAGAATAGGACTATATTATTGATGATTTCAAAACATATACTGTAAAATAGCTACAGAAACAAAATAAAGACACAAAAAAATTAAACAACATATCAAATATTAAATCAATAAAAAGCTATATTTGATGAAAGCAAAGTATGAGTACTATAAAATAACTACATATTTTTTTAATAGTAATAACTTTTATTATAATTATAGCAGAGTTTAACATCAAATATATGTTCATGTTACCAAAAATGTTGTCTTTTTTTTTATCATGAAACAATTTGCAGGAAAAAAAATAGGAGTGTCAAGAAAGATAACAATGAATTTGCAGAAAATAATTAACAGGAAAAGTGAGAACAGATCATACCTGAATTGTGGGAAACCATTGAAATTTGAGGGTTTTTATAAGGGAATTTGCACATGAAAAGTCAAAAAAGTCCTTGAAGATCTCTATAGTCGCCATCAATGAGTTCTAAAACAAGCGAAAGACGAATCCTTATCTCTGTTCTTTTGGAAAGGACGCGCGTCTGAAATCACTTCCTCACACGGAAATCAAACTCATTAATTTTGGGCTGGCATGCTCCGTATAAAATACTCCGTATAAATGTTGACTTTATAGAAAAAATGGTTCAGGAATAAATGATCACAAACTTTACAAACTTATCATTTATATAATTTAAAAAACAAATAAAAATCTAAAATAAAATTTAAAAAAGAATATAAATCACAAAAGGTACGTAATTTTTTGAAATTTGTGGTTAGTTTGTTTGTGAATCTAGCATTGTTCGATTTTATAAACTTAGTGTATTTGTAATACGCAGTATAAAAGTAGGGGCTTTTTGTAAAAAAAAAATATTCACATGCAAGCCCATGAAAAATATGAGAAAATTTATATTTTAAATGAAAATTTTGGGACCATTTAAACATCACTCATCAAATACTTTAGACGAGTATATTAATTTGAGACACGTAGCTCTAAAAATTTGACATGTGACTCTTTAAAAAATGACAAGTGACTCTTTTTTTAAAAAATGACATGTGGCAGTATATATATGACATTATTTTTTGATAAATTCTCATGTATTTAGGTAATGAAATCTGATATCTAGAGATATCAAAACTCATATTTTGTTTGATCATCAAATACACTCTAAAAGTAAAGGACACGTTTAAGAATAGCATTTCTATTAGCGTTGGCAATTTTTAAATAAAACTTTAATTTTTAACGGTGTAGATTAACTTTGAAAATGCTATACGTTGATAGTTTTTTCAAAACCATAACACCCTCTCATGTTATTTCCAAACAAGCCAAGAATAGGAATTTTGTTTAGAGATAGAGGAAATACTCCCTCCGTCCTTAAATGTTTGTCACATTTCGAAAAACGAGACAAAATATCAAATTTTTTTAATTCATTTTTTTAAAATATTAGTATAAAATAAAAAATAAAATTTATATATTTAAAGACTACATGAAAAATTTTTCGAAGTAAAAAATGTCAAGAATATTTTATTTTATCAAATAATAAATAAAAATATATAAATATACAAAATTTCCTGTCCGTAAAAGTTGAAAAAGAAATATGACAAACATTTTGGGACGGAAAGAGTATTGGAATGAGTTTAGACTTGAAAAGCAAATTGTACTCTTCCATAACCACTAATGTGGAGACTGGAGACGCTATTGTGGGGAGAGAAATAAGTCAAATAACCCTCTGGTAGTCTCATAGCAAAATCAATGGAAATGGCAAAGGAAGCGGAAGGCGGGAAGACAGTGGAAGGCGGGAAGACAGTGGAAGAATGCCAAAGCATGATTCAGAAGAGCCTCCGAAGTAAATATCTATCCTCGAGACCTCTTTACCACTCTCAATTTTTGTTATTTGTAATGTAAGTTCTAGGGTTAGGGTTTCAGATCTTCAAATGTGCTCGAATTCGGGCTCTATAGCCTTCTTGTTGTTCTAACACTAAAATACACACTCCAGCTCCCATGGTGAAGTTCCTGAGGGGGCGTATGGAGAAAGCTGGGTGCGGAGTAGGTGAAAATTTCTTCAAGGCTATACATTGTGACCAGAATGTTGGTGGCGGCTATGCTCCCGGCGATGGGGTAATCATCCCATTACATTCATAAAAAAAGGAAGAAGATCAAAGTAGGAGTAAAACATTGAAAATATACCAAAATAGGAGTTCAATGTTTTAATTTCCGAAATATGAGTTAAAATGCATTGTGTATGTAAAGTGTCAATCATGACTATATACATTACCAAAAAGTATTGTGAAATATTCATATACAGTGCCACATTACTACAATGCAAACTCCAGTTTTAGAGATAAAAACATGGAGCTCCTATTTTGGTACTTTATATATGATTTACCTCTATTTAAGGTGATTTCTTTTGCAAAGTAAGCATTGAATGCATGTGTGACGACAAGTTTAACGTAAACCTTTGGTAGTTTCATGGCAAATTTGAAGATAATTTAACGCAAACCTTTAGCGTTTTGAAAAAAGCTATTTAAAAACAACGTTTAGCTTTAATGTTTTTGAAGATAGTTTGCACCATTAGCCAAATCCAACGTGCTAATTGAAAATATTGTTGCCAAACAAGACCCCAATATTTGTTGTTGCATTTCGTGCTTGTTGTAGCCATGTATTTGAGACAGGAGTCACTTGGAAACAGACTCTTTACTTCCAAGTAATGGTAAGATCTGCATACACTCATCCTCATCCGACCCTACTTTTTATGGTATTCAATTGGGTTTATTGTTGCAGACATATTCAATCACGAATCGTACTTGTGAGATTTATTTAGAAATGAAAGAATTAATATGAATCCAATATGCTTTCTATGCAAGACAATGTTGTAAACAGACCGAGTAAAAACTCCCAAAATAGGGTCATTGTAGGGGGTGCGTACACAAACCTTACCCTACTCTAAACTAGACTACTAGAGAGGTTGTTTCCAAAAGATCCTTGGCTCAAGCATACACGCACAAACAAAGTAAACAAAGTAGCACAAGCAAACTAAGAGCACAAATGAATATAATCCTTTTGGAATATTGGAAGGACGCCTTGTACAAAACCTCATACACACACACATACCATCCGAAAAATCCCTAAGGTATGAAGTGGCTGTGCTCTAGTAGAAAATTGCTCCGTGAAAGTGTCCACTCTCAGAAATGTTTCTTCAGTTGTTTACACCATCAATTTCAAAGACATAAGAATTTTTGCTTTTCCCTCTTTTCATTTCTTATTGATGGTTTGCCACCCGTGTTGCACGGATTTGTTACATTCAGGTAGTTGTATGTAGCAACCACATGAAAATTCAAGATGAGGTAAACCAAGTAGTCATCCATGCACTGATCCATGCGTATGATGACTGCCGTGCAAATATTGACTGGACAAACTGTGCTCATCTTGCTTGCAGCAAGGTTTGCCATTTAACCTCTGTTTTTTCTCTAATATAAGAAAGAAGAAAAATTAATTCTCTACTAACTGTTCTTTCAACTCGTCTTAGATTAGAGCTAATCATCTAAGCGGTGATTGTCATTACAAGAGGGAGTTCCTTAGAGGCAATTTAAAGATAAGAGGTCATGAACAAGTGAGTTATACCTTCTACCATTTTGGTATTACTCTTTCAGCTGTTATCAAATAACCAGCCATGAACTAAAGACATTTGTTCGTTAATAATGTCCATTTAGCAAACCAATAAAGTAAAACATAGTAACATGACAAAATTATAGTTTATACTGGATTATTGTTGTTGTTGACAAAATTAATTATGGCATTAAACCCCATATTTTTCTTTAACGAGAAGCCATTTGAATACGGAGCGAGTAACCTTCTACATGACCAATACTTGGATAAGATCTTATTAAGTTGTTTCCTGACCATCTTTGTTATGATAAATTGTGCATACTTTACTACGGAGTACATCATAATATTATATGTGTTCAATGGTAATTGGTTTTTTTTGTTGGGAACATTTCCATCGGTATGTGGACGAATCCTAGACTGACACGGTTAGATTTTCTGAAAATTACGTGACCCGTATTTTACGAATGAAATCCAATGGTGTACAGAGAAAGATAGCCGTTAATATGTTTTTGATTGAATTTCCCTTCTGCTCTTACTTTTGATAGGAGTGTGTAAAGCGGCGAGTGATGCAAGAACTGAAGCCTCACTTCACCGAAACTGCTGCCCGAGATGCTATGGAAGCTGTGTGGGAAACTTGCTATAATGATACTCAGCCCTTTGATAGAGCTCCGTAAAGAGTGTATGGTGTCTTTCCTCTTTGAGTGAAGCATTTTCTTAAACATCACGATTCTATTGACACCATGACACTCGGTGCAATTGGGAGCCCTATGGTGCTTTGTTTGATCCCAAAGTGGTTCCTACTCCCTTTGACCCTCCTAGCCTGCCCCTACTCCAATCATTTGACAGTGGAGGTCACACAAATCGGAGTACGGAATCATTTTGGGGTTGAACAGAGCACAATATTGCCCTCATACGGATTGATGTCATAGTATGACACCAACCCTTTGTGTCAAAATAACCACTCCTTTTTATAGGCCTCTCCTATAAACCTTTGGTTTGCATTAAACATCGCTTCACAATTAAATGCCAAAATTTTTAAATGTGAATTTTTGGCTTCTTGTGCACATTTCAGTTTTTTTCTTCTTGTGAAATTTGAGGTAGGGGTATCTTGGAAACAACTTTTCTACTATCTAGTAGAGGTAAGATTTAATTTGGTCTGAAAATGCTCATACCTACATAACATTACAGCTTTGGATGTTGGAAATGTGTTCCAAATCCTGTCACTTGAATGGGATAATCCCAAATTCATCATTGTGAATGGTGGAATTTAAAATGTTAATATTTCCGCGTTTGGATTTAATCTTCCTAGTTCTCTTTTTTCTCTAATTTTCTCATTTCTCATATGCATGTGTGTTTGGACAAAAGTATCCTCCTCTTCATAAAAAAATTCCCAATAACCCACCTACTTCCACCTTTTTAGTAAGGGTTGTTTTTTGAACAAATCCACTCCATAGTCAACCTTTTCTTAAAATGGGGAAAAGTCTAGGATCCGTTTGGTACCCGAAATTGACAGAATTAGAATTGAATTGGGAGTTGAAATTTTATGAAATTGATTTGGATGAAATTGAATTTTTTAATTTCAATTTATTTTTGGTACTACCAATTCCAAATCTACATATTTTTGTGTTACCAAACAGCGGAATTGGAATTATTGTTTCCAATTTCATAGTTTAAATTTTGTGTACCAAACAGAGTTTAAATGGAAAGAAGATTAAAATTCGTATGGAGTATTATACAAACATTCATGGTTTATGGATGTTCAAGTTCTTTCTATAGATGTTCATATTCAAAAATTCATGACTAAGAAAATGTTAAGTTGCTCCGATGATTAAACGGACCCGGTGAATAATAATGGGGACTGGTTGTTAATACTCCCTTTGGAGCACATAATTTAAACAATGAAATTAGGATTGAGGACAATGTTTTTAATTTTTTCTGTTTGGTAGTACAAAAATATGTGGATTTGGAATTAGTAGTGTCTAAATTAAATTGAAATTGGAAAATTCAATTTTATTCAAATCAATTTCATAGGAATTTTGATTGTCAATTTAATTCCAATTTCATCAATTATGGTGCCAAGGAGCCCTTGAACAATTTTGTTTGAATGAGAAGGGAAAATGAGTGAATAGAAAACGAGAGGAAAGAAAATGAAGGTAAAATAGACAGAAAAGGATATTGTTTGGTTGATAAGAAAATGAGAAATGAAAAAAATGCTTTCTTTCCTTTGGTTGGAGAAAAAAGTAGGAGAAAAAAAAATCTTGATAATGCAAAATGACAATTTTATCCTTATGTGATAATGTAATAATGTGTAGTTGTAAGGCTAAATAAGTAATCATATTTTCTTTATCTCTTCTCATCCTATTTTCTCTTTAATTCAGATGTTAGAAAAAATATTGTGATGTGAGTTTTCACTTTCTAACCAAATTCTCATCATCCAAACAATGGGCAAGTCATCACGTTAATTAATAGAATGAACTAAAAGAGGGGATCATTGTTCTTGTGTCAAGTAGTGTGCTAACTCAATACTTTAGTAAATAAATTTTGTCAAAGGCTCAAAGGTAACTCTCGTTTTCTAGTTTCAGAGAGTAATTTGATTCAATAAACAATGACTTAATCGACTCTTGAGTGCACTTCGAGAGACTAAGGTGAGTGTTAAATCTATATACTTTTTTCATCTCAAATTAAACTTCGCTGTTTGACTTCAAAAAAATTAAAAAGTGTGGACTATTGAAAAGTGAATAGTTAAAATTTGGTGTGAAAAAAAAAAGAAATTCTCAATTCGTTTCAAAATGAATTATGCTTTTTGAATCATGTACAAAATTTTGTGATTTTAAAATGATCTTATTTACAAATCAGTATAGAATAAAAAATAAAACTTATATATTTGAAAATATATAAAAAATTATACTCTATACATAACGAGAGAAGACAATAATATTTTAGTCAAAAATTAAAGATGACAATTTGAACTTGTTAGTTGAACTTTATTTAATTGGATCACTAATTATTAATATGGCGTAATCTTTTAGAGCATGAGAATTCAACATGTGAAAACTTATGTCTATTTTTTGTAAAAATATTGTTTTTTATGAAAAAAAGTTACCACGGAGTATGATTTACTGTAGTCAAATTTGATAATATATAAATAATTAGTATTTCTTACATCATTTTTTAGCTGATCATTATGTTTTTTATTCCTTAAAAAAAATATTTTTTAATAAAAAAATTGAAATAAAAAAATCAAAGATTATTTGGAAATAACCAACCAGCGGTGGTAATTGGATCGATGGTGGCCCACTGCCAAGGAGCTGATAGGTACGGAGTACTTCTTCTTCTTCTGCTGGTTCTTATGAGAAAGATTGAATTTCCAGAGAGAAAAATCAATGGATTCTTCAGAGATTTAAGACTAGGTTAGGTTTAATTCTCATAAAATTTGCGAAGAAGAAGAAGAGGTGAGATTGAGGGGCGCGCGATAGGAGGAGAAGCTGGAAAGCGCGGTTGAATCGAGTATGTGCGCGGGTTCGGACCCGGGTCCGAACGGATGGGGTCGGGCCCGGGGAGTGGTGTGGAAGGCGCTGGTTTTGATCGGCGGCGCGCTTCTGGTAAGGCGGCTCTCCAAGTCCACCACCCGCTCCGATCATGCCAGAATCGTCGCTCAATCTCTCTGCGGCGAAAAGGTTTAGTTGTTTTGTTTCTCCTTCTTCTGAATTTAATTGCCTTTTGTTGTTTTTTCTTCCTTTTTGTTTCTTTTGAACCAGAATTTTTCAGTGTTGATTTTGCAGTTTTCCAAAGAGCAAGCTGCTAGAGACCCGGATAGTTACTTCAATTTGAGGTACCCATTTCTTCACTCACTCATTCACTGATTTGTGTCTGATTCTTCTGAAGTTACTAAATATGTGGCTCAACTCTCTGAATTGGATATTTGGATGTCTACGTAGTTTGGTTTGGAATTTTAGAGTTGTAAACTAGGAGCGGTTGGAAGAAATTGGAAGGAGTTGGAAAAAACTAGAATGGTTGGAAGAGTTTAAGTGTTAAAAAGTCACTCAATTAAATAATCATCTAAATAAGTATGTAAGAAAATTCTAATTTTAGATAAAAAAGAATTCATCATTGTCCGTGTTTGAGGTGATGTGTTATAAATTTAGATATATACTGTTATTTTATATTAATCATATATAAATACCTTTTTAAGTTGTTGTTAGAAGAAACTGGAAGGAGATGGAAGCGGTTGGAAGAGGTTGGAAGTTAATGTTTCTAAGCCAAAAGAACAGGCCTTAATAGTATGAAAATCTTATTTGGGAATATATATATTCTAATACGGAGTATATTATAAAAAAGATATGGTGTATGAATATAAGGTGGAACCGTGGAAGTATCATTTCAAGCCATTTTCATCCATTTTCAATCTCTCATTGTGATGGGAGTTACTGTAGTTTTTGAGAGTCTTTGGTTCAGACTTTCACTTCTTGTTCTGTTTCTCTGTGAATATGTTTTGTAGATGGCTTTCTTGCCCAGTAAGTGACATGGCAGATGGCTCAAAGGTTTTATATTTGGAGCAGGTAATTACTAATTATGCAAACGTTCTGACACTATTAAAGCATCCTTAGTCATTGGAATGTTTCAGTGTCTGTTTGGATGATAATTGTTCATACATTACTATTGCCTTAACTATGTATGGATCCAAAGTCCTCCAAAACCCTCAATCCAAACAGAGCCTCAATGGATCTCTTTCCTGTTTCTAGGCATTCCAAAGGACAACTCACAAGCCTTTTCGCCAGGTAAGCAACAAACTTTTGGGCTTTCCGATTCGTCCAAGATGGAGAATATTAAACTGCCTGTAAAACCTACCCTGTATGCAGAGATTTTTCATGGTCAAGCCTTGTCCGGAGGAGATGAAATGTGATGTTGAGGTGATACACTATCCCTTCTCATATGTTACCTTTCTTTTGCTTTAGCCTTAGGCCCTTAGCAACTATTTCCTATATTTCTTTTTTCTATCTTATTTGTATGTTGTCTTGAGTTGAGTGCCTTTCATAAACAACCCTTCTACCTTTGTAGGTATGGCTAATTCTGCCTATATCTACTTTCTCCAAATCCCATTTGTAGGATACTAGGACCTTATCGGATTGTTGTTTTGTTTTTGATTTGCGTTCACCGACATCTATAAACTCGCAGGTTAACACATATGCCATCAGGGATGCAGATGAGTACAAGAACTTCTGTGATCGCCCTAAGGACCAACGCCCACAACCTGAGGAAGTTATCGGGGTAAATACGAAACTTAATTTCAGCCGGTAGTGACATTGGATACCTTGTGTCTTGATGGTGCATTGCAAGTTTGAATTAGTTTGATGGATGAGTTAGGGTATTGTGCAGGAAACTTGTTTCTTGTAAAAATATGCCGGTTTCTAGATATATTTGAGCGAATCCTTTAGTTTGAGTAAAAGTTGGCATACAATTACAGGATATTGCCGAACACTTGACTACCATTCATCTAAAGCGCTGTGAACGTGGGAAGCGGTGCTTATATGAAGGATCAACACCTGATGGATTTCCCAATACATGGGTACTTACGATTTACGTGTTCATCATCTTTTTCATTTCACTTTCTAGCAATGTTGTAAAAAGCACTAGGTGACAGGTCGGGGTCTAGTCGGTGATTAAACAAGATTAGGTGAAATCTAAATGGAATTAGAAGGGTGTTGAGGTAGAAAAAGCACAGGCACTCAAGGAGAGCTTAACGTGTGGGTGGGTGGGGATTATTCAAGGGCTGCCACGTCATATAAACGTAGCAGGAAAAGCAAGATCGTGGCATCACATCGTATAAAACTGCAATTCTTACTCTTTTGGTTGATTGTAATTCTAACTAATGCTGCAAAACTCGGTTTTGGTTCTATGGTTCATATAATTTTTATAGAATGGTGCATCATACTGTACCTCAGAGCTGGCAGTGCTGAAGAATAATGAGATCCATTCTTGGGAACGAGGCTATGACGAGAGTGGAAATCAGGTAACCAGGCCATTTTGGCATTACCATAAGCTTGCATTAACATTTTTTTTATTAAGAAAGCTCAAATAAATTTTGGTTGGTGGATGCAACTTACTCCCTCCGTACCAAAATAAGGTTCCCATTGTGATACTTTGATTATCAATATCTATATCTATACATAAATAAGTTTTGTAAAAATATGATATTTTAAAATTATTTTTCGAGACAAATCAAATGATATTAAATTTACAACATTATTGAATATATTCTTTTCAAATATTGTGATCAAAGCTTTTCATTTTTGACTCCAAAAAGTCAAATGGAAACAATTTTTTTGGGACGGAGGGAGTATTCAATAAGCTTGAGCTTATTTAAGCTCCATTGAGTTGCTTTTCAAATGGGTTGATGTTTTGTTTGTATATATATAGTTCTATTTTCACCTCATATATATTTCAAAATTATTTGATTTATATCCTTTTGTGCAGCTTTATAGTTTGGAATTGGTTAAGCTCATTTTTACCAAAGAGTATATAAGATTAGCTAGCTTATCTTACACAAAGTATAGCTTATTCTCATTTCGTCCCAAATTAAGAAAACCGTTGAAGAAACGTTGAATAGTGAAAATTGGGTGTTTGAAATTTATTTAAAAGAGAAAAATATTCTAGACCAAATTCTTTTCTAAAAAAGTGAAAGAGAAAGTTAAAATTATTGTGGAAGAAATGAAAAAGGAAATTGAGAAAGCTTTTATGGGACGGAGGGAGTATGCCACAAGATAGAAAAAAGTATCTCTTCCTATGAAATTCTTACCATACCTTTTTTACGTTTTTAAACACTTTTCTAAAACTACGTGAAAGTCAAACGATTACGTTTTTTATGGGCACTCGGAGTATATTGAAACAGACAACCCTTTGTTGCAGCTATGGGGTGTAAAGGGAGGACCATATGAATTTAAGCCTTCATTACCTTCTACCATTGGCATTGATGACCTTTCTACTTTGATGCTTCCCACTCCATCCATAGATGAAAGAATAGAGAGTTCAATTGTTATTCAAGACTGAATACTACTTCTACTATCTTCTCTAGTGTAATTGTCTTGTACATTCAAACTTTCCATATTTCCATTGATATTCATACCAACATTTTCAATTCTTTTGTTGTTTATATTGATACAATGGAAGAATTCTCGCTTTTGTGGTTGTCGCGATGTTCTAAAAGTGCTCTAGATAGATGCATTTAAGCGCAATTTGCGATAAAAAATTTACTTTGGTATGTAACTTTTATTTATATATTGAAAAGGTTATCTAATATCAGTGTTTACCTTTAACCTTTTAAAGTTATTATGCGTGTTTGGAAAGTTCTTGATTGAGATGATATTCTTTTGAAAAGCACATCATATTGGACACTATTGGATTGTTGCAAGGCTTGTTCACGAAGGGGCATTTGGGTAAAATGGTTGCATTTTTTTTGGGTAATTAATCTATCAATATTCAAGAATGTATGAACGACATCTATATAAGAGAAAATAATGTGAACATCGGTCTTTAACGGCCATTCCATTCCTTCTCCAAATAAAATTTTTGTTTTGTAAAAAGAAAAATTCTTCTTTCTCAAAAAGTCTATAAGCTACAGAATTGCAATTTTTCACTAAGTTATTTTTATTTTAATTCATTAAAGTTGTTTCAAAAAAATCATTAAAGCGATTCTACTCATGTATTTCATGTGATGATTTCGGTAAAGATTTTAAATGCGTAAAAAACCTTATAAATGGAGAAATCTTTATTTGTTTGTCACACACTAATCTTCATGTTATCGTTCACAATTTTTTTTTTCAAAGTTAGTTTTTTATTCAATTTATTGAAAATTGATTTTTGGGGTCTTTATATGATGCTATTGGGAGAAAGTTCTCTATGTGTTTCTTGACCAAGAATATGAATTGTACAAGTAATCCTCGTGTCATTAAGGGCACGTTTGGGAATAGCATTTTTGCTTAGAGTTAGCGTTTTGATTTAAAATTCAACAATCCAGATTAAATTTGTAAAATGATAACGCTGAAAATTACCCGTAGATAGTTTTTTTAAAACGTTAACGCTAACGTCTAGCGCTATTCTTATACAGGTCGTAACTCTATAAGATAACAAACTGTAAAAAAACAGAATTATATACAATCACAACATATTCTTTTTTTTAATGACCAAGGAACTGAGTCTTATTTTTACCTCATTTTCACCTTTTGTAAATTTGTAAGGTGTAAAGATGGAAGAAGCCAAACACCAATAAATGAATACAAAAGTACAATGAGAAGACTCAAAACCTCTTCATTCATACAATCCTCTTTTTGTGAAAATTACATTTTGCATATCTTCCATAACAATCAGTCCTAGAAGTTATTGTTCAGATAAAAGTATAAACCGGCAAGTGCAGCAACCCCAACAACGATTGCCACGGGCAGTGCTCGACTGCATCAAACAAGATCTTTCATTAAAAAACAAAAAAAAACGAATGAATGTAGACATAATGCATGTCCGTATTCATTCAATCATTATTAGAGTAAGCGATTTTAGAACCAGAACGAAACAGGAATCCCGAATCGTGTTATCAATCATTATTATACATCCACAGTTTCAGTATCGGGTTAAGAACAAAAGAATGCTTACCCAAGCGACTCGTCTCTCTTCAACTGTTCTTTCCTGGCCTTCCTAAGGGAAGTGTCATTGGCATTTTTCGCCACCGTTGGTTCATATGCTCTGAATCTTCTCTTTGGGGCACCACACACTGTATTTTAACCAATGTATATATAAGCATTTAATTGTCATTTTTAGATGAAAATATTTTATTCATCAATGATATGAGCAGTCTTTTTTTATACTCCATGTTCCAATTTATTACTCCATATGACCTTCTTTTCTTTTTCTCAGGGGCTGTTTGGCAACTTCTGAATGGGTAAGTGCTGAACCAGTAAGAGGTCTGAACCATTAAGTGCTGAACCAGTAAGAGGTCTGAACTATTAAGAGCTAGTATATTGCTTAACTATTTAGAGGCAAATGTCTGATCAATTCAGATAAGAGGTCTTAGCCATTCATACTCTGTATAATACTTAACCATTCAGAGGCAAATCTCTTAACCATTCAGACATCTGAACCATTAAGAGGCTGAAACAAACAGTCTGAACCATTAAGTGCTGAACCATTCAGACATCTGAATCATTAAGAGGCTGAAACAAACAGCCCCTCAGTCTCAATTTAAAGCATCATGCAGTTGACAATGTGTTTCTTTCTCTCTTATACAAAATCTCAACCACATATCTTTATTCTATTCAAATTTGTGTCTAATCAATAACACATTATGGGGGATGTTTCTATGTGCTGGTGCTTATTGACTTCCTGCTTATAAACGGTTTTAACTTATAAGCAACTTATAGAAGTATTCTTGTAAATCGACTCAAATGAGAGATGGGTAATTTGGGAATATTATAAGAGCGTAGAGATAATTTTGTAAATGATTTAATCAATAGTGAGAAATAAAAAAACTGGCTTACAAATAAGTAGGTAAGACATACTTACAAAGTATTTCTCTGAATTATAAGTCAACATATAAGTACAAAGAAACACGTCGTCAAATGACTTTATAAATTAAACACAACTTCTAAAGTAGAGTGTGGTTACTCATATATAGAGAGTGGAGGGAAGAATGTGTACCAGGGCAGAAGTATTTATCAGGCAAATTCTCAAAAGGCTTTCTATCATTGTAAATGTACCTGTATATTATTCCCACTCAAAGTCATTAAACATCTACATGTAATCATTACTCACTCCCTCTACATTTTGATATCTTTGGTTTTCAGACTCTTGGTGTTAATTACTAACTTAGCATATTTTGGTAATTAAACATATTATGATGAATAATTCAAATGAGTTAATACTATGTCATTTTGGTCCACTCACGTGTCAATTTGGTTCTTGTATGTTGTCTTGAATCAAATTAGTCAAGAATTGACACATTACTTTACATAAGGGCAATAACCCTATATGTTCGTCTCTTTTTGTAAATTTACGTGCCAGCTCGGTGTTTCAGTAATATCATTAAGACAAATATCATTCGAGGTGCAAACTTGATTTACATTTTTTAAATACAGAGACGAATTAGACTCAATGCAACATATATAGACCAAATTGACTCACCTGTGCACTTACATTAAGAACAAAGACTTCATTTTTCTGTTATCTTGAAAATCAAATTGAAAAATTAAGAACAAAGACTTCATTTTTCTGTTATCTTGTCCGCATTACTAAAATTTGATACAGAAATTTCAGATCGTTACCCGCAATCGCGACAAATGTAAGCTTGCTTGCTAGATTCAACGCGCATACTGATTTTCCGAGCAGCCGAGCGGCGCTTAGGTTTCAGAGGGAGCAACGAGAGAGACGATGAGGACGGAGCGAAGAAGGACGATGAAGGCTCGACGGAGAAGAAGAAGCGTCCCGGCGGAGGTCGCCGGAGGCCGGCGGCACTGGAACCGGGCATTGCGGCGGAGTGGAAGGCGGACGGCGTTTGAATGCCGGCCATTTTGGTCTGTTTTGTTTGAATCGGAGTTGAGGAGATGGGAAAATGAGAGGCCATTATTATTGGCCCCTTCAGTTTACTGTGTTACCGGAAAGGAGGATGGAAGGAAAGGAAGCGTGGTCGCCATTTGCCCCCACACATTTCACTTTTTCACCTTATCCTTGGAATCATAGGTACGGACTCACATGTTTTTCTTTACAAGGAAGCATTTTGACATGATTCAATTAAGTTGAAATTTGATTTGATTGTAATTATATTTTAAATTGTTTTTTTATTCAATTCCAATAAGTAACAAGTAGATAAAATAGGCTAAGAAAAGAAGCTAATGTCCATCGTCCTATATCTTTCTTTGTGTTTACTATTACAGTATCTTCATAATTTTTTTGTATGATCATTGTTCATTTAATAGAATAAAATATAAAATATTTTTTTCACTTAATATTTCATAAAAATTTTAAGAGTTGAGTGCATCGTTTATCCCCGAATTCTTTGAAAATTGTAGGGTTTACCTCTGAACATTAAAAAGTGCACCAAATACTCCCGAATTCTCCAGAAATTGCACGATTGACCCCTGAACAATAAAAATTGCATCAAATACCTCTGAACTCTTCAGAAATTGTACTGATTACTCTTGAACATTTAAATAAAGACAACGATTTTGGGTAAAGGTACTTTGGAAAATTCACAAGGGTCAAATGAATCATATTCGCAATTTTTGTGTGTTGAAGCAACGCACTCCATATCTAATAGTTTAGGACCAACGATGTAACGTTTTAATTTGTTCAAGGGTATTTGGTGCATTTTTTTGTGTGTAGGGGTAAATCGTGCATTTTTCAAAGAGTTCGAGGGTAATCGATGCACTTTTTAAAGTTCAGGAGTAAAACATGCAATTTCTAAAAAGTACGGGGGTAAACGGTGCACTTAACTCGAAATTTTAATGTGGTTTTGAGCTTTGTAATTTGTGCCTTTTATTTTTATGTTAATTTAAAAATAAATCCATATTAAAAGTAGTGAGATTTTATGCGTTGTTCAAAACGAGAAAAAGATATAGGACAATGGGAGTATTACTAAGTACATTTGGTTTGAATCTATTAATGTCTCGAATTGTCGTATTTTGTTTTGTAGAACTTTGATCGTAGTTTTTTAAAATCCAACTTTTATTTTTTTCTATACCAATTTATGAATAAAATAATTCAAAAAATTATAGAATTTTACATCATAGTTCTTATTTTGTCATCAAAATAGGGACTGAGAGAGTAGGGCTGTGCATCGGTCCAAACTCGGACCAACCCGGACCGGACCAGGACCGGACCGGGACAAAATAAGAGCAAAGTAATGGACTGTAGACCGGACCAATAAAGTGTAAGACCGGACCGGGACCGGACCGAAAAAAACTGGACCGGTCCGGACCGGCCCGAATAAGGACCGAATAAGGGAGAATATGCCGAGTGGACGACTGCGTTTTGTCGGACTATTCTGAGGAATTGATTGTGTTTGATACGGAGTATTTCTTTTGCCGGCGAGAAAAGTGGAGTTGTGTTCTATGGCGTGTGTGGACTGTGGATTTGCTATTGGGAGTATTGGATAGGGTTGTGTACGAAGGTGGATTGACTGGATTTCTTAATTTGGGATTTTGGGGTAATGGACTAATGGGTTTGTGTATGGTACTTAAGCCCATATACTAAAAAATAGTACGGAGTAAAATATAAGCCCATATATTCGGTCCACCGGTCAGTCCACCGGTCTCACCGGATTTGGACCGGACCAGACCGGAACCCGGATAACGGAAATTGATGGACCGGAGACCGGACCGAATTAGGACCGGTCCGGTCCGGTTTTAGCCGCTCTTCGGGTCGGTCCGGGTTTGGACCGAATACTGCACAGCCCTATGAGAGAGTATTATCTTAATAATAATTTTTCAATTAGACCTTTGATTTGATTCCAATAATGATATTAGAGCCCATATCCCCACTAATCGTCTAATGGGCCGCCATGAATTTATAATACGGAGTATACCCATAATGGAATGGGCTGGGTATATGGGTCACACAGCATCTCCAATCCAACCCTCGAAGATTCATTCATAGAGTGAAGGACCAATCTGTCAAGGCCCATCTTTATACCCAATATAACGCCCAATAAATTACGGCCCAAAACTTCTAGGGCTCCATTCCCTCGTCTTCCCCGCACATTAAATCCCCCAATTCCCCGACCCGCCATCATCAAGCAGAAGCTCTTCTCCATTCTCTTCTCTCTCAAGTAAGAAAAATCTCCGTTTTATTTTCTTTGGTTTTCGTTGTTTTTGTTAATCATAATTTAAAAAAAAAACGAAATATCGAAAATCGGATTGAATAGATTTAAAGCCTCTTAAATCGATTTATGTTTTCCTGCGGAAGAATCTCTGGTGATGCAAAACTTTGTATACACTTTCGCCTTTTCCGAGTTATCAGAATGAGGAAAATCGTTTGGAGACCTGAGCTGAAGAGATTTGCTTCTTGTTGACAGATTTTTTTAATTTTATTTTATAAATTTCGAAGATTTATATTTTTGGTATTTGTTTCCTTTCTTTTCTTTTGGGAAAGTTGTGAAAAAACATATGAATTTTGGGAGGTTTTAGTGAAGAGATTATCTTTTGTCCGTTATTTTTTTGCAATATATATCTACAATTGATTGTATAGTATTTTTTTGTATACATACATTGAATGTTTATTTTCAAGTAATTGAATATTCATTTTTGAGCAATTGAATGTTTGTTATTCTAAATTACATAACTTGTTTTCGAAACTAAATACTCTGTATTTAATTCCTCGAAAATAAATGTTTGATTATTTTATAAATTATGATTAAATTATTTGAAAATGAGTAATTGAGTGAATGTAAGCGAAACATTATGATCTAGAAAATGATACATTAATAATCTAACTTGAAAGTTATCTCTCATAAGCAAGTGGGAAGCACGTTCCGCAAAGTTTGAACCTTGCAAACTATGCTTGTTAGAAAGAGTCATCTACAAGTGCCACGACCACATTTGTTTAATATACTATGCCATGTTATATGTATCAATTCAAAGTTATTTAGAGCAACTCTTACGCGTTGTGAAAAAAAGTGGTAGTGTAAGCGTTATTTTATACTGTCAACAATGTTTTACATTTCTATTTTTTTATACTTTCTCCAATCATATTTTTCATATAATATACTTTTATAATACGGAGTATTTAATTCATGATTAAATTTGTAATCTATAAAAAAACAAATCTATAAATAAAATCTAAAATTAAAATTGGTTACATCAAAATTAAAAAGAACTCGATAGCATATCCAACAAGAATTTTGGATTCAATGGATGAGAGGAGCAAATTGAGAGAAAGAGTAGGATGAGAAATGAAATAAAGAGATGGAGGGAGTGAATCTGGTCTTTCTCTCAATTTGCTCCTCTGGTCCATTGAATCTAAAATTGATGTTGTCCTCAACCCTCTCTTAAGTGAATTGCTGCAATTTAATTGTTTGGATTCTTCGTAGGTATTATCTAATTATTTCATGTTGGATATGTCTGTATTTTCTTCTTTTGTTGCTACAGAGTTTTCTTTTTTCATTTTGATGTAGCCAGTTGTAATTTCAGATTTTTTTAAAGATTAGTAGTTTTTTTGTAGATTACAAATTCAATCATGAATTAAATATTATAAAAGTATATTATATAGAAGATATTTTTATGAATGAGCATGGCGAGATACATAAATATTTTTCCCAAAAATAAATATTATAAGTACTATAAGGTATTTTTCTATATGAAAGAGCAAGGCGAGATACACTTTATGAATGTTGCAAGGTGTGCGTACTTATATTTAATTTGTAAGAATTAAATCTTTTGACCATAGGCATCTGCATCATGTTGAAGGTGTCGACCGGGTGACCATAGGCATCTGATGTTGATGCATGAAGCAATGGTGTCAAATGATCTTTAATATGACATGCTTTCTTCAGAGTTTGCGGATCAAATATAAATGTTCTTGACTAGTCTCTGGTTTTTGACAATATCGTTAATGCACTTGTAGCTACGTCATCTATCTTTTATTGCCAATGATACAATGTATTATTTTAGTTATTATATGGTTGATGATATATACCTGGAGTTGGCTACAATGGTAAAGTAGTTTACTTGTCCACGTGAGGATGTGTGTTTTAAGAAAGCTCAAGAGTTTGTTAGAAACATGCAATTTTAGTGTGAATTTAGTATTTTTGAAAAAATCAAAATATATATTAGTGTAACGTGTATTTTTTCTTTCTTGTACTTCAAGTTTTTTAATTTAATTGTTTGGTGTACTTGTTTTAATTCATGGTATATAATCTATGAGTTCTAAATTAATTATTTTTTTGTGCATTTAATTATTATAATAAAAAACCGAATAACATATTAATCCAAAATCAGAATAATATTTAATAATGAAATAAAAATAAAAATCCAAAAATAATTTTGATTAATTTTTATTATTATTTTATGAAAGATAGAATTTAATTTGAAGAGAAATATGTAAATATTTAATAAAGATAAAAGAATAATCATTGCAGTGGATGTGAGAAATTGCAAGTGTGAAATAAGTAAGATGGTAAGTGCTTTCAGTGATGATGTGGTGCTGAATGACTGATAATTTGGAATGAGCACTTGTAGAGCGCTACATATAACCTTACCAATAGAAAATCGTGTAGTCAATCAATGAAGAAGGGGCATGGGGGTAGAGGTGAGTACAAGAGAGGTTGGAGTAAAAGTTTAAAAGTAAGAATCATTAATTTTACGAACAAAATAATTAAATTAGAGTAGGTGTATGATGCTAGAGTATAATAGCATTCCATCAACGCCAAATATTTTATGGATCATACTAGGTGTACACCTCAATTGATGTAAATCATTTTGTACATCACAACGTTACACTAATGTTTTGATACTTCATATTAACACAAAATAATAATGTAAAATTTTATACAATTATGATTTGTGAATCATTAGGGTACTATAGAGTTGTGGCATACAAAAATAATATACAAGTAGCATTATTCTTTCCAATCATACTAGGAGTACACCAAAAAATATATTCTAAGTTGTACTCCAAAAATGCATTGACATTTTAATGGTGTAAGTCTCTTTAGGTATTAGGTTTGTAAGATTAAAAATACGGAGTATATAACAAGAAACCGGTTCTAGAGCCACTGGAATCTAGTGGCTACGGAAGTCACTGCCCCCTACGGAGCTCTATTCATGAAATTGATGATTCCTACCCCCGCTAACCCCTCCCCCCCCTCCGGTAAACCCCCGCCAAGTCTCGACCTAAACTACTTCCACCACCTACGTCAATTGCACCTCGCAAGTATAATTGACTTTAAAGTCAAATTTTTTAACTTTATGCTTGCGAGGTGCAATTGACATAGGTGGAGGGAATAGTTTGGGTCGAGACTTGGTGGGGAGTTTACCGAGAAGATTAGGGGGTAGGAATTATCAATTTTATGAACGGAGCTCCGTAACCATTGGATTCCAGTGGCTCTAGAACCGACCTCATAATACAAAATGATTCTCTCAACCTAATAACTAGGGGTGGGCACGGATTGGGACGGTCCGGTTTTAGGTTGTCCCACGTCTTGTCCCGTTATATATAAACGGTACGGAACGGTTCGGATTACAATCTCATCCCGCTTTGTCCCATAAAATTCGGGATCGGAATAAAACGGGACGGATTCGGGTCGTCCTACTTTGTCCTAATCGCAAATATAAGAAGGGGAAGAGGGTGAAATTTTATTCAAAAAAAAAGAAACATCTAGCCATCCAACAACAAACAATGAGTGGAACTGGTCCAAATAAATTTCAAGCTCATGAATTTAATTTAATTAAATAACTAATTAATTAAAGAATGAGTGTATTTGGATTTTGGACTAGAATTAGTATTGTATATTAGTAGAGTAGATGAAACGGGACAAACGGGACGGATCAGTATAAATTTAAGCTGTCCCGCTCATGTCCCATTTGATATTGGGACGGAACGGGTTCGGGACCAAAAAATGTGTCCCAATATATCGGTACAATTACAAAACGGATCCGGAATTTTTCGAAACGGTCCAACGGGAACGGATTTTATGCCCACATCTACTAATAACTTAACTTCGGTTTATTGGCGCGGATCTTCTCTGCCCTTTTCTTTCTTTTCCGCATAGTGTTTTTTCTTTCTTTTTTCTCACGGTTGGCGAAACGGCGTCGTATTGCGTTAAAGTAAAACACAGAGCAGCGAATTTTTTCCCCAATCCCCAACCGAACTTCAACCCTAGCTTCCCATTTCTCTACCAAAATCGCCGCCGCAATTCGCCGGAGTTCGCCCGCGAGTCCTGCGACCTTGCCAATAGCTTCCCTTCTGCTGTTCTCCAATTCCGTTCACCCATATCCGGAGTTCGAACGGCCGATTGGGCATAATCCATTGTGGATTAGGTAGTTCCTTTTCTTTATTTTATGAAAATTACGGAGTGATTTATATGGCAATTTTATCCACTGTGCCGCCATCTTTGATGTTTGATATATGATTAGTATTATACGATAATTTATAATTTATAAATTTATGCTTTTATTCACTACCCATTCATAAAAGATTTTTCTTCAATAAAAAATTGATATTAATATTCAGTTAATGTCTAATTTTTGTAATTAATATTGATTTTTTATTTGTAGAATTTAAAATTCAAAGGTACTTTTAAAAGCAACCTAAATTCAAAGAATTCGGAGTCGAGTGGAATTGGTAATAGTGTTAGTGCTCTAGTGTCCCAAGTAAGTACTCCATCTATAGCTATTCAAGAAGGTAATCAATCCACCCTTGTTCAAGAAAGCACTTAATTCACACATGTTCAAGAAATCACTCCATCCACACCTGTTCAAGAAAGCACTCAATGTACTTCTATTGAAAGAAATTTTGATTGTAAGTCTTTGAGCTCTCAATGAAAGTGGTGTCCATTGAAAAGTTTCTTACGTATGGTTTCGTATATACTCTCATAAAGTTTCTTGTTGCAACAACAAGTGTTGAACGTTCTTTTTCAAGAATGAAGTTTGTGAAGAATGAGTTGCAGAATGGTTGAATGATTGTTTAGTAACTTATGTTGAGAGAGATGTCTTTTCCACCATTAGTGATGATGTAATTATAAATCATTTTCAAAGTATGAAAACTAGGCGAGTACAATTGTAAACCACATTATTTTCATATGACACTATTCCTATGTATTAATTATGGTACTATTCAAATATTAGTTTTAGTTTATTGTTAAATGTTACGTAGTACAACTTATGAAGTAGTTTGAGACGAGAATTGGAGGTAGGGGACCCCATGGTTGTAAAATCATGGATCCGCCTTTGAATGCGGTAGAGCAAGTATGATGGAAATGAAACATATTTTTTGTGTGATCATTACATTTTTGAATTTAGGCACAAATTTGAGCATGGAAATATCTAATTGTATCTCCTTTTGTATGCAGTTTTGAAGTCTATTTCTGCTGGTGCTGCTGCTCGTGTCATTGGAGCTCTTATCAATGGTACATGTATACGTTAACTTTCTTATCGTGCTAATACATTGTTTGGTTGCTATATACACATATAGTTCATTGAATCATTGAGTCCCCTTTAAATTTTGACTAAATTTTAATTGGTATGCTATTTCTTACTGCATGTGATACTATATATCCAAATCGCTTTAACTTTGTTTCTTTCATTTGATAACACTTCGACTAAGTTTCTTCCAAACAAAATTAAGTTTGGACCAAACAAAATTTTACAAGACAGCAGAAACTTAAAATTTTTAACTTGGTTGTAAAAGATTATTTGTTCGAAGACAGATTTCTTGTTATGTGAACTTTTTGGTGTAAAGTATCAATTTTCTTGAGCTAAGGTTATTTTGAAAACGTCTCTACCTTTCAAGTAGAGGGCCATAGAGGCAAGGTCTTTATGCACTTACCCTCTACTTGTGGGGCCTTCCTAGGTTGTCGCTGTTGTGATATGAAGTTTCACTCCCCCCCTCCCCCCTCAACTTGTAAGGATGTGGATGATATTATACTTCTCCGTATTTCTTACCAGCGGTATTTTTTGTCCCCCTCCCCCACCCACCCATCACATCCTTCAAGGAGTGGACAGAATCCATTTCACTAGAAGATTCATGTCTCGTCTAATTGCCACATGGATAATTTCTGAAAGTAGAAATAAGCTAAGCTTTTGACTTCTATTTTATTTCAGGCAGCTAGAATTATTGCACAATTGATTGTGATGGGTTCTGGGATCATGGCAAGGGCATTTGTTCAAGCATACCGCCAAGCACTGGCAAGTGAGTTTCTCTTTTCCTTCGTTCATCATGTGATTTGTCTATCACAGGCCTATTTTTTTGGGTGCATTGAAATGGAAGGGGGTTTGAACTTAAGAGTTTAGACCTCAGGTTTTCTCCAGGAAAATAACTTGTCATGTTCTAGCAAAAAATGGAAAATGTTTTCTATGATTTATATTTGCCTGGAAAACTAAGTTGCTCTATGTACAATATATGTGTGACCCACTAAAATAGAAAAACACAAAGTTGTTAGGAAAATACTCTCCATCTGGATCCAGTGCTAAACACAAGAAAAAAAGAAAAAAATTCGCAAAAGTTTTCCCCCCGGGTAACAAATGGAGCCACAGCTACTTCACTACACCTAAGATCCATATTAGTAGCACTTTATTGTGCAGCATCTATTTTAAACAATTTTCTTAAATGGTGCTCATATGTCAAGGTCAGCATATGATTTGTCTTCGAACTAGTTCAACTTGAACCCTTTACCTATGAATCGTTGAATGTATTGACTTCTCCTTTTTGACATTTCCTTAAACCTTCTACACATTCTTAATGCAACTTCCAGTCTCTGGTTCTGATATACATGTGTGCACAATTGTAGATGCTTCAAAAACTGGGGCTGCTGAAGAAGTGGCCCAGAATATCAGAAAAGCAAGCAAAGCCATGACAGAAGCCGAGGCCAGGCAAATCCTTGGCCTCACAGAGAAATCCACATGGGAAGAGGTCTTGCAGGTATTCATATCTTCCAATCTTTCCCTTTTATATAACATGTAAAGATTTGTCTTTTGCACCCCATATTTACCCCCCAATGTTGTGTCTTTTGCACCCACTTGATTGCTTCCATTGCCAATGGAGTGTTTTTCAAATAAGTGCCGCTTCCCATCCCTAAAACATCCCCGTTTGGGTTCTTGGGGCATCCCGACTCTCAAATCCTTCGTAAAATTTGGAAGAGTCTGCATTTCCCTGTTTCCAACCCCATACTCGTAAAGTACCCATCCTGTCTTTGTACTGCTTAGGCTAGAAGAGTCCTTATTGATACTCTGTATCTTCTAGGTAGTAAATGCACCAATTCATCATACTGTTTGAGGTTGGGATTATACTGTTTTCTTCTTGTTGTAGAATTTAATTTTTGCACCCCATGTTTTGTTTTCTTTTATAAAATTTTCCATTGTTATTCAACATGTGTGTTCTTAAACCAGCTGTACATTATTTCTGCAGAAGTACAATAACCTGTTTGAGAAAAATGCAAAGAGCGGGAGCTTCTATCTTCAATCGAAAGTTCATCGAGCGAAAGAATGCCTAGAATCAGTTTACCGAAGTAAGCCCCCGGGATCCAATTAGATTATTTTCTTTTGTTTTCTCATGTGAGGTGATATAAGAAGAAGATTTGTTTGTGTCCCAAGATCATTTACGAGTACATTATTTCTTGGCATTCCTTTTTTAGCCACTCAAGTTTGGGTTGTAGATGTATCTTGTTAACTTTTACATGAAGTGATTGATGAAAAGCCTGTATAAAACTAGTTCAAATATGCCTTGTTTTCCCCATGCAATTCTTGTACCATAATTGGGAATTCTCTATCCCATTTTGTGTCTTACAGTCTTACTCCAATATCCATATTACTCCCTCTGTCCAAAATTAAACTTCCCGCTTTGACTTGGTGCGCAAATTTATGTAAAATGAAAATTGTGTTGACTTTCCCATTATGCCCCTCCTCTTTACTGCCCTGCACACCCATGTACCCCCACTGACTGAAGCCATCCCCCACTACCGACGCCAGTACTTCAGCACCACCGCCGCCGGCGCTTCAGCACTACCACCGATGACGATGATGCTTCCGCAACCCCCGCCGTCGAAAGCCCCCGCCGTCGCAGCCCCGGGCATCCTCTCGCCGTCGCTGACCTGCATCCATCGCCGTAGCTGGCCCGCACCCATCGCCGCGCTGACCCGCACCCATCGCCGCGCTGACCCACATCCTTGTCGTCGCTGACCCGCATCCTCTCCGTCGCTGACCCTCTTCATCGCCAAGATCTATTTTCAGACTTTTCATTGAGGAAGAAAATCAAAATCTCACCTCAGATCTGGAAAAAATTTAAAAAAATTGCCACTACAAACCTAGATCCGGTGAAGATGCAACCAGATCTGGAAAATAATTTCTTCTTCTAGCTGATGAAAGAAGGAAGAAAAAACATAAAAAATGAAGAAGAAAAAAGAAGAGGAAGAAGACCGAAGAAGAAAAAGAAAAAGATCGGAAGAGGAAGAAAAAATA